GTACAAAGTTAGTTAATAGATTTGGTTGGTGCATTTTTATGTGTTATTAAGTAGTGTTGGATTTTCCTTATATAAACATTATTTTTATATGTGCATGTTATGTTGTACTACTGTTTTTTTCTGTATGGAAACTGCTTTATAAAGTCCATCTATATTTGTGTCTACACAGGTACACACATACCCATACCCCCGCATATATTACTGCAGAATCTTCCACTGTCAGGATGTGGATACTGCAATAAATCTTTAATTACATCACATTGGCTCCCAAAGACGTCTTAAGACATTCTATTTCTGTTCTAATGTATTAATACAGGGGCAAATCAGCCGGACATATAACCTGATAAATTACGTGTAATGATCCGGTGGGGCAATACTGTGGGCAATACACTGGTCCAGGTGGGGCAGTAAGGCACTCTTCTGCCCTGTGCTCATTTCTGGGGTTAAAAAACATGGATCTATTAGGTAAAAAAATCAGTGTGGGGGACCAGTAGACATAAACCCAACATGTTTGGAAATCAAAGGGCAAAGGGCTAAATAGATTAAAGGGAATATTTTATAGCAAAAAAATCATAAAAAATCAACCAAAGGGAATATTGAAAAAAGAGGCTTTGTTTCATGTGTGGGGGACCATCAGGCATAAACCCAACGTGTTTTGAAATCAAAGGGCCTAAAGGGCAAAGGGCTAAATAGATTAAAGGGACTTTTTAATAGCAAAAAAATCATACAAAATCAACCAAAGGGAATATTGAAAAAATAAGCTTTGTTTCATGCGTGGGGGACCAGAATACATAAACCCAACGTGTTTTGAAATCAAAGGGCCTAAAGGGCAAAGGGCTAAATAGATTAAAGGGACTTTTTAATAGCAAAAAAATCATACAAAATCAACCAAAGGGAATATTGAAAAAATAAGCTTTGTTTCATGTGTGGGGGACCAGAATACATAAACCCAACGTGTTTTGAAATCAAAGGGCCTAAAGGGCAAAGGGCTAAATAGATTAAAGGGAATATTTTATAGCAAAAAAATCATAAAAAAATCAACCAAAGGGAATATTGAAAAAATAAGCTTTGTTTCATGTGTGGGGGACCAGAATACATAAACCCAACGTGTTTTGAAATCAAAGGGCCTAAAGGGCAAAGGGCTAAATAGATTAAAGGGACTTTTTAATAGCAAAAAAATCATAAAAAATCAACCAAAGGGAATATTGAAAAAATAAGCTTTGTTTCATGTGTGGGGGACCAGAATACATAAACCCAACGTGTTTTGAAATCAAAGGGCCTAAAGGGCAAAGGGCTAAATAGATTAAAGGGAATATTTTATAGCAAAAAAATCATAAAAAAATCAACCAAAGGGAATATTGAAAAAATAAGCTTTGTTTCATGTGTGGGGGACCAGAATACATAAACCCAACGTGTTTTGAAATCAAAGGGCCTAAAGGGCAAAGGGCTAAATAGATTAAAGGGACTTTTTAATAGCAAAAAAATCATAAAAAATCAACCAAAGGGAATATTGAAAAAATAAGATGTGTTTCATGTGTGGGGGACCAGAATACATAAACCCAACGTGTTTTGAAATCAAAGGGCCTAAAGGGCAAAGGGCTAAATAGATTAAAGGGACTTTTTAATAGCAAAAAAATAATAAAAAATCAACCAAAGGGAATATTGAAAAAATAAGATGTGTTTCATGTGTGGGGGACCAGAATACATAAACCCAACGTGTTTTGAAATCAAAGGGCCTAAAGGGCAAAGGGCTAAATAGATTAAAGGGAATATTTTATAGCAAAAAAATCATAAAAAAATCAACCAAAGGGAATATTGAAAAAATAAGCTTTGTTTCATGTGTGGGGGACCAGAATACATAAACCCAACATGTTTTGAAATCAAAGGGCCAAAAGGGCAAAGGGCTAAATAGATTATTTGAATGTGTTGAATATCCATTATAAAACTAACTTTACCGCACTCCACGGAAGCCATACTGGAGGACAACCTCGGCGAGTAACAGCCCTGCTAGCTATCTATAACTGGACGTTCAAAACTAGAACTCTCTCGAACTACATGAAAACTGAACAGAGAATTTGAAACTTCTGCAGTTAGTGACCCAAATATATACTCAACCTAAAGTCATGAATCAGATCCTCTGAAAATGCGTCCTAAAATGTATTATTAATGTTTATCGTTACATCCAGGTTTACCGCGGTCGCATATTGTCGCATTAAAACAGTGTTTTTTCATGAAAACGTGAACAGAAAATTCTGAAAACCTCTGTGCACGTGTATTAAGAATGTATATGTATAATGTATTCTCCGATTAACATTTAATGTGTTTATTGTTACACCATGGATCTATGTGTGGCTACACTGCAGTGGAAATAATGAGATTACTTTATTATTTATTAATAAATACTAGTACGGGGCACCCTGGAGCACGGCTCAGTCGTTCACATGTCTGCTGGCCTTCGGTAAGTCAGATACCCTGTGAACCGGGTGAGGTCCTGTGTGAGACCAAATATATAACAGCTATGCTACAAGCTAAGCTACAGTCTATGGAGCAACCCCACGTTGCAGTCAGACAGATATGTTTTATCCTTAAACTTCTGTTTGTTTCGGAATAACACTAAATCCGCCATCAAATTGATTTCACTTAGCAGAAATGAAATGATCCATATTCGGGCGCTCTGGTGGCTATTAGTTTTTTGTTGTTGCGTATGGTTGTGCCATTTCTCTCTCGTTTCTTTGAGATGTCTTCTGTTTTTGAGCCGTGTGAAGTAAGGACGGCTGGCAGTCGGTAACACAACTTATTTTCCCTGTCTCTCCTTTTGCTGCAGCCAAAAACGGCAAAAATGTTGAACATGTTTATGCGGTCCCGGGTGCACGCCACTATCATACAGCGTTTGCTTGTCCTCCAGTATGGCGGATGCCCCGCGAGTTCGAGGCATCGTGACGTCACGTGAGATATCTCTATAGACTCTTCATGAAGCTGGGGTGTTGTAGTTTTAGCCTCTCATTAATAATTTACTTTAATTATAAGTGGGAACAATCTCTGGGCAGAGAAAGGTCAAATTCCAAAGTTGACTACATGTTCTTTAGTAAATAATAACTCTGGTATAACTGGTGTGTGCGGGTTGGCTCTAATAAGCACACATTCTACCAGAAAAGAGCCCTACTTGTCTCTACTCTACTCTGCTGTACTCTACCAGGTCGTTTCCATTACGCTTTAGTAGCTGGTACCGTATCCTAGCAACCTACCCCCAACGAACCAGAGGAAATTCCTTGGTAATCATGGCTTCCAGCAGCTCTCTGGCCAATCTTTGTCAGTTAGAACACTCTAGTACCAGCTCGGCCTGAATACCTCCAGGGCCATGCAGGGCTGGTAGAAACGGGGCAATAGACTGAAAAATGAACTATTGGGTGATAATCATCTGTTGTCATAGCTGAGGAACACCTCAAATCAGATTCAGGAACCTGAAATAAAGCAAAAAGTTCTTACAGTTCAATACATGTAAAATCCTTATTGACTATTTGAAAATAATGAATCAAAATACAATATTTTACTTGTATGCAGTTAATTTAGATTTTAATGTCAAAATCAACAAAAGACATCTAAACCTTTAGATACTTCTGAAAGTGAATGGAAAATATCATTTGGACCATTGCAGTTTTTTGCATTTGCATAAATTTACTAGTGATTTGCTTCATCGAGAATCTTGTCAAAACAATCAAACTTTATGCAAATATGGCACAGGTGTCTTCAACAGAATCCGCCTCAAATGTCACAACATGCAAACGCTCTGTGGCTTATGTAGATGGACATTTACACGTAAGATACTGAAAACCCCATTACTGAGCAGTGAGCATAAGGCAGTCACACAAAGCATCAATAATTACCATACATAAATAAGAATGAATATGCAATTCTTCAGTTGAAAGATTAAGATATCCTTTGTTCATCCCACAGTGAGGAAATTCCAGTGTTGCATTACATTATATGAACAATAACTCTACACTAAAATACACAGCCAGTGCTCCTCAGAGTCCCAATAGGAGTTCAGTCCCTGTGCTCCTCAGAGTCCAAGTTGGTTTCCTATGGCACTAATGTCACAGATGTATACTTTGATGAGAGGCCATGGAGAAACTTGCCTTGCCTAAAATCTAAATCAATTTAATTTGAGTCTGAAGAAAAGATTAATAACAATAATCAGGAATCCCTCTGACCTCTGACTATGCCTTGAAATTCTGTCCATAAAAACAGAACAGAATCAATAGGTCAAACTTACTACCAAAGGGTCACACTTACTAGGTCACACTTACTACCAAACACAAGCTCTCAGCTTAGAGCCCCAAAGAACTGACGCAAATCTGCACAAAAACAATAAAACTAAAACAACAGTGGGGCGACAGTGGCTCAGTTGGTCCCACTGATGTCTGCTGTTGATGTGTCCTTGGCAAGACACTTAACCTCTGGGAACACCATGTGTAGCTGTCAAGTGCCAAACTGTTGTTGTGGCCTTAGGCAGGACACTTCACCCGCATTAACTAGAATGAGTCTGGTGTGTGTGAATGGTTGGTGGTGGTCGGAGGAGCCGATGGCACATACTGGTTGCATCGCTTCTGTCAGTGTGCCCCAGGGTAGCTGTAGCTACAGTAGAAATTTATCACCACCGGGTATGGAGTGAATGAATAATGACATGTGAAGTGTTTTGTGTCCAGAAAAAGCGCTGTATAAAACCATTGCATTATTATTATTATTGAGGGAAAGGGCACAAAACTAAACGACTAAAATGCATGTTTTCCACACATTGTCGTTATTGTATCCACTTCAGACATTTCCTTAACCTCAAAGATATGGTTTGCGTATTTTCCTAGTGGGGCGGACACGACAGGCAGAAACATTTGCAAACTTTGCTCGACCAGAACACAATGCAAATGCACAGACCTCATCCTTTAACATAACGCATTCACCGGACACCTTTGAACACAGAAGGAGAGACGGCGGCTGGAGAAATGAGGCTCTGGACCCTGACTCTGTTCTGGACCCTGGCTCAGGTTTGGACTCTGCTGCGGATCACTGCTGCAGAGCTGGACTATGACTCTAATGGACAGGGCATGTATCTGAGCGGGGATCACATCATTGCAGGGCTGTTTCCTCTATTTAAAAACAACAAGCACGTAGGAGGCCAGATAGCCCTGGAGCCATGCAACAAGTAAGTCATATGTGCAATTTCAAATCAATTCTATCAGGAAACAACAAACACATACTGTAGAAGTACAAAGACAGGCTATATTGTGAGAGAATAAAAAAGTAAGAATATTACAGTATATTAGCTTTTTAAAGTGTTTAAGTCTTACCAAAACGGTCAAACTAATCCGTAAGCCTGGGCACCGTTTGACAGCACACATTCCTGTCCTCTATGTCCATGTCCGTGTAGGTTGTCAGTAATCACTCCAGATGTAAATTAAATCTATAACACATGTCTGAATGTCAGCCCAGTTGATTTATCACAAGACGTTACAGTTCTTGTTCTGCAGACTGTTTATATTGTTCCTTGCTGATACAGGAGGGTCTAAGGACAGTGATGATGCGGAACATTTAAGGACATTTACAGTTATTGCACTTCCTATGGACCAATGGCTCCTATGTCTTTGTTAGTTTGATTCTCTGATGTGCTGTTGGTGAACTGACCTCTTCAAAATCCTGTATTGTAGAAGGAACATTGCAAAAAAACAGTTCAGTGCTCGACATATGCACTTCTTGTTTTCAGGTGGTCAAAATATTCCCATATCAGAAATTAATCAAATATGAATGAAATATCTCCTAATACAAGGATGTATTAACTTCTTGTAAGCATGAATTTGTGGTAGCGTGCGCACATCTCAGGGTGCACAACACAGTTAGGTCTGAGAACTAATTACAGACCTCAGGGAATTCAGCGCATACAGGCAAGTGCTGACTCTGAGGGCAAGTCAAGCTGTTTTTCACAAAAGGACATTAGCTAAAATAACTCTTCCATCCCTCCCTGGTGTTTGTAAAGGGTAATACAGGAATTTCTACAATAATGAAAGAGAAAGAGAGGTCGCCTGCACTGTTCAAGCCTGATGCCTGTATCCACCATGTTCAACATAAAGACTTCCTTAAGTATTCAGTCTGGTATTCCTTGCATCATGGATTCTTTGCCTCTGCTCCTCTGCCCATCTTACATTTTACAGGCCAACCACTTATAAGCAGTTTGGGTTTGGGTCAGGACCGTGACTTCATATATTTTTCTATAATTTTGCCAGTGTGCCTGATGTGATCCAAGCCTTCACTGTGTTCAGGGGGACTCCGAACAAGCACGGCTTCCACCTGATGCAGGCCTTACGCTTCACTGTGGAGCAGATCAACAACAACAGCCTGCTCCCCGGGGTGAGGCTCGGATATCAGATCTACGACATCTGCTCCATCCCCGCGAGTATGCTAGCTACTCTGGACCTGCTGGAACCCCAATATCGAGCCCTGTTCCCACCACAGGGCAGAGGAGGAGGAGGAGGAAGGGGTATCCAGGAGGGGAGTAGAGAACCCCTGGCTGTCATTGGACCAGACAGCAGCAGCAAAAGCTTTACTCCAGCCGCTCTTTTAGGCTCGTACCTCGTGCCACAGGTGAGAGATTAGGGTTCAGTTTGGTTAATGTGAAATGTGAATACTTCTATACAGTCACTGGAACCAAGACCAGTTCTACAGGCTGGTCTACCAATAGTACAATCCATGTCCTTGCAGGTATTGCAGATACACGTTCTGAACAAAGAGATGATCCACTTCATACTACCACAAAGAGGATAATCTCTGATTGTTGTGGTTGACGTTCAGATGGGACTGAGGATTCTAATGATTCCGAAGCTAACTAATTACTCAGCAGCAAGAACCTGGAGGGCAGCTGAAATTTTGTTCTAGTCTTAGCAAATTTCTCTGTCAATCCACCAGAAACCAAATCTGTTCCACATCATACGTAGTTGTCAGTACAAATGAACTATTGTCTTATTGTTTTCTCATAAATATGTCAAAAACATGTGCATAATCTTGGACAGTAGAAAGCACTTCAGTGATAGGAATAAAATAGCTGCATGTAGTAAACTTGTGCACAAGACAACAATACAAAACAAAAAAGGAAAGATTTGACATCAACATTATACATTTTTGCTGCAGAAATCTTCGTCCTGACTCTCCATGTTTCTGAACCTTTAGAGACTGCTGAGATACATGTACTTGTTGTATGTAGGACATTTATCAACATTTCTGGACATTGATCCTCTGCCTCTTTTGGATCAATGGCTCTATGAGTTTTTTAATCATTGCATTTCTTGTGTTTGAACTTTTTGATTCTCTGATCTGTGATGGCAAAATCAACCGTTGTGTAAAGTCTACTGTTGTAATTTAGGGCTAAACATGAATAAATTGAATTGAATTTAGTATGGTTGCAGTTGAGGTTCAGATGGGACCGAGGATTGTCATCTCTGACTGACAATTCTGAATACATTCTTATTTTATCCAGATCTCTTACGAAGCTTCTAATGAATTACTCAGCAACAAGAACCTCTACCCGTCTTTCTTCCGCACAATCCCCAGCGACAAGAACCAGGTGACGGCCATGATCGAGCTGTTGGTCCGCTTCAACTGGACTTGGATCGCTCTTCTGGGTAGTGACAACGACTACGGTCTCCACGGAATGCAGTTCCTCACCCAACGAGCCCCTCTCTACGGCATCTGCATCGCTTTTCAAGGCATCATTCCGTCTGTTTCAGCCACATCTGCAACAAAGATGAGACAGCTAGTGGATGGCATACTTGCGACTAAAGTCAACACGATTGTGGCGTTTTCAAGCAAGAGTATATTCAGAGGGTTTGTGCCTTACATCATTGAGAAAAACGTCACCAATAAAGTGTGGATAGGAACTGAAGACTGGTCGATGGCTCAGCTAATTTTGAGCATTCCCGGCGTCCAAACAATTGGGACGGTGATAGGAATATCGGTGAAACAAGCCGATTTGGACGGGTTTGAGGAATTTGAGAAAAGAGATTTTGAGAAGTCCATGCAATACAATGGGAGTGTAGATAGTGAGAGCTTTGAGAATGACTGCCTGCAAAGCACTAGTGTGTACAGTTTAGCCATAAATAATTATACATTAGAGACATATGACTTGACCTCTTCATTCAATGTGTACAAAGCAGTGTACGCAATAGCCCACTCGCTTCATAATCTTTTAGACTGCGATTCAAGAAATTGCAGCAACAGGAAGCTTCAGCCCTGGGAGGTAAGAATATATCTGTGCTTTTAAAGAGCTGTTTGAAATGGTCTGATTTTGCATTCTCTGGAACACAGCTACTGCCCTGGTTGAAGAGTGTACAATTCTCTATTGACAACACTTCAGTTTACTTTGATCAAAATGGAGACCCACCCACAGGATATGACATTGTGACTTGGATCTGGAGGGGCTCGAAGTGGTCGCTTAGGCTGGTCGGGTCCTTTAGTCCAAACCCGGTGTCGTTGGTCATAAACGAGGATCTCATCGAGTGGCACAGCACTATAGCAGATGACACAATAACACAGGTTTGAGAAGTTTTACTAAATGGATCTATAGTTTGAGGACGCATTCACACTAATTAGACTTGGTTTACTTCAGATCAAAAAACAAAGAGGACAAAATAATGAAATAACACTTTTTGTTCTATGTGTCATTTACAGTCACTTACCCATCAATACCCTTAGTATTAATACATCCAGATATAAGTTTTAAATGTGCATTGATGTGGGATTTCTAAATATCTTCCGAGAAGCAAGTGCAACAAAAGAAGTTTCAAAAGAAGTGAGTTGACCTTGGTGACTATAAGCGAACACTTGTTTAACGATTTCCAAACATATGATTGATTATTAGCCCCAAGTTCACCAGACTTCACTTCAATTGTAGCTAGTGTAAACCCAGCCTTGTTTTTGAAATAGATCTGTCTGGAACGCCACTTGCGGTACAGTGACCAGGTAGTGTAAGATTGACTCAGACTTGTTTTTACTTTCTTTTGAGCACTTGTTTCTCTCATCCATCCAAAATATGCACATAACAGTATAGGTCTGGTCCTGACGGGGAAATGCATGTGGAGAAAATTGGAATACAAAAAGTGTGCCATAACCTACCAATCTATACATGGTAACGGTAAAGGTAAAGGTCCACTTTATTAATCCCTGTAGGGCAATTCAATCCTCTGCATTTGACCCATCCTGATGCCGCAAAGGCTTACGTCAGGAGCAGTGGTCGCGGTAGTACAGCGCCCGGGAACTCATCTCCAGATGTTGATGCTCGGCTTGGTCAGGACTACCAGAGCTGGAGGATTTAACCTAGTAACCTAGTCACCTCTATAGAGCTGTCAAGAGGGTGAAACTTCCTGATTCAGGGAGTAAAACTGTCCTTTCAAAATAATTAGAAAAGATTGAAAAAGAATCTGGTGAATAATGAGCACTACATCTATGTTAAGATGAAACAGTGTGTTCGGGTCCTAAAACTTGGCAGTTTAATGAGAAAAGAGAAACATTCTAACATTTGCAAATACATAACGTTAAAAGCTGTTGAACTAATTTGTTTCTTTGCAGGTCCCACTGTCGATCTGCTCTCCCCCCTGTCGCACTGGATTCAAGAAAGCATTAACTGGACAACACTCCTGCTGTTTTGACTGCAAGGCCTGTCCTGCTGCTCACTTCGTTAATGCATCTGGTAACCTTATGACTAAAGCCCTGTTTCCACCAGCTTGACTTGGCCCTTCAGTAGAGTAAGGGCAAGTCAGGCTTGTGGAAACAGGGCTTTAGTCTACCCTGTTTGGGAGCGTTTCCACCAGCCCTGTGTGACCAGGTAACTTTTTAATACTACGGCCCTGGTTGTATACAGGTCTGGTACTTAAAGTGATGAACTGACAGAGTTTGGTCTGAGTGCTGTTGGAAGCCATGTTATCAATGAATCTCCCCGGATACTGTTTTGTTGAGGATTGGTTGCTAGGATACAGCACCAGATACTAAAGTGGACACATTTCCCACTTGTTCCTTTCCAATCTCATACTGTCCACTTAACCGGCATAATTGCTTAATTAAACGGTGGCTCAATAATGGCCTATTTCTACCTTATGCTTTTCTATTTTTGTTCATGAAATATTTTTTTAATTGAAGTAGCTTTCCCACAAATATTCTGTCAATAATTGTAAAGTTAAATGAAATGGTAACTGGGTGAATGAAAAGGGTCTGACCCTCCACATTCTTAAGATATTACAATATGGCCGCCTCAGAAAAAATAATTGCCAAACTCAAGCATAATGGAAACGCAATCAGGAGTTGAGCTGAGTAGAGGAGGGTCGAGAAGGCTTGGTGGAAATGGGGCTACTAGTAGTGTTATTGTGGCCGATAATCTTTGAGAGCTTTAGAACTTAAACCATTATTATTACTACTATTTACTTATTCCTTCCTTCTAATCGTTCTCTCCAGATCCTACTCACTGCCAACCGTGTCCGATCGAGGAATGGGCTCCTGAGAAAAGCGACCACTGCTTGCACCGGACTGTTTTAACCTTGTCATGGACCGACCCACTGACCATTGCTCTCCTCTTCTTCATGGCCTGCTGTCTTTTCTTGACGATTAGCTCTGCTATCATCCTCATCCTCCACATCACCACACCTGTTGCCAAATCCGCTGGAGGTCGAACGTGCCTTGTGATGCTGGCCGCGCAAACGTTAGCCACTCTCAGTGCTTTGTGCCACTTTGGAGAGCCTTCGCACATAGGCTGCCTGCTAAAACACCCCTTATTCATATTTAGTTTCACTGTCTGCTTAACCGCCATAACCGTGCGTGCCTTACAAGTCGTTTGCATTTTTAAATTTTCCTCCAAGCTTCCACCGATTTACGATAGGTGGGCTAAAAACAATGGACCTGAGTGGACAATTTTTGTTGTATCTTCTCTGATCCTTGCCATTTCTATTTTGCGTGTAGCTGTAGACCCGCCAAAACCATCCAAAGATTTTTCATTTTACGCCAATAGCATAGTCGTGGAGTGTAGTAATACGTTATCTATCGGTTCAATGGTGGAAGTAACGTACGTCTCGACAATTAGCGTTTTTTGTTTCATCTTGAGCTACCTGGGCAAAGACCTCCCAGCTAATTACAGTGAGGCGAAGAGCATTACGTTTAGCTTAATGGTGTATAAAATATCCTGGATTAGCTTCTTCACACTGTACTTGATCAGCCGAGGTCCGTTCACAATGGCCGCCCACGTCTTTGCCATCCTCTGCAGTGTTCTGGCCTTCTACGGCGGTTACTTTCTGCCTAAAATATACATTATTATTTTCAAACCAGAGATGAACACCACCGCGCATTTCCAGAATTGTATCCAAATGTACACAATGAACAAATCCTGAATGTTTACTGTATTGTTTTAATGCTTGAAAGTTCTATAAAGTTTCAAAGATAAGACGTTAGCTTAGTGACGTTAGCTTTCGTTATGTGCCCTTAGCATTAAGACATCTAGATATAGTATAAGTTTTAAATGTGCATTGATATGGTATTGCCAAATATAAGTAGCACCTTATAAGGACAGTGGTCATGATTCTCAACACTCAACATTCAATGTGATTTATGGACTTGTTAGGATTAGATAGCGATTTGGCCTACGTGCAGGACTATACAAGGACTCTTCTGATGGTGCAACCATGTTTTGACTATGATGTGACTGTCTCTGTGTGACACGTATGTCTTTTGATGTGTGACGTAACAATGACTATATAAAGTGTGTACTGACTCCATTCTGTCTGAGAGAAAGAAACATCAGAAACCACTGGAACTTGAGAGAAACTAAATACATTTCCAGAGTTTGGCGCACCACGATCCGTCTCTGTCTGGTTCATTCCTGACAGACTTTGTCAACATTTATGGACATTGGGCATCCGCCCCTTATGGACCAATGGCTCTGTGTGTTTTTTATCTTTGCATTTCTTGTGTTTGAACTGTTTAAATAACTACTGTTGTGATTTAGGGCTATACAAGAATAAATTTAATTGAAATAAATCAAAAATTCCAAATCAAAAATGGCATCAAAAATCAACTTTTGTTGATGATTTGCAAATGGTTTGTCCACTAGCCAGGCCTCGGGCTAACACACTTCTGCCTCATTACTCATCCATCATCACGTGTCTTGGGGCATTTTGAGCAGCTGTTCTTGGTATGTGAAAAATGTGTGTTGTGGCTTTTCCCTCCAAAATCTTCTGAAAGCCAGGGCAGAAGTGAGATGATAAAAGGGTGCTTTGTGTGTCCGGGGTCAAGCCCATTGACCCCTGGTGACTGTGGTGGGAGAGCGAGGCGTGTTCCCACCGTGTGAATGCAGGAGTGTGCCACGGCTCAGCGGAGTCCGGGTCACGTCCCGCAGTCAGGAGGTCAAACAGACCAGAGACCAGAGTCTATGAGGATCAACAGGTGGATTTCAGAAGAAGTTTGAAATGTACAAGTGCAGTGAGAAATATAGGATTGAGTAAAAGAAGAACATGTACACGAACACTGAGGTCTAATGAACACCTACGCAATATAATTCTAAATGATGTTAGAATGTACAGGATGGGACCACGTGTGTCAACTGTCACTTTGTACCCTTTTAACAGTCAGAGCTAATGACTTATACCTTCATACTCTTGAGTATTTCTGATTATTCTACAGATCTATAAATATAAGTATATACTGTATTTATCTCTCTAGAGAGTCTAGATGATGCATTGGTTTGTGGTGAGATGAATGAAGGTCCCAAAAAGGCTATAATGCAAAAACCAAACCGGAAAATCCAAGGCCCCGTTTAGACGGAGATGCTGCTGAGACGCTGCAAAGCAATTTATAAAAATGACCACTTTTCATAAGCGGGTCACTTTGAAAAAAGTGTCTACACAACGGAAAACAAAGTAGTTCTAGTGCCAGGCCAGTTAAGAGTAGCAGAAAAAATGGAAAACTGCAGCTTTGCGTGGTTTTGTTTGGGGCGGACGAAGGAGTAGAATTGCTCCTCCGTGTAGCGCTCAAAGCACACACATGTGTTTCATGAAAATGAGCAAAGGTACATATAGACAGAGAACATGCTTTCACATTTCAAGCTTGGAGGCTTCGTTACACTGCGTTATTACAGAAACAGAGTTCATGTGCACTGGGAGTTGGGTTTGGTGGAGGGCATGGAGTGGTTTTGACTTGGTGCTACTTGGATGCTAATGCTAAGCTGAGCTAACCTGAATCCTTTACTGCACCTTTTATATGTGTTTATTGTTTATATTTGTGCTGTGTGCTTCTCATTCCCACTGTTCTTGAACTTGTGATGTAACACTGAAATTTCCCCTACTGTGGGAGGGAAAGGATCTCTTAATCTTAATCATATATTTTTTTCCTGCAGTGGGCAAGGAATAAACGCCTGCTTAAAAAATAAAATAGCTGTAATACTTATAGTAGATAGTTATCTATGTTATCTTGGCCTTGAAACTTTAGTTATAATTAATAACAGCCTAAACCCTTTTCACTCAGAGACACAAAGCATTATAACTCACAGAAACAATCCTTCAGGTGTATGGCCAGCCAAACAGAGCTGTTTTTAACTTGGATTTCAGGAAGACTGCTCAACTTTAGCACAAGTTAATTTAGCTTTTGGACACTCAAGGTCACCTCACAAAAGGACGGTACACAAAAGCAGTAAAAAGCAGACAATTCCAAATGGACAGTGGAATGTGGGGTCACCGTGAACAGGCCAGTCTGAATAGATGTGTTTTGAGCGCGGTTTTGAAACGTGGGAGAGGGTCAGTGTTGCGGAGGTCAGGGGGAAAGGTGTTCCAGAGCTGGGGAGCACATCAGCTGAATGCTCTGCTCCCCACGGTGTTGAGGCGGAAAGGAGGCACCAAGATCTGGAGGGAGGAGGAGGAGCAGAGGGAGCGGGGCAGGTACATGTACTACAATACAAGATTACTGCCTCTGTGGAACCTGACCTACATATTTTGTATTGTAGACCCATGTTATATCTGTATTACTGACATATTGTTACTACAGTATTTATATCTTAAGCATAAGTTATTAATATCTACAATGTGTTTGCAGGGCTCTCTGTGTGCGTCATGTGTTTTCTTGATGTCACCCCATGGAAAGGTTAAACGGTTGCTTTTTCCACAGGTGTGAGTGGAGATAAACAGTCGCCCTTTGACCCTTCACTTAACACTAATATATTCATTAAAATGGGCTCTAATTATGACTGCATCACTCCCTGGAGGCTGTGGACCAAACAGATAAGGATTCCCAGAGGACTCACATCGCTTGAGGTTAATCAATCTTCCTCTTATCTTATCTACTCAGCCTGAGGCCCCGTTTTATAGAGAGTTGATGCGCAGACGGTGCAAAGCAATTAGCAAAAACAACCAGTCTCCTGCGCAGAGTTTACATGGCTACAGAAAACAATTTAGTTCTTGTGCCCGGCCAGTAGAAGGCAGTGGGACTTTAAAATACAACACGTGTGACCCCCAGCACCTGCAGCAATATATTCACTTCCTCAACAACATCCTCCTCAGGCCGCCGCAAAGATGTGAAAGAATGCACCAACATTATTCTGCATTTAACAGCAGCTGCGAAGATAGAAACTGACACTACAGCTTTTCATGGTTTCATTTGGACAAACAAAGGAGAAGCAAACAGTATGTGGAGGTGTGACGCCTTCAGCACAGAGCAGTGGGAGAGAGGTGTATGGTTAGAGTGTTTGTGTGTGTGTGTGTGTGTGTGTGTGTGTGTGTGTGTAAGGAGCCAAACCTCTTTTTCAAATGGTTTAATGCAGTTTATTTTGTGTCTTCAGAACAGGAGGAATGAGTGCTACAGGGTCCAAAAAAATGTGTATGTTTTTTTTTTGTCAATTTGACAAGGTATTTTTTGAGGGGCCCCTCTGGTAATTTGTCTGTTTTTATTATCTTTGTGTGTAACATTGTCCTTTGTAGCATACCTTGTAGTGTCTGCATATGTTTGAATATCCCCCCTTCATTCTTTTTGAATGAAGGGAGGATACTTATACTTTATCATGTGACGAGTCCTGTGTACGTCACTGGTCCTATCAAACGCTTACCTTCAATGTTTCATCCAATAGAGGTTGTTCTTGTGTGTCAGGTGACTAGTTCAGTGGATGTCATTTGTCTATTTTAACACCCGTCTATTCAATGTTTTTTACATTGCCCTGAAGAAGGCCCTGCGTGGCCGAAACGCGTTGGTCCCTTCTGCATTAAAGGACTTTTATCAGAGTGCCTCGGATTTCACCCTGTCTTTATTTTTCCAATTCAAAAGGGTATTTTTCGTTTTTCAGTTATTTTGTGTCTTGTTTTAATTTTGTTTTATTTTTTTGTATCATGTTTGTGGTTTCGTTTTGCGTACATTAGAAATTATGAACACTTCAGGCACCACTGTTTTTTCAGTAATTGTATCTGAAATAGAAAAAAGGTACAGCTCTGACACTTCACAAGAGATAGTGGACTAATAGCGATTCAAATAGAGAAAAAAATTATTGGATTCAGGAGCTTTTGTCTTTTTTAACAGTTCCTGAATCTGAATTAGCGGTTCCTAAATCAATCAAAACCAAATTCTTTTGACATTTACGATTAGAGGCAGCCACAAAGACACAAACTGTAATTTATACTTATCAAAGAACATGGTGGAGATTTTGTATGGTTGGACATTGTTCTCACTTATAATTATAGTTACCAGAGGCCAAAACTATAGGTCCTCAGCTTCACTCAGCCATGTGTGTGTATTATAAAACAGTTAATTGACATTTGAGACTCAACGACAGGTTTATAATGCCATCTTGTTCACAACAATAATATAAATATATATTTATATTGAGGCAAGGGAAATTCATCCAAGTGTTTTATTATTATTATTATTATTATTATCGTGATTATTTTGAACAAAAATGGTCCATAGACATGAAAAAACACAAAATATGAGAGATATGGCACTAAACTTAGTGCTGAATCATGATGGTAATAGTATCTGGAAAAAGATAAAACAATTTGTTTAAGTTAAAAGTATTGAGGGAAAAAAATTGGTTGTTAAAAACGACTCGACTTTTGTAAATGATCTGGTTCATTTAATGAAAGAGATGTTTTTGTCATACACTCTTATACAATTATTCAATATAAAGCCATAGCTCCCCTTGGTGCAGATGGGTCGAGGTGCTGCAGCGACAGGGCTCAGGCATGTTCTCCCTGTGTTTCTGCGAAGGTTTCCTCCAGGTGCTCCAGTGTCCCCTACTGCTGTGCAATAGGTCTGAGAGAGAGAGCTAGGGGTTGGGAATGGTCAGAGGGTTTGATGTAGCAACGTGTTCGCCATCTCGCTTCCGTCATCACTGTGCGGAAAGAATGAAAAACATCTGTCCTCCAAAACATTGTGAAGTACTTGTTCTGTGGAATGCCCTGTATAAATAAAGATTTCTTACTTACCTAGGACAGCTCATTGTGTGATAATAATACAGTTATATACAGTACTGCTATGGCTACTTCATATTGTTGTTGCATAGATATTTTGTGGTACGGTATTAGAATTAGACTTCAAATAATGATCTCAATTTATTGATTGCAACTTTTATTCATTGTCGTACAGAATATACACAATTATGAGCATACAATGTGAACCAACAACAGTCAGAGTATGCCTTTCATTCCCTCATTCACTTACTCATTCATTCATAACTTTACCATTTGGCTTAAAGCACAAGAGAAATATTCTCAACACCAGTTGCATGTACACATACGGCCCGTAGCACAACCTTCACTCCACTGGAGTAATTACAGTTTGGTCCACTGTCATCAAATGAGCAAAACAAACAAGATCAAGCACAACAGTCCATCAATGTGATGGTTAGAGCCTCCAGTGTCCACCAGGGGCGCCACCGTCACTCAGTCCAGACTATGTACATCAGCACAAGTACAGTCTACAGTCTTTGGCCGTTCACCAGGGCCTCCACATGGGGGCGCTGTTGGGAGCAGTGTCTGTTTGCTGTAGACTGCTAGATGAGCCCTGAAGCCAGGTCTGAGGGAGTGTGTGCACCTCCTTTTGGGATGCACCAGGGAGATCCATGTGAGGTCTGAGGGCCTCTGGTTGAACCTCCATGTTGGCTACTCTGTGGTCCTCCATGTGGGACGTCCCAAAGGCGCTGGGGCCCGTGTGTCCCTGCAGCTGCTGCTTGAGGCAGCACACGGTCATCTCCAGCACGTCGGCCTTCTCCAGTTTGGGGCAGCCTTTGCGGCGCAGCTCCTTCTCCAGAAGGACCTTCAGCTGCTCGATGCAGCTGTTGATCCGGTCTCGACGCATCTTTTCTACTATAGGTTTCCTCAACTAAATGGAATAAGGAAAAAAGGCCGTCAAAATCAAATCTACCAAGACACACAAGACTTTGTCATAGCATAAAACTGAATCTTTGTTCATACAGCTCAAAGATCAAATCTAAACTGTTTTAGCAACATGACTCAAGATCCAATAAATTCAATACCACTGAATTCAATCTGCAATAGAGCTTCGTCTTCACTAGATTTGTTTTTACTGAATTTGTAAATAGAACTGGGTAAAAGAGTGTGTAAACAGTTGTAGGGTAGTCATACAGTGAGGAGAGATGTGGAAGCAGCCCTTGACTCTGCAGCCCTGGTGAGCATTTACAGTATTATGAACTGGGCCACACAAACTAAATTATAACTAACAAGCTAAATAACAACCTATACTCTCTATTTGCATATGCAATCCTAACCATAAACGCCAAAGCGACTGGGTACTTACTTTGATGGGATCCCTCTCGGTCCTGGTTTGGTGCAGAGTAGAAAAGCTGTAAGGAGCCATCTCAGTCGCGTGCAGCAGTGATGAGGCGGCGGACGCGCGCGGCTCTTATATACTGTCACATTAACATAACAAAGGCCTGTCCCTGGAGGCTTGGGGTTCCCACACTCTCCACCCCCAGGGGAACAGTACTGACCTGAGCAAATGTATCTATTTATCTACAGTATCTGGAGCTCTGCTGCTCTGAGATAAGATACAGGTTGAATGAGCACGAGATTGATGTTATAATTGAAAAGTGTCCATTTGGAGCCAGATGTTCTGGAACGATAAGCCGTTAATACTGAATAGTGTTATTGGGGCACGTGAGCTTGTGTCACACACGTCAGTCTGAGGTCTGGCCAAAGAGTACAGAAGAAGACACGAAACTAAATAGTATCTGCACTCTTTGGTCTGGCTCCACGTCTTCTGTTAATAAAGTAGACCCCCACGCGGCTCACGGAAGTGGCGGAACTTTACGGCCTCGTGTGTGACATCCTGAGCGCGCGCACTGAGGTGTGAAGGCGCGAGCTCCCACTGAGCCGCGCATGCGGGACGCCTCCACGCGGGACACCTGCGCTCGGACCCCCTTCTGTGGCACGAGGCCGGATCAAAGGGCACGTGCCCCACAGGTGTGAAAGCGCGAGCTGTGAGCGCGTGTCTCCTGTCTGATGTGAGCCTGCGCAGCAGGATCTAATGTTTATGAGAGCTACCACGAGCTCAGTGTCGCTGCAAGACAGAATGTATAACACCTCCAGTGTTATACATTCTGTCTTGCAGCGTCCTATGCTAAGGAGGGGTTTGCAACAAGCTATTCATGCAAACAATAGACGTGTATGTAGTTTCAAGTGCAGTACTTCAAATCAGATATTAGTCCAACTGTCTCAGTGAAACAGTCTAACACAGGTCACGTGCCTCTCTGTAATGTTCAAGACGTCTAAGCTCTGGACCCACTCTGGGGAACTTAGATGTGGTGTATTGTCTCAGAAAGTTAAGTTAAACATGTAGTGGCACTCACAGCAAGATGGTCGCTTGTTAGATTCTAGTGCAGGCCCGGACCTTCCTCTGTATTATGTCTTCTTGTGCCTGGGTGGGTTTCCTCCAGCCTTGATCCAAGAGCAACGCTTGCATGTGGGCCCCAGGGTGCTGCTCCTGATGGAGATGGCTAGCAGAGATCTAGTTATAGTGACTGTAAATGACAAATTACATCATCTTAAATATATTTTGCACATAGCACTAAATATCATGTTATTGCACTGACCCTCTTTGGCACTATCGTTCTTGTTTGCATTGCACTAAATCATATTGTATATTCAATTTAATTCTCATTATAACTCATTATAGTCTGGTTTCCACCACCTCTACTCCACTCTACTCTACCCTACACTACTGTACTCTACTCTACTCTACCCTGCTCTGCTCTGCTCTGCCCTGCTCTACCCTACCCTACCCTACCCTACCCTACTCTACCCTACCCTACCCTACCCTACCCTACTCTACTCTACTCTACCCTAGCCTACCCTACCCTACTCTACTCTACCCTACCCTACCCTACTCTACTCTACCCTACCCTACCCTACCCTACCCTACTCTACTCTACTCTACCCTTAGCCTACCCTACCCTACTCTACTCTACCCTACCCTACCCTACTCTACTCTACCCTACCCTACCCTACCCTACCCTACTCTACTCTACCCTAGCCTACCCTACCCTACTCTACTCTACCCTACCCTACCCTACTCTACTCTACCCTACCCTACCCTACCCTACACTACTCTACCCTACCCTACCCTACCCTACCCTACTCTACTCTACTCTACCCTACCCTACTCTACTCTACCCTACCCTACCCTACTCTACTCTACCCTACCCTACCCTACCCTACTCTGCTCTGCTCTGCTCTGCCCTGCGCTACCCTACCCTACACTACTCTACCCTACCCTACTCTACCCTACTCAACTCTACTCTACTCTACTTTAAACAAGTAAAGCACTTGCGCTGGAAACAGCAGCAAGTCCTAAGTAGGTCTGAAACAGTTGTTGTTTTGTGCTTTACAATTTTTATTTGTATTGCTTATTTCTACCTGAGATGTTGCTGCAGTACAGTGTTCATGGTTTTACACTGGTCCAGACCAGAGCAGAGAGGATTCATGGTCCGAACCAAGTGGATCAGGTGAAAATCCACTGGAGGAATGATAACTTTTTTTTTAAATGCTGATGAAGCATTTAGCATTTTACTTTGGATTAGAGCAGAGGAAATGGTCCGTAAAGTGGCTACACCTTTTGACCTGTCCTGCTCCACCCAGAGGCTGCTCCACCTCTGCTGCGGTGACCTGAGGCTGTTGCTGATTATTACTATTGTTATCTTTTTAGAATGATCAATTTTATTTTTCATTTTTGCTCTTACTGGACACATGAATTTCTCCTACGGGGATCAATAAATTATCTACTGTATCTATCTACTCTACTCTACTCTACTCTACTCTGTTTGCCTGTCTCTCAGCCACAACCACATGTTATGATAACAAATATGGATCTTTTATGAGCTTTCTTGTCCATATATGATAAAACTGAGCTGGTCAACAAAATAGTCTGCAGAAGTAAATTCTTTTCCAGTTGATGTTTTGGTCCAAGGTTAAAACACTATACAACACATGGTATAAAACCACCATGTCCCTTACACTGTGAACCAACAACATGTCTTCTGCTGAGACATGGTGGAGCTAACAATAAACTAAACTTTGTAGAAGTCAACCGTTGAAGCACACTGATTATGAAGTATGAGCTTCTTTAAACTCTTTGTCTCATTGAAAGATCTGTCAAGTGTTAAAAAAATACTGAGGCTTTAGCAGGATCTTGAGCTGAAATGCCCGTGGGATTTTATTTCAGTTTTCAACTTTTTCATACAGAATGAGGAGCAAACATGGTATATGACAATGTGTGTGTTAGCTAGTCACAGAGGACTGTGTAAACTGACCATCATGTTGTGTACTGTGGACCTCTGTTATAGCTTACTGCTAAACATTATTCTCAGGAAGCACTGTATGTCTTTGTTTTACCTCACGCTTTAAGCATGAGACAATTATAATACTGAATAGTGTTATTGTCTTATGATGACATCTCCTTTTTTATTCACATGGAGACACATCATATAAAAGCCTTTGTCTCCTCTTGTTTGATCTGGAGGGACTCAAACATTTAAACCATGTACAGGTGCACTCTCCGCTGCCTTGTCTTCATTTCACAGACGTGACTGAAGTCACTGTGAGGTTAAAGGCCTGATCACTTGAATATTGTGACTTTCGTTTGTCCATTTTGTGAAGGCCATTCTCTTCTTGCCTGCGACACATCAGGCTGCGGTCACAAGCACAACCTAAAGTCCAGTTAAAGCGGGCCAGGCCCAGATCACAACTAGATCCGGCCTTTAGAAGCCGTGTGTCATGGCTCCCGCCGAGCAGAGAGAGATAACTCGCCTCTGTCACAGTGTCGTGCTTCAAACTGACTCAAGAGTCAGACTTTATTTTCTCCCCAAAACACACCAACATTCACTTGTATCCTGCCTGGCTCCGGTCGAGCTGATCGTACCCGTTATTAGAATAGATCCATGATCATCCATGATGTCTTTTTTTGTTAAACCACTCAGCATGAACTAATTGATGGATTCAGGAAGTCAATGTAAAGTTTTTGTCGAATGGGATCCGAATAAAAAAGGTACAGAATCTTATGTTTACGATGAGTTATAGTAATAATGATGGCTGCAGTTTTCTGTTCTGTGTAGATCTCGAGAACCTGTTTTCTGTGTTGGTTAGGTTCGACACATCAGCGTCTTCAGTCTCTGGGGGAGCGCTGAGGGGGAGTGCAAAGTGTCCCCCCCCCACAGCCGCAGCTTTGAACCTGTCATAAAAGTTTACAGAGCGCTGCAGTTGTGAGTTTGCTATCTCCAGTTTCCCACACTCACTCACTCTGCTGGGACAAAAGACGTGTGTCGTGTTACACATCACATTAGCCTCATGTTTGATCTGGTGTCTGCCAACGGGACAGGAGAGTGGGAGGGGGGGGTGAGGGAGGGAGGGAGAGAGGGACTGAGGGAGGGGAGGCGGCGAGCGACAGCTGCTGCGGACACTCAGAGCCTGAGAAAGTCCTGGGCCGGCCAAACTCCAAACCACTAAAGAAAAGTTTGAATGAGAGTTGGCTCATTCTGGAGGCGTGCCTGCCGTGGGGCGGGTGTGTCTGGTGGCGGCTGACAGAGGGGCTGATGGGAAAAAACTGTGGACAACAGAAACAGGACAGATTCACACACATTTGTCAGAGTTCAGGAATGTGCTTAATCTTATTTCTCACATGTTGGAGATGACACCATTGTTGAATATGATTTACATTTAGGCCACAGTGACAGAGGACTCTGACGCTAAGAGCCTCATGTGATGTCACATGACTGCAATAGGTTCGTTTGAACATATTTTACATGTTCTATTATTTATAACTAATGCCCCCTTCCTTCCACTATAGGACCTGTAGATCTGAAGGTGCAGACCCTCATGAGATCTTCATCATGAGATCTTCATCATGAGATCTTCATCATGAGATCTTCATCATGAGATCTTCATCATGAGATCTTCAGCATGACCCTCATCGTGAGACCCTCATCTTGAGACCCTCATCGTGAGACCTGAGGTGAACACTGCACAGACACAGAGACAGTTTTGTCATATTTAGTTGTGTTTATTTCTGGTGCTTCTCAGAAGCTTCATCGATACGACTTTATCATTTCACAGATGAACATCATCCACATAAATGTTATAATATATAACTTTAGACATGGGCCAGAGACGGTCACAGTTTAAATCAAATAGAATCATTTGAGATTTACAGGAGTCGATCCACAGGATCAGAGGTTCAACAGATAATAAGTGATACACTTATCAATAATGACCTAATGTAGGCACTAAACAATTTAAAACATTGTAAACAAATGTTCCCAACGTGAGAACAAACAGAACCCAGTGTGGGTTTGACACAGGTTTATAAAACCAACATGCTCTGTCCCAGAGGAACCAGAGACGCTTCTAACGAAGCAAAGTCCACAAGCTCTGAGGCAGAGCGATCTTCATCCACCTGAAGGACACAGTCTTCATCCACCTGAAGGACACAGTCTTCATCCACATAGACAGACGACTCTTCACCAGAATCTTCATCACTGGGCGTGACTGGAGGACTTGTTTCCGCCTTGTGGTCCGTGACACTGACAGCGTGCAGCTCACACTTAGGCTTAAACGAGGCCTGGTCTGGTGAGTCCTACCAGGGCCTCCAGAGCCCGTTGCTCTGGACCTTGCAGTGGTCCTTGTGCAGAGGGGAGCGTGGGGGGGTGGTAGGGGGACTCTTGGCCCCTGCTCCCTGGAAGTGTCCGAGCAGGCGTGTGTGAGCCTGCGTCTGCTCACAGTGGGACAGGAAGCTGACGGCCTCCTGCACACAGCGGCTGTATCCGTCCCCCGAGCTCTTCCTGGAGACTGGGGCTTTGGGGCCGCTCTGCTGCCAGGCCTGGAGGTACGCCACCGTCATCTCCAGGACGTCTGCTTTCTCCTGCTTAGAGGAGGGCTGCTGTCGGAGAAACTCTGGGCCCAGCAGAGACTTGAGCTGCTCGATACAGGTGTTGATGCGATCACGCCGGAGCTTTTCAACCATGGGCTTCCTCAGCTGCAGAGAGAAGAAAGTCAGTTAGTTTATCAGTTTCAAAACACACAGAGCATAAACTTATATCAGTATCTAGAATACAAGTATAGATTCTGCAGAGGAGCTGGACTTACTTTATGAGCTGAAGCCATGGTTTCCTTGGAGCACGATGCAGAGACAGTGGGAGCCATCGCAGTGCAGTGAGAGAGAGCGAGAGGAGCGTCTGTCGTCCTGCTCTCTCTGTCCTGTATTTATACTCCTCCCAGCGCCGCGGAGCGTGTGGGTTCTGGGTTCGCCGCACTTTCTCACAGTCCTCCGGCCAATCAGGCGCAGAGAAGGAGCTGCCACACGATCAATGGGCTGTTTAGGGTCCCTGGACAATGCCTCAGGCCTCATGGGAGCAGGTGGAGTCGTCTGGGGAGGGGGAGGGCGGGGGAGGGGGTCAGTGTGCCTGGGAACGTCCTGACCCCACAGAGGGGCAGGACGCTGGGGTGAGGGAGGCACACGTGGGGGACACACTTCCACCGCGGACTGACCAACAACTGCACAAGTCACAGTCGGACAAGTTTGAAAAGATACAAAACTTAGAGCAGAAAAAAATCCTCTAGATGTTTTATTCAATCTATTAACACCTGTTTAATATGAAAGAAGTTTGGATTATTAATGAGTTTTATGAAAGATTTGTGCATGTTTGCCCCATTATTATGATGGTTAGTTTAGTTAGAGTTTGGCTTGTGAGGCGCTTCGGGTTCCACTGAATGAATTGTGCTTTATAATTACATTTGTATTGATCTGTGACATAATGTGATGTTTTTAAATATTTAAGATAAGAGAACCTTTACTTGACCCAAATGTGTCCATTTCTGCTGCTCTGACCCGTCCTGCTCCACCCAGAGGCTGCTCCACCTCTGCTGCTGTCACCTGAAGGGCAGTTGCTTATTGTTACTGTTGTTAGCTTTTTAGAATGATCCATTTTTTTTTTTTTTCTGCTGCTGGACACCTGAATTTATCCTACGGGGATCAATAAAGTATCTATCTATCTATCTATCTAAAATACTCTGTCTGTAAAAACTGAACTGAAAGCCACAGGCAAACTTGTGCGTGAGATCCCCGCTAAGTCTATAATTTTTAACAGTAGTGTGATCATGAACAGATATTTCACAAAACTCTTTAGAAAAACACTCAACTTCTTCGGGGGTTTTTCAAACAAACATGATCTATATAAAACAATACATACTTGTACAATATCTCCTGTTGAATATGGCTGTGGTTTGAAGGTTTTGTGCGCTCACCTCTAAATCTGGAATAGACTGAAATAAAACTAATGAAATCCAGCTTTAGTTCTTCATTCTCCATCACTAGTTTTCACATGTGTATTTTTGGCCTTCGTTGCAGCTTTAGATCAGATTTTACAGACAGAAAAGTGAAAAAGACACGACCACCTTCATTTATCCCATCAGTTCTCATCCCAAAGTGTCAAATAGTGACTCACAGGGCTCTAGTAGTGACTTATTCTTACAAGTATAAAATATACCATGTTTTCTAGTAAGATGAAGACAGCCGTTGTGGTCTATTTTGTTCACAACATTTTACTTGACATTTTACTTGACTTTACGTGACTCTTTCTATTGGGACAAACAACAGGTGTTTTCTGCGACAGAATAAAGTTAGGTACCTGAGCTTTAAGAAGACATTTGTGAAAACACTGGCACACTTACCGCTGACAGGATTCTGTGGATTTGAAAGCTGGAGGTGTCGTCTCCCACACACGGCGTTTTTTGAAGCGTGATTGTTGTTGTTACATCTCTCACACACAGGACACACTCCGCTCTCACCTCGCTCTCCTCCACTTCCTGTTCGACGGCACATCATAAAAAACACAAGTACTGGAACTTTTGCACATTTTGCTGCGTTTATGATCAGAGAAAAGTAACACACAAGCATTCAATTCAATGTATTTTTTGTAAAGGCCTTAATCACAGCAGGAGGACTTGGAGCACTTTACAAAGCTGTTGAAACTGAGGCTGTTGATCCAGGACTGAGGCTGTAGATCCAGGACTGAGGCTGTAGATCCAGGACTGAGGCTGTAGATCCGGGACTGAGGCTGTAGCAGTGGAACTTTGGGATAGATTTTGTTTCATGTGGATTGTCCAGATATTAGATAAATTACTCCAAATTAAGCTATTTCCTGTATGTAAGATTATAAGAATACTGTAAAACAGGGGTCTCCAACCTGTAGCTCGGGAGCCACCAGTAGCTCGCCGGCCCCTTAGGGGTAGCTCGGGAACAAATACACTTAATTTAATACTTTTTGAGCCATTACATATCTATTATAAGTATAAATATAGGGTTATATAGTATTATGGTGCATTTTATATGTGTTCTCCGAGTTTGGTTGTAATTATTAGATTAATTATTAGATTATTATTACGACAAAAGGAGTAGCTCTCTGCCTCTTTGCTTGTATAAAAGTAGCTCTCAGATTGAAAAAGGTTGGAGACCCCTGCTGTAAAACCATCACCTAAATTACCGCTAAATATCGGGGATACAGGGAAACATCTTTGGACTGGAAGAGAATTTTGACTTTTGACACTCTCCATAGTTACAGATGAACATTTCTCAGCTGCCCTCTTCATTATCACACTTAAGTCTACCTTTGGAATGTTGTGATGTCACATGAATGCAGCCTACACAGAGATTACCACTCACACCCTGCATTCCCACATCTTTTAAACCGCGTTGGAATGCATGACACGGCTTTTGGGGGTCTGTCATCTCTAATACCCCCCATTTGTGGCACACTTCACCCCCTCCTCACCCCCTCCTGAGACCCCCTCAGACTCACACACTTGAGAGACGTGGGAGCAGCTCCGTCGCGTTCATTCCCACACTCCACAGCTCTGGTCTGGGGCCGCGGGACAAAAAAAGAAGTGTGCCCCCTCCCCTCCCTCTCCCACCCTCACCCCCCTCCCCCCTCTCCCCCCCATGCGAGTGTGGGCCTGGTATAAGGGCCACTCTATGAAGTCCAGGCCGGCCATCTGGACCAGGGACCAGGCCGAGGGACAATTGGCCTGAGAAACAGAGGTGCCGAAGAGTGGGAAAAAAAGTTAAAGAAAGGAAGTTTTTTTTTGTTTTTTTGTGACGTAATAAAGTAAAGGAAGGGTCTGGGAAGGCAAGGTTATTTGTATGGCACAGTTCATTGACAAGGCATTTCAAAGTGCTTCACAAAACAATAATACAAGGCATCTATCACTCTTAACACATGGTCCTAACTATTTATGAATCATTTAACCTGAAATGGTCAAAGAAAGAGCTACTAATTTGACTACAACCAACAAGTAAGTTTATTTATATAGCACAGTTCACACACAAGGCAACTCCCAATCAAAGTGCTGGACAAAGCAAAATCAAATACAATAAAATGTACTATACTAGGGATCTATATTTTATACATTTTAGAGGGAAGATACAATCCTTCAGTTGCTACAGCTGTTTTTAACCTGGTTTTGAATATTGTCAGTATAGAGACTAACATCAAGTGTAACGTAATCACTATAAAAAAAAAAAGAATGAATGGATGATAATTAAACAATGAAAGCTTTGCTATTATGTCAAAACAGTGCAACAACAGCTACAGTCTATTTTAAACGCTGCAGCTTGAGTCCTGACGAGAACCAGGAAGTAACAGAGAATAGACTTTAAAGCAGCTCTGTTTGTCACAGTATTCGTAATGGCCTCGCAACAAAGTACATCCGTGACTTGTTAGTGTCATGTGAACCGACTCGTACTCTGAGGAGCACAGGGACTGACCTTGTGCACGTGCTTAGAGTCTGAACTAAACATGGGGAGGCAGAATTTCAGATTTATGCAGCTTAAAATCTCAATCTTCCAGAAAGTCCTGCATGGCGTGGCCTCCGTCCTCCTTCTTCAGCCTGAGTCCTGGATTTATTGCCTGTCTGTGTGTGAGTTATTCCTTGCAGAAACAGGAGGGTCTCAGGACAGTGAAAATGATCCAGGAGACTCAACATTGGTCTCTGCCCCTTATAGACCAATTGCTCTATGTGTTTTCAGTTTTTATCAATGCATTTCTTGTGTTTGAACTGTGATTCTCTGATCTGTCTTGGCGAATTCAATGGTTTTGTAAAGTCCTCTGAGATAACAACTGTTGTGATTTAGGGCTATACAAGAATTTATTGAATTTATAATGCGAGACAGGCTTCTACTCTGACAATATTGAAATCCAGGTTAAAAACAGTTCATACAACTGAGGGACTGTATCTTCCATCCTGTTAATGTACTGTGAATATTTATGACTTTAATGCCTCGTGTGATTGTTTCTGTCCTGTTTTGTGAAGCACTTTGAGTTTCCTTGTGTATGAACTGTGCTATACAAACAAACCTGCCTGGAAACGACATGTGAAATAGGGCAACTTGACATCACACAGCTCCATCTATGGGAACGTATCCAGAAGCAGATGTTTCGGGGCTCATTCCCACACAGGCCTCTGCTGGAGCCCGAGCAGGAGGTTCTCAGGCCCCTCCTCCTGTTTCCACGCCGCGTCATTGTTGTCTGAGTGGATTATTCTCTCCTCCACACACTGGTCATTGTCACAGCGCCGTGCTCCCATTGGCCGAGAGGGATGCACCGCTGTGATTGGACAGAAGTCGGTGAGAACGGGGTAAAGTTTTGTATCAATGTCACGTTAAAGCCAGAAATGTGAATGGAGCCGAGGCTGGTGTGTGTGCGTGTGCGTGCGTGCGTGCGTGCGTGCGTGCGTGTGTGTACTCCTTGATGCTCTTGCGTGAGTTACTGTGGACACTAAGGCAAGCAAGGCAAAGTTATTTGTATAGCATTTCATACACAAGGCAACTCTAAGTGCCAAGTGCAGAGATAGTAAGAATCACAAAGCTTTGAAATTAAATAATCACAAAACTGAAGAAAAATTACAAAAGCTGCAAAGGTCTGACAGTTGTGTCAGAAGACATTTTATTGTTGGTAAAAAAAAAATACGACCAAAGATTTGCAGCGTGTGATTAAACAGCAATGCATCTTCTCCCTACAGTAAGTCTGCATAGGTTTCCTCCGGGTGCTCCGGTTTTCCCCACCACTAAATATTTGCTGAATAGGTAAAACCCTCCAGCTGCGGTCCTGACCAAGCCGAGCAGTAACATCTGGAGATGGGTCCCTGGCGCTGTTACTACGGCAACCACTGCTTCCGAGTCCTGACGTAAGCCTTAAAAATGGCATCAGCATTGGTCAAATGCAGAGGACCAATTTCCCTTCAGGGTCTCGTGTCGGTATTTAGCCTTTAGGGAACGGTCTCGAAGGTTTTCACAAACAAACTATGGTGCTGTTTACATGAGGACGCTATAACAGTAAAACGCTGAAGTTGGGAATCGGTTTGGCCTTTCGTTTACATGAAGACGGTGTTTCAGTTGAGCTACTATTGTATGTCAGAACAAAAGAGGATCTTTTCCTTTGGGGAAATGTGAGAAAGCAAGGTCTTAAAACAAAATGTATTATACTTTACAAGCAGCTTCATTATATGTTCGTTTGGAAATTGTTTTACGACTGTCCATCCATCCTCTTCCCCTTAATCCATTTCTGGGTCGGGGGGTTGGGTGTCAGTCAGAGCTGCACCCAGTACACTTAGCACCAGCCCCTCACTGATCCTCCTGCAGGTGGTGAGTCCACAGGACTTAACCTTGCCTGCAAGCTGAATTCTCGCGGTATTTGTGAGTTCACAAACACTCGAGAGAACGCGTTAGAGTTCTACACAATCATCAATCTGGCTTTTGCCAGGTTACACAGGACTGTCAAAATATGAAATTAAGATAAATGTAGCGACATTTTAGCCATGACTGACTTTATTTCTTGGGCTGTTTTGCAGTCACACACACAATGTTTTAGAGTATTTTTAATAATTGTATAATGTAAAATTATTCAACATATTTGTCAATCCTTAGGGGAGGTACTGACTCTCACTGCTGTCGTTGTGTCCTTGGGCAGGACACTTTAGCCCACTTCTATAAGGAGCACTGAAGTAGTTTGCTGCATGCCCTGATGTGATGTGTGTAAAACCGAATTTCTCCATTGTGAGATCAATAAAGTATATCTTATCTTAAGCTGTAGGTGGGAGACCCCTGCTCTGAAGAGTGAAGGACTATGTCTAGAAAAGTGCTGTGTAAAAACAGATGCATTTTGAGTCATGAGTTTTCTGAATTAAAATAAATCATGCTTCTATGTCCGTTTCAGGTTTTAGAGATCGTTAACATCAGCACCATGAGCTGTGGTTTTATAACAGATCCAGGGTTTTTGTCTGGTTAAACTGATCGCGTGGGGCGTCACTGCCCTCTTGTGGCCACATGCAGAAATGGCCCTAAATCTTCAGTGTCAGAATCTCACGATCATTTAAATGAATAGACACAGACAGAAACAATCGGACACTTTTGCATCATCTTCGTCCATCGTCTGGTCCTATCTCTGTATGTGTTAAAATTGTCTTGTTTGATACAAGTATCGACTGTCACACTATAAAAATACATAAAAAGGAGGCAGTATGACCAGGGTGAGATTTGGAATAAGTAGGGCTTTATTAGTTCTAAAGTTTCCAAAAAGCAGACATACAGCAACATTTGGACAAAAAATAAACCAAAAACAATTATAGCAGCGGGAAAGAAATAAACTTTGAGTCAGCTCCACACTCCATGCATCAGTTCTACGGATAAAACATATCAAATACACCTCAGAAACACAGTCAGAAATGTCCAAACAAAGGCAGAAACAAGATTTATTAATAAAGTAATAAATTATTCCAACATTTGCGGCGTGTGTCTGGGGGATTTTGATCACGCCGCTTCCTTTGTGTAGCTCTGGTTTTGATAAAAACAAAAACAAACCAAGAAACGTGTTGCTTCCAGTTGGGTGAGAAAGAAATATTTAACGAAATACAAAAATAACCGACAAAACCTGCTCCCAAATGTATTAAAAGGATCAAACAAGAGATAAAAACCAAATGCCACTCGTAGCTTCAACACTGCATCCAAATATTACCCAGTGTTTAAAATGATCCGACATCTTTGTGATGATGTCTGCAGTTTGTGTGTTACGAACAGCTAGCGGTGTTTTTACTTGAGCTAATGTTTTGAATGAATTCCTGGTTCAGGGAGATTTGAGTTGTTTTTTTTAGGGAGGGAGCGAGAGAGAGAAGAGAGAGATGTGTTCACGGCAAAGAGTTCAAAGCGTCCTGGAGGAACGAGTCCGGATCCGGGATTTCAGACAGAAGACCTGAAAAAGACAGAGGTTAGCCATTTTTTAACACAATTAGTTTAAAACATTGAGATGAAAGGCAAAGTTGTTTGAACAAAGATTATGGAGAGTAACGTAGCTCAATCAAAGAGAGCCGAAAAAGTCTTAAAATCTATTTTGAGTTACACATTTTCTATTTACTGTGAGATTTTTTAAAACAACCACATGAGTAATATTAGTGTCAGAATGTATCATTTAGTTTAATAATTCTTTAATACTGAATATTTCAAATACGTTTTTAGTCGTAACGCCAACTAAAATTTGTCTTAGAGCCAGACAAAATCATTGAAAGCGCCAAATATGGCTCCAGAGCAATATTGAGTATAATTTTTAGTCATTTAGCTATAATTCTGATGTTTATATAGTTAGAATGTGTGTGTACATACATACACATTTAATTTATTATATATAATTCATAGTGCACTAAAGCACTAAAACATTCGACACTGGCCAAAGAGTACATTTGTGGGGGAGCAAATATTTTATTTGAGTTCAACTCTCTATACAAGTCACATCAACAGTTGTGTGTAATGACAGATCAGACACAACGGTCCACATGAGTTGCCTCAGAGAGTGGCTGGGAGCTGCCTTAGAGATAGGCAGTAGTCTTCATTTAGTGCATTCCACAGACCAGAGTCACTATGAAAGGGTGAGGAGCTCAGTCACGCGGGAACAGCTCCAACTAGAGCCGCTGCTTCTACCGCAGTTTGAGATGCCTCCTGGACAGGAACCTTGTTAGTTGAGAGCCAAAAAAGTATCATACTTTAAGATGTAGTTCTGTGGGAGCAATGCACTTTTATTTTCTTACTCTGAATATATGTGATCTTTAAAAACAAGATCCACACAGAGTGCAAGATTAGTCTCAGATAGGGATGTAAAAAACTATGAATTTTCATGACCGACCACCGAGCCTCATTAACCGGTCAAAACCGGTTAACCGCGTAGTTTAAAATATTCATCCCTAGTCTCAGAATGTATTCTTTTGTTCCCTCATCAAAAATAGATCATGTGATATTTCTGATGAAGGAGCAGCAAACAAACTGTTGAGGTTTGGAGACTGGGTCCATGTGACTTCTTCTGGAACAATGAGGTGTGGACACTCACCTACGACGTCAAAGAACTCTGACAGACTCTCGGCCGGCATCAGCTCGTCCTGGAAGGCTCTTAGCACCCGCTCCGACGCCTCGTAGATTGGCATGTCGTTGTGCCGCACATACTCCGCTAACGAGAAGGACCAGCCGCCCTCAGTGGTGCTGGTGGGAACCTTCTGCTCCACAAACAAAAGCGAGAGAACAGACGTGAGACCATTATTATAGATCCATGCATGAGACACACACAGGGGGCAAAGGACTGAGGCGGTGTAAAACGATAGTTTGGTATCAGTTTGGCCTTTTGTTTACATGAAGACTGTTTCAGGAGAGTGAAAATGCAAGCCTTGAGAAACAGCCTCCAGAGTGTAACAGACAGATACACTGCTCAGATTGGGGCCGTTTAATTTCTGTGTGAAGAAAAAGTTGTGAACTCTCTGCCTACAATAGCCTCAACACTTCCCCACACGTACATTACGCAGTAGCCGAGAACAAAGGCAAACAATGGTGGAGGATCAACGTGAGGAGAATTCTACTCTTTTGTACAAACGAAGCGAGAACAACATTGTTGTGTAGACGCTGTGCACTTCAAATAAGGAGCCTGGTCATTTTGATAAGCACTTTGAGCTGCCTTGTGTATGAACTGTGCTATATAAATAAGCTTGCCTTACCTAATAAATAAACCGTTATTTTCCCCTGGTAATTACCGTCAGGAAACGTCTCCCTCTCTTTTCACTATGTAATCATGGCTCCATTGAGACATTGTTTTGCAAGTGAGATATTCCTATGAATTTACTTATACTATAAAACTACTTGTTACAAATACAATTTATATGCAATAAACTGGAAACAGGCACTTTCTTCTGTTCCATCCAAATTATTTCCATTGCTAGCATCATCATAAAATTGCCCAAGTGTGTCTTACAGGTTTTGACTGCTCATATCATCTACTGTAGTTTGAGTAAATCTGACAAAACAATTCACCAATTTTTAAATTGTCCATGCCCGCCCTCTGTCCTGTGTGTGCGTTTGCTTGTGTGTGCCCTTACCCTAAACATGTCATAGACAAGATCCACTAGTCCCCAAAAGAGAAGAGGGGAGCGATAAACTGCATATTCCTTTGGTGCTTTGTCTGAGAGTCTGGAATGAAAAACACAGGTATACACAAGATTACATCACAATAATCTAAAGCCACCCGTGAAGTGGTGAAGCCAAATCTAGTCTAACTGGGCAAAGAAGGAGGTCTTAAGACAACAATAATTTGTGTCCACTGTCACTTTACTGAGTCACTTTGTCCCAGACCCTCATGCTGCTCGTTCTCCTCATTCCTACTGTTCTGTAACTGGTGATGCAACACTGACATTTGTAAATTGGTCAGGCCTCTCGCTTTGGACTAATGGCTTCCATGTCTTACGAAAATAAATGAAATTGAATTGAAAGAATTCTCACTTGTTGGTGGTGGCTGGAGAGACCTTGCGTACGTGTGCGGTCAGCAGGAGGCGCTGGAGGAAGTAGAGGCGTGAGGTCCTCCAGCGCTCCGGAGCTTGGATGTGCATTCCCAGGATGGTGTAGTAGTGAGGCCCCTCCACGTCGTATGAACTCTCCACCCACTTCTCACACGGTTGCTCCTGGAAGCTCTGGAGGTTCTTCTCTTCCCGGGACGTGGCTCTGGTGCTGGAAGGGAATGAAGAAACAGTAGTTATGGACATTATGTATGGTCTAATGATCAAGGTCCTGTGATTTAGGGCTGTATAAAAATAAATGTAATTGAATTGAAGAAGGAAATCTAAAATAAATCTTATGAGGCTGGATACAGTTCCTATTTCTCATTTTGGTAAATCTAAAAGTGCAGACTGGAGATTGATCTAAAGCTAGAAAGAGATAGATACTTTATGGATATTAATCATTTTTCTGGCATAAAGTGCAACTTAACTGAACTCAATTCAAAAAATGTATTGACCCCAGGGGGAAAAATGTTGTGGATGTGGTGGAGCGGTAAAATAATACTATAAAAATAATAGACAAAAGAAAACATTTAGAATGACTATGGCACACATACCATGGAAAACTCAATCAAAAAGAAGAATGTAGAAGTGCTAGTGCCAACGCTAGTGAAAGCATTATATGTTGTCTGTTAATGTGCTAGTGCTTTCAGGTGCTGTGAGAGGTGGTTCTTACGTGTTGAGGACGTAGAGCACAGTGTGTATGATGTAGGGGATCAGGTGGATGTTACTCTCTCGTCCTCCTCCTCCGGTGTCGACGCTGAACGACTGCTCGGTGGCGAATCGCAGGAAAAGCAATTTGGTGTCGTGGATGTTGAGCTGGTACGTGGGCTCCCTCTGCCCTGTGCACTCTTGCAGATATGTGTTGTGTCTGGAACAACATAATTATAGAAACCATTTAAAGCACATTATACTAAATATATAGAACAGAGCCCTAGCTCCATGCAGCTTTAAACATAACAAAAGAACCCTTTAATATTTAATAGACCAGAGAGAGAGAGACACACAAAGAGAGAGAGAGACCGAGAGACACAAGAGAGCGAGCGAGACACCAGAGAGACACCAGAGAGAGAGAGACATCAGAGAGAGAAAGACAGAGAGAGAGGGACCAGAGAAAGAGAGGGACCAGAGAGAGAGAGAGAGACCAGAGAAAGAGAGAGACCAGAGAAAGAGACCAGAGAGAGAGAGAGACATCAGAGAGAGAAAGACATCAGAGAGAGAAAGACATCAGAGAGAGAAAGACCAGAGAGAGAGGGACCAGAGAAAGAGAGGGACCAGAGAGAGAGAGAGACCAGGGAAAGAGAGGGACCAGAGAGAGAGAGAGGGACCAGAGAGAGAGAGAGACCAGGGAGAGGGAGAGAAATAGGCGAGAAGGTTGTGGTTACCGTGCTAAACACGTGGCGAAGGCTGATTCTGGCACATGTGGCCCCCAAACAGGAAGCAGCCCGTTACATTTGGTGCTGGCGTTCTGTAGAGCAGCACTCTCCCACTCCTCCCGACCACGAGCCAACCTGAGCCACAGACACAGACATGTTGTTATGCTGTTATCTTCACCTGTCACACTCTCTGAGACACAGAACAGTTTGTACCGGACGGCTGCGAGATGACAGTCGTAGTGGACGATGTTGAAGTGCGACACGGTGCTGTAGCCTTGCTGCTTCCTCGGCTTGTTCTCAAACTCCTCCAGGTTCACTCTCTTGGTGAAGGTGTAAATGCCCAGCACCTTCGTCGGCTTCAAGAGAAGAAAAAAAAAATCTAGTTTAATATCCTTCCCTCCAGTTAATCTATAAGCAGACGCCCCTCTCACTGGCTCAAAACTTTGTCAGTAACTCCCTTAGATCCTGCTGGAGGGTCTAAGGTGGTGGTGATGATCCAGGACTGTCAATGTTTAAGAACATTGATCAACATTTGTCTCTGCCCCTTATGGACCAATGGCTATGTGTATTTTATCATTGCATTAATTGTGTTTGAACAGTTTGATTCTCTGATCTGTGTTGGTGAATTCCTCTGAGGAAACTACTGTTGTGATTTAGGGATACAAGAATTAACTGAATTTAACAGAAATGGCTTGGCGGGGAGAGAAGACCTGGTTGAGCTTGTTTATATATTAGAGGTACGGGCATTTGTGGAAAATCTTACAATTCTATGTCTTACTAATTTATGACTTGTTCTGCTCCATGTAAGCAAGTTTGTGAGCTCCTGTGGTGGCATTCTGATGTTTTGCACCTGAAACTTGTAGCCCTCTCGACAGATGCAGCAGGTCAAGCCCGGCTCCTCAATCAGCTCCTCCATCTGCTTCAAGAGCGACGTCTTGGTAACGACTTGTCCCTTCTCGTTGGTCTGAGAACGAAACACACAGAACACATATCTTAATCATAGTCGAGCAACAAAACGTTCGCACACGTGTGTACCGTCATAGCATGTGCGTATATATATGTGTGTATATATATATACCGTCATGCCCAGAGTGCCCAGGGCCTTCTGCCTCATCGCCATAGCCATGCGTTTCTTCTCGGCTCTGGTCTCTCTTCTCGCTGCATCAATCTTCATGTTGACGTCGCTGTGCTCCCTCAGAGCCTCCAGAAGGTTTTCGGCCAGAGTCCCGATTCCCTCATCACTGGAAACCTGCTCCAGTTTATGCAGGTTTGTGATGGAGTCTGTCCCTATCAAGACCTAAAGTTGGTGCCAGAGACAAACCAAGGTTACAGACAGGACTGCATAGGAGTGGACCAAGTGCATAGGACAGGGGTGTCAAACTCATTTTGGTTGGGGGCCAAATTTAAAAACATAAGAGCTGGTTGGGGCCAGAGTTATAAAAGTGATTTACAAGTTTAACTTTGTTGTCTTTTGAAAAATTAACTGTATTTGACATTTTCGGTGGCTATAATCCAAACCTTCGATTTCTAATACAGTCGATACAGACTAGAGGAAAGCTGTGTTGTGCACCTGTGTTGGAGGATGTTGCACTGCTAAACCACGTAGAAGTCTAAGGATGAAGGGCAGCGCTGGTCGAGAGAGAAACTTCTTCCACACATCTGCATCCAGACTGAAAACACGAGAGGAGAGAGGTTATATTACAAGAATAGTACTCAAGAAGTATGAATTACAACAGTGAAAACAAGGCAATACTTTTTGGCATTAGGAATATGTTTCTTCATGTAGTCCAGGGCGCTCTGTGTGATTCCTTTCTGGAGTATGAGGTCTTTGAGTTGATGTCCGTTGCTATTGTTTTTGATTCCAGCCGCAATTTTACAGAAGCAGTCTAAAAACACCTTTTCGTCCGCGCTGTGCTCCTCGTCGTACCTGGAAAATCAGTTGAAAAAGCACTTAGTTCGGTTTTATTAGATTTTCAGGGTTTAATATATACCTACAAGTACTAATACAACTTTTACACCAGTGAGTGGCAAGAAGAAAGCCAGGCCTTGCTGATATAGAAATAATCCAGAACATTTATGGACACAAGTCATCTCATTACCTATGGACCTTCTATGTGTTTGTTATTATTGCATTTCCTGTGTTTGATTCTCTGATATGCTGTGACATTTATCAAAATGTATGAACAGTGGTCATTCCCCCTTATGGATCATTGCATTTCTTGTGTTTGAACTGTTTTACTTCTCTAGAAAGTTGTCAATTTGCCAATACAGATCAGTCCTCAGAGTTAACTACTGTTATGATTTAAAGCTATACAAAAATACATTGAACTGAATTTGGATTAAATTGGCTACTACAGTTGAATGAGGTCTTTTTGGCGTAAAACTAACTAATTACACTCAGCACACCATTCCCCAGTGTCAAATATAGTGATCATCATCATGCTATGGGGTTGCTTTTCTTCAGCAGGAACAGGGAAGAATATACAATTTCATAGATGGGTGGAGCCAAAAAGAGGAAAAACTCCTTGTCACAAACAATCAATGTAATCTAATCTAGCTAGACTTGTATATAATTTTAATTTCACTTCACACTTGTCTGTTACTTTGTTGTGGTAGTTTAAGTTGTATTAGTACTTTGCTTTGGCAAGCCTCTGTTGCTGTGAGAGGAGAGGGAAAAAGTCTGTACTTGTCAAAGCTGCAGCAGGGTTTAAAGCGCTCTACAAGGATCCGCATCTTCTCCAGTTCCCCGAAAGACAGATAAGGGATAATCCGCAGAAGGCCTTGTAGAACACTGGGGTTGGAGCGGACGAACGGAGTGTTGATCTGGTCTAAAAGCATCACCAGCTGGTCTTTGTCTCCCGTCAGAAGCAAGTTGCCCTAAAGAGAAGTACAATAATAATTAGGAATATTATTAGGTCCACATCTGTTAAGTTTTGGTTTATGATATACACTGGCCACATAGTTATATAGTCCGCAGATCAAAATACTAAATACCAAAAAAGGTGTCTTATAATCCGGCAATCCCGCTTATTTGATTAAGTTGTCAGTGGTCAATGGTGGTTTGTTCGTTTTGTAATTATAGAAATTATGTGTACATGTTGGAGGCTTATTAACAAACAAGTCCATTGAGTGCAACCAGAAATTCTTTTAAACTTGTATAGATGAAAATTGGTGATGAGAATAGGAAAGACTGGTATGAGATGGAGAACCAAACAATATTTTGAACAGGGCCAGCACCTTGTCCTCCGAGATCTCTGCGTTGGCTTCGTCCAGAATGATCTCCATGATGCTCAGGACCTGCTCTGCTATCGAGGCTCCTCCACTGTCTTTGCTCTCCTGCTCGGCCACAAGCGCCTGTGAAGGAGACAGACCATTATAAAACATTTACAATACTTTCTGGACGTGTAGGCGCACCTGTGTATAAGTGTGTTGTTTACATATAGGCTGCACTTTCATAAAAGCTGCAGGTTTTCATGTGCAAAAGAGAAACACAAGAGAGAGACCGACCAGAGAAAGAGACCTGAATCCGGTACCTTTGTCTAAATGAAAGCATTGTTCATGTATACACATTGAGAATCTGTGTCACGTACCAAGTTGAGCGTTCCCAACATGACATTCAGAGTGTTCATCTCTGGTTTGACAAGCTGCTGCCGGTTGATCTTCACCTTCACACAGTAACTAAACAACTTCAACAGCACCTGGAAATGTAGAAGAATAAACATTATTTAGGGGAGAAACTCAATATTACCTGCACTTGAATATACTGTATTTACTTCTATATGTATGCTCCTTATTATGCTAAAGGAGTCAGGAGTTTTTGTACTTAAGTCTTGCTTCTTCATCATGCTAAAGTTGGAGATTTTAGACCCATTTCTTTGTTATGCTAAAGATGTTATACTGCTTATTTTTATGCTAGAGTTAGAGATTTTATTTTATTATGGATTTATTATTCATTTATCTTGTGCTTTGTGCTCCTCATTCTTACTGTCTGTTACTTGTGACGCAACACTGAAATTTCCCCACAGTGGGACGAAGGATTATCTTAAAACGGACGAACAGTAGATTCACGACTCGAGTGATTACAAGAGGAAACATTCACTTGTTTGGTGGTTTTACATCCATAAATAATGCATTTTTCCCCAAAGAAAACCAGCGTTGGTCCAGTTAAAATGAACAAGACAAAGTGTAATCTTGCCACTTAAGGTGTTTAGTTTAAACACCTTAACAATTTTAGGATTTGCCAGAACGTACAGTGTTTCACTAAAAATAGCATGGGTAGAACTAAAAACAAGTCCAGTTTTGATAAATGCACAATGTTGGAACCTGGAAAAAAACCGCAAAAGGGACGATTTTGTCTCTTTTAAAACCTATTTAATTTAGTGAGTGAGTAACAGATGAACTTGAGAAGTAAAGCACTTTGATCTGTATCCGGCTCACCGTTAGAAGATGCCTCCCTTGTTTGAAGTCCTTAATTCCGGACAGTCTGTTGAGCATACACTCCAGTCCTCCACACTGAGCCATCACCCCTGCCATCTTGTACACTTCTTCATCATCCTCCTCCTCATCTGGAGACAAACCAACACATTTACAACATGTTTATTATGCCAGATCATGAAAAATAACCCAGAAAACCCATCATTTACCTGTGGTGGAGTCCAGGGATTCAATGAACTCCTCCGTAGCATCTCCCAGCAAACCTCTCATCCTGTAGATTATTCTCATTGGCTCACCCTGCAAAATAATAAACAAATAGAAACATTAAACATGTTTTTCTAAGAGCGCTAAATCCCAAAGTTTAATATAATTTACCTCATTAGTCGGGCACCAGACTTTCTTGTAGACCTCAGCGACTGACAGATCCAAGCTAATGATTTTGTTGTTCACCAAAAGCTGAAAAGAAGAATTATGGAGTTTAATTCAGCCTTGATGGTTACTTCGGCATTTAATGTTTAAGAAATTTGAAATTATAACAACTATATCATGCCCAATAGCTGAGGGAAGTAACTTTTGTTATTAGAACATAAATGAATAAACATAAATAATGGCTGATGTAATAATCTTTAATTTGGTTTATTTAGTCCTTAAGTGGTGGAACTGTTTGGTGCTGTCAAATGTATTGGAAATCAAATATTAAACGAGGTACTTATTGCAGAAAAATAAAATAAACAAAACACAATGTGAGATCCTATGAGCCATTTTTGAATGATTTTGATCTCAGAAGTAAATGATCTAGTACTAAAATGTTATTGATGTTAAAACAATCCAGAGAAAAAGACAAAGATACAGGAGAGAGACAGACAGAAAGAGTGACAGAGAGAAAGACAGACCAACAGACGGACAGATAAATAATAAATGATTCTGTTGTGGTACCTCCATCCCGCTGTCGTCCTCCAGCAGAGCCACCAGGTCACAGTCCTGGCAGATCTTATTCTTGATGTCCCTCATGAGGGGGCCGATTCCAGGCTCGTTGCTGCTGTAGGGGTTCCCAGGCATCCGGCCCTGAAGGAAGTCCTCCTGCTGTGGGTCCTTCTCCAGTGTCACAAAGAACTCAGTCACCTCGTTCTCCTCCTGGAAGCAAAGAAGAAGAGGTGAGTAAAGCTGAGGAGTATAACAACAACATAAATTGTGAGAGTTAGACCACAGACACTTACAGGGTAGATGATGCTGCAGAGCCTCTCAAAGATAAAGACCGGGGTCCTGTAGTCGTCCAGGTTGTACCTCTTTGCAGTTTCAATGCACACGGCCATGAAGGCTTTGGTCTCAGACTCTGTGCCTAGAAACAAGAGACAAGGCTTTCGGTCAACATTGTCAGTTAGGCTGCATTAAAAGGGGTCACAACAATATATAACTTATCACAGGTCATCAAGGCACAATGGTTTCCCCTTAACATATTTACATTCTAAGGGTACGCTTCCCCCACTTAAAGTCCACTCTGGTTCACTTGGGACTGAAGCTAGAAGCTCTCAAACTTGATTTATGGGCATCATTCATCTTCCCTTATTGACCAATGGTTCAGTTTTTTTAATCATTGCCTTTCCAATGTTTGAACGGTTTGATTCTCTGATCTGTGAACGGCTTGCAAAGTCCTATATAAACTACCATTTAACTCAATTTGGCCAAATATATTTGTTATTTTCTGTGAAAGCTACAATCAGAATAAGCATAAATATTTAAAGAAGAGAAGAAGGAAAAATGGAGCCGAAATAACCAGTGTGTAGTTTGTTTATAGTAGTAGTAGTAATCTTTATTTATATACCGCCTTTTCACTGCAGATCTGAGTCTCAAAGCAGTTTTACAATTGTTAATTATGGGCACTTGTCCTCTCACTCCACACAGAGATGGGAGCGGGGTCGCCAGTACAGGAGGCGCATGCCAGAACTATTGGACATATTTTTAGTGGTAGGGGAAACCGGATTACCCGGAGGAAACCTACGCAGACACGGGGAGAACATGCAAACTCCACTCAGAAAGGCCCTGGTCCGACCAGGATTCGAACCTGAGAGGCGAGAGTGCTATCCACTCAGCCACCGTGCCGCCCATACATAGCTTTTTAGAATATAGTTTTTTAGAATCAATGGCAATAGTTTTATTTTTGAATGACCTACTATTTAATCCCTAACCCAAACCCTACTGTTAATAGGTTTTGATATTCTTTTTTGGTTTGGCTCAGATATACTGGACCAAAGTGTATGAAAAATCTGAGTATTTTAGATTGACTTACAGAATGTTTTTACAACTACAAAAGGTCCAGGGGTTGCATAGAAATGTGAATCGGGTCTGAGTAAGAAGGCTGTCACGTTAGGGATGTAAATCGGCGACCGTTTAACCGGTGGTTGACCGTCACAGCGTTAACCGGTCAAAGCTGTCGGTTAAAAAAAGAGAAAAAATAACGCTATTTTAAGCCCTATTTGCACAGTGTGACGAGCGGGTCTGTATCTAGCTGTGTGCGCCCATGTATTATAAACTCCGGGACGACTCTCACGCCGCACGAGCCACATATATACACACGCACACACACACACACACTCCATACGTAACATCCACACGCATCATCTCTCCCCTCTGTTACCGTCAAAGTTGCACACTGGCGCGGGTCAGAACTACATTGGAGCTTACATTTAGACACACACACATATACATACACACACTCATACACACATACATACACACACACATACACACACCGGTCTGTCGCGCTCCTCTGTGTCACGGAGCCCAAAGGATTCGCGCAAATACGCGGCTCCAGTCAAACCACATGGAACATGTTTGTGTTTATGGTCCTCGGGATCAGCTCCACACACATCACTTGTATTTAAACTTTTGTGAAGACCTGTGAGACGCGGCTCGTCACTCGCTGCTCTGACCATGTGAACGAGCCGTCATTTGCTGCTAGAAAGTTTTGGTGTTAACCCGCAGCACAGCAGAATGGGAAGATTAAAAAAGCAGTTCTCTGTGCGCAAAGGTGCCGGAGCTGTTGCGGGTTTGGGCGCCGCTGTCTCAACTCTGATCCATTAGAATGCTCAGCTGCACTTATGAAAAGTACGCGGCTCGAAATGGCTGTTATTTCAAAGAACGTGGACTATTTTAAACTACGCGGTTAACCGGTTTCAACCGGTTAATGAGGCTCGGTGGTCGGTCATGAAAATTCATAGTTTTTTACATCCCTATGTCACGTATTTAAACCTTGTTCCAAACCACATAAATCGTACCCGTGGTCATGTCCTCGAGCATCTCCAGCAGCATGTCCTGCGTCTCATCAATCAGTTTGGTTCTTTGAACCACGAGTTTACGCAGACACAGGTAACCATTCAGCACCGTTCCCACCAGCCGGCTCTTGAAGTGACGCTTTATGGACTCAACCTCCACAAAAGAGGACAGAAGGCCTGCAACAAGGGCAAGGATGTATCACTCAATGAAACATATTTGATTAATATTTCACATGTGCTTCATTGTTTACAAGTTTACAGGTTACTTAAATATGACCTAAATATGGCCTACTTCCTCAAATCTATCTTTTATAACTTAGATTAAAAGATCTTTTACTCGTCCCACACTGGGGAAATGTAATTGTTGCACCAGTCATACTGTTTATATAAATTAACTATATCTATATACACAATTCTTTTTACAAAACCCCTGGCATAATAAGAAAGCAAGTGTAAAATTGCTAACTTTAGCATAATAATGAGGCAAGTATAACATATCTAGCTTTAGAATAATAAAGAAGCAAGTAAAACATATCATATCACATCATCTAAACATAATTTAGAATAATAACAATTAAGAACAGCGCCATCCTTTCAAAAGATAAGAAAAATGATTTTCTTTTACCAGTGAGGCTTTTGAGCGCATAGCCTTGTTGCAGGTCTGTGCTCAGAGTGGCTTCTTCCAAAGCCAGAAGATTTGCTATTTCCTAAAAAAACAAAAACATTGATTAGTAATAGGATTTAGTAAAACAAATATACAGGATGTGAGAATTCAGAGGTTCATTGGTCCTTAAACATGATCTTGAGAATATCCGCTCATTTTCTATTATGCTTGTGAAGCAAACCAGCTGCAGTACATTCAAAATGCAACAGCTCGAGTCCTGACTCGAACCAGGAAGTACGATCACATTAGTCTAGTTCTCAGGTCTCTGCACTGGCATCCTGCGGCTCAGAGAATGGACTTTAAAGCAGCTCTGCTTGTTACAAGTATCGCCATGGCCTCACACCAAAGTACATATGTGACATGTTAGTGCCTTATGAACCAAGTCTTACTGAAGAGCATAGGGACAGCCCTCTTGCTGGGACTCATATTTGTGCCCATTATTGCCCAAAGTTCTTCATATTAGCATGGATGGAGCCAAAAACAACTCCAGGTATGATGAGGAACAACGCAGTAAGATGGAAGATTTTGCAGAATACGTTTAATGAGATGTTGCACCTTGGTGATGAGGTTTCCGATGTAGGGCAGGACTCCGCGGGCAGCAAGGTAAACCTTCCAGTGCGTGGGTTTGATGAGTTTCTGATACAGACCCAGATACTCCACCGCACACTCTCCAGCAACACTCAGCTCGTCCAGATAACTGCACGCACACACACACACACACACACACACATACACAGAACATCAAGTCAGCGCTCAGCAATCTTCATATTATTGCATGTACACTGCAGGTAGAAATATTAAGGATGAAATAAAAAAAAATGAGTTGAGAGGTGCAGAGACCTGGTGAGAAGGTCCAGGACTTGCTGCTTGCGGCTGGGGATGGTGGTCAGAGCCTCGACGATGGTGCAGGCGGCTTGGCGAGCTGCTTGAGTCGCTGGAGTAAACAAAACCTGAAACAAACGCATGAGTGTTTATTTTTTAAATGTCTATTTATATAGCCCAAACTAAGGTGGGGGTGAGATCCGAGATAGAGCAGGGATTTATCTTTATATAATAAATCAGAAAAGAGTCCTCACCTGCCGCAGCCAGTTGTTGTGGCTGAGTTTGAGCAGTCGTGGGAACAGACCGTCTCCTTTCCTGGATCTCATGAACTGCTTCCACTTCCAGGCATATTTCTCCAAAAGATACTGCCGCCTCAACTCTGCCTTGTTCTGAGGTTTTGGCATGTTCTCCTGGCCTGTAATTTAACAGAATATTATTTAAAGTTAGTGTTTTACGAAAAGCGTTAAAAATTAGAAACTTTGTCAAAAAACTAAAAACATTGCATTTTCTAAGCATTCAGAACAGAGGCAGAAAGAATAGTATTGAGTAGATGTGAGGGTTTTTGCTTTGTACATTTGTGTCAAGTTATATAAGATCCCCACATCTTTTTTTGATGAGGGAATAATGTAACCAGATTCAAAGCTGAATAAAATAAAATCATCATACGTGTTCTTTAACCAGGACTCCCAGATTTCTGAAACTACTATAACTCCCTTAGCAGCCATTTTGACAGTTCTCATTCAAAATCAATGGAAAAAGTTCATTATCCTCAAGTTCATGGTCCACACTGCACTCACATCGGGCTGGGAGGCACTTCTTCCAGGCCTCGTATGAAGCTTTAGGATCCTTCTTGAGCCAGAGCTGGGCCTGGGCATGGATCTCATTACTGTACGGTCGGATGGTAGTGAGAGACTCCACGGCAGCTTCCTGAAAACAGTCAAAGCCTCGACGTAAATACAAACAAATATTTTTAGATCCTTCAAGAGGAGAAACCATGTTGTAGTAATCTGCACCTTGTTCTTTTTGCTGGTTGGAGCTGGAGGCTTGATGAGCTTCTGGAGAATTCTCAGACACATTAAAGTGATGTTCTCCACCACGACTGGAGTTTTTATGTTCACAGACATGAGGAAAAGGCTCAGAGCTGGAACAAGAAAAAACGCATACATTTTTAACATGCCACACAAAAAAGCCATTTCAATTTGCAAACCAAGTAATTTCCCATTGGATCTACGTCAAAATAAAAAAAGCTTATCCAGCTTGTAGGTTTAACCTCAAGGCCCCAACCTATGGCCTGGATCATAGAGGCTGAGGGTTTTGATATGCATAAACTGTAAATAATATAAATTTACATAAACCTAAGTTGCTAGTTTTGTTGCAGTGATAACCAGACAACCAGCCCAATAATTCATATTCTGACTCCAAGATGAATTATTTAATTAAGATGAAGACTGTGTGTCGTGGTCTCTTTGTTCACAACATACATAAGTGGATTTCTATTTAGTAATGTTATTGGTCCCCTGGCTGTACGTTTACTTACCCTACAACTACTACTGACCCTAATTCAATAAAATACTTCCACCACTGATAAACTGTCAATAGAAGACTCACCACAGCGCAGCCGCAGCTCCCAACACCCTCCTTCTTTGGAAATAGAATCTGTCAACAGCAGCATCTCGTACTGAAGATTACTGACCTGCAGCAGAAGGGAAAGAAACCGGATATTCACCACTGGAGACGAAGGCTTTGGAAAATTCCGGCTAAAGAAAAGATTTGTGTTTTCTCCGTTTGTGTGTGGGCATTCAGAAACAGACTAACTGGACCAGCGCTTGCTTATATATTGAGGAACGTGATGAGCCTACGTGTGACATGGCAAGAGATAACTGGAGGCATATTGACAGTACGGTGGAGGCACGTACCAGGTCTGGATTGGCCCAGTGTCCTTTAAGAGCAGCAGACACTTTGACAATAATGAGGTCGTTCATCTGTTGAGTCGCCTCTGGGTGATCTCTGCAGATACATAACAGGAAGTGAATACCAACAAAAAAAACATTCCATAAGATACAACTAAGGATAATAAGCTGGAATTCAAAATTGGACAATGGGGATAATGACTCAATTGCACCTTATGAAAGAAAGTATTCTTTACTTAGCACATTTCACAGACCAAGGTCACACAAAGCGCTTTACTACATTCACACCAATTTATTTTGTATATGTTTTAGTGGTACAGAGCACCTGGAGAAAACCCAGGTTCAAATGCTGATGTTTAAAAAAAAAAAAAATACATTGCAGAATGTCCCCTCTGTGGGACAAATAAAGGTTCTCTTATCTTATACCAATACCTTGTGAGCAGGCAGACAAGCTGGCGGACCTCCTCCCTCATGGCCGCGGTCCCCCTCCTCAGATTGTACTCAAACAGCTCTCTGATCAGCCCCTGCAGTACCAGTATCTGCCTGAGGGCAGGGTTAGTGGCCAGGGCCCTCAGCAGCGTGATGCAGTGCCCGGTGACCGCGGACGCGCAGCCGTAACACTTGGTGGATGAGGTGTGACCGCAGCCCAGCACAGACAGAGCACGGTACTGGGAGGCGGTGAAGGTGGGCTGGTGACTGCTGCTGTTACGGGAAGATTTGGTGGCAGCTTCTCGTTGCTGAAGATCATATTCCAAGAGTTCTTTGCGGGACGCTAGGACTTTCTGAAATCACAATATAATGACATATTAGCATTGTTAGAGAAGTACAGAATATGAATATGCAGGTTAATTTTTTTCTCTACTATTCTATAATTACAATAGTTTGGATTTTAAAGTGAATATATAATAAGCGTCGATAGGTGTTTTTTAACTGCATACTTGTCCCATTTTGACTTTTCACAGCTTTTCAGCACTGGTTGAAAAACACAACTTGGCTCCAGATTTACCTGTATGATTTTGGAGAGCTCATCAAAGGAGGTTTTGCAGTCTCCGCTGTATTCTTGCGCCAGCTGCTGGATATAGCGGTTAACGTTAGCGGACGACGCCCCCAGACCTGCTGCTGCTCCAGTGTCATCCTGGGATCGCAAAGAGAATATAATATTAACAGACATAACACTCAGCAAACGTATATCATTAACTAGACAGGATTAGGCCTGTCACGATAACAAATTTTGCTAGACGATTAATTGTCTCAGAAATTATTGCGATAAGCGATTATATTGTCGTTCTGAGATCATTTGCATCGATTACAATGATCATGCAGGTACACCTTTACAAAGAGAAATAAACTTTTATTTTTAACGAATATTTAACGCTAGAACACAATAAATTTACAAACAACCAAAAACAATAAATAAAATACTCAGTCTCTTAACAAAAAATGACCAGGAATAAAACTGCCAGGACCTTTGTAAAGAAAATATGAAACAGATGCCTCAAATGTCAATAATTTCTCAGACTTTATGGCAGATTACGAGAAAGAAATACCAACATGTTGATTTTGTGTGGTTTAAGACAGGATCTCTCAGGAGTAGTCCCACCTCCCCACACACCAGGCGAATGACAAGTGACTGACATGTGGGTTCACCAATGGGGCGTACAGAAGTCCTGCTGCGGTAGCGCCCACCGGAAGTAGCGGGGCGGGCTTTGATGCTAACAGCTAAGCTAGCGGGTTTTTTGTGTAAAGTTCTACTCCAAGAATGCAAGTCTGCAGCATCTCTGTGTTCAGAGACCTTCTAGAGACTTTATATAACAGCAGTATGTGTTCACGGAGGTGCGCCATAAGTTTATTTTATTGGTATGGTACGGTACTTCTGCATTGGCGAACACGCTAACGCTAGCTGCGCTAGTATAGTCACTAATCAAGCCTGAATGAGAACTCAGCTGCCGGCATATGTTCACAACTACTGTGTCCCCCATTGTCAATCCTGGTTAAGTCCTGGTTTAGGTCCTGTTTTGGCTGTATTTTGTATTTTTGAGTAATTTCCGTCTGCTTGCTAGACCGCTAATGTTCCCATGACCACTTTGCGGCTCTCTGACCCGAGAGAGAGGGGGGGAGAGAGAGACGGGGGAAACAAACAAGCTGCAAATGGGATTTATCGCGGCCAGAAAAGTTATTGAGCAAATTTTATTTATCGTGCGATTAATTGATTTATTGACTATCGCGACAGGCCTAGACAGGATTTAAGCAGACAACATTTAGTGGAAAAACACACTTGTGGTTTCTCTGGAGCGGCCTCGTTGACCTTCGATAGTAGACTTTCCAACTGAGGTCTGTGGCCCATGAGCTGGTGGTAAACTCTGTCAGCTTTGTCCAAAAGGGTGTTGATGTTGGTCACAGCCTAGAGAGAAATAAGCAGAACATTGTAAAATTAATTCATTGTAGTCGTAGAAGTAGTAGTAGTGAATATTTATACCAGAGTCAAGGTCCATTAGTTTTTATAAAGCAGTTTTTTTTGACAGAGACCTTTCACATGTCATTATTCTTTCACTCCATATACAGAGGTGATAAACTACTACTATAGCCATAGCTGCCCTATGGAACATTGACAGAAGAGAAGCAACCAGTATGCGCCATCAGCACACAGATAAAGCACCACCAACCTTACACACACACACACAATGTGGGTGAAGTGTTTTGCCTAAGGATTCAACCAGTAAGGCACTTTCCAGTCACAGCCGCCCTGGTGTTCCCAAAGGTCACCCATCACAGAACTAACCAAGCCTTTCTTTGCTTAGCTTTAGAAGTCTAACAGGATCTAGCTTTCACATGGCCACGAGTTGCTTTTAGAGAATTTAAAAAAGGGTATACTCTGAACTATTCTTCTGTTGATCAAGTTAGATCAATATAGAGCATTTTTTCACCCACATTTTGTTTTCCTCTTGGGTAATCAAGTTGTCTTTGAGTAGCTCTTTGTGATTGGATCCACAATAACACTGTTTATTTATGTATATAGTTTATCGAGTTATTTTAATTGTTTTTTTACTTTATTGTCTTTAATTAAAGACGGTCGACTTGTATATTTTAATGTGTTACTTTTATCTGTGCAGCACTTTGTTTTATAAAATGTGGTATACAATTATAGTGGATTGGATTAGATGCGGTACCTTTTTCCGGTCCTCTTCATTCTCGATGGGATCCACTGCGCAGCACGGTTTGGCGTAGAGCATGAAGTCAAAGCGAGCGTATTTGCAGAAACCACAAGCGTTGCAGAGGAACGGGTCTTTCTCATCGTAATTGATTGACCTGAAGGAGGACAGTAGTTTTAATACCACACTGAGTCGTTCTCATTATGCAGGATGTTTGTACATTTTGGTTCAAAAACATGATCGTGACAATTTCTTTTCTAATGGCATTTCTAGTGTACTATCTTTGACCACATTCAAAAAGGTTAATTTTGTCTTGAGTAATATTGTTTACACAAATAAAAACATAATCTTTGACCCACGTGCAATTATAGCTCCATGTTTGTGTTAGATTTATCATCCATCATCTTAAAAAAATAGATCCTGTTTGAGAAAAAATAGCACTCAAGTACTGAATACGTAATTCTTTTCTGCTGCATCATCATTCTTTTGTGCGAGTAGTCCAAATGATAAAGGGACCACAATTATCAGATGTAGGATATAATGGCCATAACTTATTATGAACATCAACATTTTGAGTGTGTAATGCTATGTTTTTTCAAATCGTCTCTGACATTTGCACCTCATCAAGCACTTTTTGGGTTGCAATACACTTTTTAAACTGACCTGCATTTATGGCACTGATAAACATTCTCTCCACAGTTTCCGCAGACTCCGGGGTTTGCTGGGACAGAGGCGCTGCAGCGGGGACACTGGAGGGTCTCTGTGGACGCCTGGTAATTCTCGTAGAAGTCCGAGAACTCGATCATGAGGTTGGAGGCCACAATGGGCAGTGGAAGATCAATCTTCACCTCAGTTTGGCCTGGAGTGAGCTGGACTTTCTTTGCTTTGTGCCAACGCGCTGGTCTGGAAACGCAACAAAAAAGTTGAAGAAAGTAAACAAATATTATACTATATTATTCGGTTACTTGGGTAGACTTCCTAGTGAAACACACCCCTCTAGTGGTTACAATAAAAATGATAATTCGGGGAAATTCCTTAAATCATCTCTTTTTTCAGGTAATCAATAGGGCGTAGGTTTTATTCTCATATAGCAGAAATGAATCAATATCAAATTCAGTTTTAAATTATACATTGATATGACATGCTGACGCCCACGATTAGAGGCTGTACATAAATAAACTAAATCAAATTGGGGATTTCTATTAATTTGTCCCAGAAGTTTCTAACATTAACAAGAAGCAAAAATCTACTCCAAGCCTGTTTTTGATATGAGGACAAAATATCACATGACCTTTTTCTTCATATCTATTGACCAATGGGACTTACTTGTTCTTGAGCTCCACAATGGCCTGCACTGTCCTGTTGTTGTAGTATAGGTTGATGGTGCGGACCATTTTGGTGCGTTTGAGATCCCCGATCTTCACCGTAACTTTGCTGATGGTGTGGCTACCTATAAGCTTCACCACCTGCTGTGTGGTGGTGTAACGAGTGTCCACTTTGATAGAAGACAATTTGATATTCTGTAAGAATATAAATTATGATTTAACCCAAGTTTAAGTTCAGGAAGCAGAAATAGCTCTAGTAAGACATATTTATTTGGATGGGGCAGTGAGTATTAATCAACAGTAAACGTAAATACACTAGATTGTAGCCAGTCACACTCACAAACTCATTCAACCCTCACCAATTGTAAATGTTTTTAGTGGTAGGGGAAACCGGAGCAGCTAGAGGAAAACTACTTAGACACGGTGATAGAAGTGGTACATATTTAGAACTTACTGAGAATGGGACTTCAGGATTGTTGCAGACCAGACAAGGGTCACTTTCCAAGAAAAACCCATCAAACTCAACCAGACCAGACAGTGTGCTATAAAAGTACATATATATTTTAGTCACTAATGTCAGAAACAATGGAAACTATAGAAGGAGCGCTAGAACCCCTAGTACGGCATAGAAGGTGAATATAAAACCAAGAACTAACAATAAACATCTAAAAAGCATTGGTTTAGCTAATCAAACATACTTGTAGATGTTAGAGTTGGGATGATTTGTCAGGATGTGGTTCTGCGCCCTCAAGATCTCCACGGCCTTTTGGGAATACTCTTTCAACTAAAATCGATGCAAATAATTACCAGCGTTTTTGTGGTGAACTACAAAGCTTTAATGCAAACCAACCTTTTTGTCAGTCTGCGGCGTCTTGAGAGAGAAGTATCCAAGGAGATCAACGAACTGAGCCGCTTTACGACCGTAGGCTGGGAGCTCCGGCCAGATCGCCCACGTCAGTTCAAGCAGTAACTCTTGTTGGGATTTGCTGGAGTTCCTAAATTGTACAAGATATAAACAGATGTAAAGACTCAAAGTGCTGTCAAAGTCCAACTGACAACAGAAGTTAAACAGTGTGGGGCCTAATTCATTCTGAGATAAATCGAAAATAATAATAAATAATAGTGGCCACAAAGACTATGGTTATTTTGATTATATAATTTCCTTTGCAACTTATATGAAAGGTTTAACACAAGCAGAGAATACAAAAAGTATGCAACTGCTATAGAGACGTGTGTGAAAATGCGCGTCACAACGGGCGCAGTAGGAAGACTTAATGTGCCGAACAATATCACGTCCCCACCACACCTCCTCCCCCACTCCCCACATTGACCACCTCATCTGAGCATTCTAACCGTGCTCGGGCCCACCTCTCCCAAGCGTGCCCAAGCCCACTTGCAGCAACCGTGCCCAAGCCCTGATGCGGCGGTCACATAGCACCTAAAGCCCAGATGTAAAAGCGAAGTGGGCCTTGGCCCACTTTAACCGGGCTTTAGGCTGTGCATGTGACCGCAGCCTAAAACTGAAATAACTTTAATCAATAAATGCTTATACCTGTAGATGTGTAGTGCCAGACAGTGGGCCTGCCAGCGGACGGCAGATGAGTTGGACTCCAAAAGGAAGCAGCGGAGGAACTGGATAAGTGTCTCTTTGTCTGCAAACTTGTTGAGCTGACTGACAAGAGCCATGCACAGCTGGTCCTCCTGGCTTCCACCGCCATCACCTGCAAAAATAAATGTCTGGGTTATCATTTAGGCAATTAACTCGCCAAAAAAAGATATGTATTATGCAAAATCTAAAAAATATATGTGTGTGAAAACTAGTGAGAACAGTTTGACATTTGAGGAACTTTCATGGGTTTCCTTCGATAGTAATACTAATCTTTGTGTGGTTTTTAGAGTCATTCATGTTAATATTAGGAACTTCTGGCACAAATGATAAACAACATCCCTTCTGTCTAAAAGTTTCAGTCCTGTAACACCACTATGACATCAGAGTTTTCTGACTATTAAAACAAAAGTATTGACCATAAATTGGTTCAGGAAATTTCTTGTTTCTGAAATTGGGAAATATACCTATAAGTTACGTTCAAAAGCATGAAATGAAGTAAATAGTCTCAATATTTGTTTTTATGTCCAATAATAACCCATACTATCGTTTCTTTGAAAAGACTAACATTGTACCTTCTTTGTCCCGCTCCTTGTCTTCCTTCTTGCTCTTCTTGCTGGATGATTTGCTCTGGGACGACTGGGATGCGCCGGTCTGTCCTGCGTTGGAGGAGCCTCCAGCTGAGAAAGAGGAGGAGTTGGAGGAGGATGTGGCCAGGACTTTACTGCCGCACAAGGCACAGGAGAGCAGCTGCAGGAGGACCGGAGACACACCCTCGTCCACCAGGAAGCTCACCTGGAGCAGGAAGTATAGGACCGCTGGAAAGAGGGAGGAAAACAAATAAAAAAATAAAAAAAGCCAAATTGGTTCACATCTGGACACACGGTAGGAGAGGTGTAAAGGGTCAGAGAGTGTTTGGGCGTGTCTTGTCTGAGTGAGTGCGTGTGCGCATTATGTCGTGTTGAATGAGTGAGAATGGTTATTTGGTTTGTCATTGCATTTCCTGCGTTTGAATAGTTTGATTCTCTACAAAGGTTTTATCTCGGAGGACTTTGATGTGTGTTGGCGAGTCAACTAACTAACTTTTCCAACCAAAAGAGTCTACTTTGACCATTCCCTTGTTTATTGCTTTTTGTACATACAGTATGTTTGAAAAAATACCTACAACAATATCAAAATTGACATTTACAAATTACAAAAAAAAGACTTACAATCATCTTTCATGCAGAATTTCTGCCAGTTGATGGTTCGCTGAGTCGAAATTTCAGCGCAAGCTTTAAGGTGCTCCATCTGAAAGACAAGAGTAAGTGTCAAACAAATGAGGAATCGCTCTTATGACACATAGTGATTTTATTAAAGACCTGCACCCAATTTTCTTTCACGTATTTGAGCAAAATGTGTTAATTTGTCCAAGAAACTAGAAACTAGTTTTACTTCATGATACACTCTTAAAGGAATAGGCCACCGTTTTTGCATACTGACATATGTTCTTACCTTAACTTAGACTAGTTGATATGGACCTATCTGGTCTTTGTCTGTGCGCTCTGTCATGCAAACGGGAGCACAAACGCAGCCTCTTCCACAGACTGTATAGTACCAAATCAGCCCCCCTTTAGAAGCTACCAAACTCTTCCACGTGTTCCCTATTTAAATACAGTTACGTGATGTGTTACACTACAAAGTATAGTAACGCAGAAATGTATGATGTCGATTTTCCCAGCGGATAAAAAGGGGTACTATACTGTGAGGCGTAATAATACGATGAGCGCTTCGTCTGCGCACTAACTCCCATAGACTTCTCTCCCGCTCATGCTGCTTCTATTGACGGAAGTGAGCGGGAGAGAAGTCTTGGGAGTTAGTGCGCGGACGAAGCGCTGATTCACTATGTCAAATTTTTTATGTGACCAAGTGAAAAAGAGAGGACCACCCTCACTGCAATATAAAAAATGGCAACCCAAACATTCTGCTCTGTGATTGTATAATCTGCTTGAAAATTGTAAACATAAATATTACGAACATGAGGTCCATTGTTTTTTTAAATAAAGAATAACTATAGTTTAAAGTTTTGTCCAGAAAACATCAAATATGATGTGTACAAGTCACTCTTTATCTGTTGTACTTTAAAATAAATGCTTCAAGGAATAAACTTTAAATGCTGCAAATATAGAACAAGAAATCAATGTTTTTGAACATTTCAAGCCAATGAAATAGTAGACGTTTTAATCACCAATATTCTCTGTATTCACTAAACAGACTATAAAACGTACCAGGCTGATGAGTGTGTCGTACTGCAGGGCTGAGCCAGAGGTGGCGGTGACCACTCCGGCTCTGAGGAAAATGCCCTGCTCCTCCAGAAGCTTCTTGATGCTCCTCACGTGAGAGTCCAGCGTGTGCAAGTCTCTGAGCTGACGGTACTTCTCCTTTGAGCCACAGATGAAGAGCAGCAACTTCCGCACCTGTCTCCGTACGAACGGGGTCTGCTGGATCATCAGGTACTGCAGGAGAGAAAGTGACATCAGACCAAAGAGGCTCAAGTGAGACCATAGGGAGACTGACCAGAGCGAGACAGACCAGAATGGGAGAGAAACAGAGAGACCAGATAGTGAGACTAGACAAAGACTAGAGAGGCTCGAAAGAGAGAGTACTGCCAGTAGTACTATTTCACCTCTGTAAATTGATAAATAAAAATAACTTTAAAACAATTTGATCTGATGATACCTCAGACAGAAAGTAGAACCAGGAGTGGTCGAAGACAGGCGGAGGGATACGTGGGTTGGTGTCTGCGATTTTCTTAATTTGATAGGGCAGCCGCAGAACCATCTCAGTCAGCAACTGTGAGTAGGCTTCAAATACATCAGCAGCATGGCCCTGGAACACAGGACAATACAGAGGTTAGAAAAATATTTACGATCGAGATCAGGATTCCATTCATTGTCAGAGAAACTAAATTATGAGTAGGGCATCAACAGCACTGAATAGTTTGATGTACACTCCAGAATCCCCCTTAAAAAAAACTAGTGTGGACATTTAACCAATCTTGACATCCATGTGATTGCAACACAGTAACAGATAGAATGAATGTAGCAATGCAAAGACCAGAGAGACCAGAGAGACACACCGGAGAGAGAGACCAGAGAAAGAGACCAGAGGAAGAACACAGAGAAACCAGATAGACAAACCCAGAGAGAGAGAGTGAGACCAGAGAAAGACTCAAGAGAGACCAGAAAACGCGACCAGAAAGAGACCAGTAACAGACCAGAAATAGACCAGAAAGAGACCAGATACAGAGAGCAGCACTTTAACAGACATGTGGAAATAGTGACTAAATGAATGTAGCAAAAACCAGACCATAGCTATTGTTGGCATATGTGGTTATTGTCCCTGCGAATGGGGGGAAGACGGTAGAGGGTGAGAAAGGTTCAAAATAAGAGCAGTGTAAAACCTATAACATACCTTGACATACTGCCGCAGGAAGAAGGGGCTCATGTCTGGGGGGGAGGAGGCCGTGTGAGGCCGCAGCAGCTGGCTCGTTGTCACTGCCTCCTCTTCTCCTTGCTGACTCTTCCAGAACTCTAACAATGACTTGAGCACATGCAAACAATAGTCTATGGCTCCAAGGCTGAGCAGAGCTGTGGCCGTGGCGTTGGAGATGAGAGACGAGGACTGGAAAGACGACGTAGAATGATTAGAAAGTCTTGCAAAATGTTTCTTTCAAACACTGATTATGAAGTACCTCAGAGGAAGATTTGGAGCCAGACTTTGTGCGAGACATAAAAACGCTGAGGAGCCTCATGATGACCAGGTGGACCTCGTTGATAGCACAGCGTTCGTTCTTCTTCGATACATCCTAGAAAGGCGAATAGTAAATATAAATAACCTTTATCAGAACATCCTAGAAAACTTAAGGTTACTTAACGTAACCCCGGTTCTTTGATAACAGAGTGAGGTGTTTCACTATGGGAATCGCCTTGGGCGTGACCATCCATGGAAGCTCCAATGGCACCACGTCTGTCTTTTGACAGACAGGTTGACAGTACCTAGCACCGCCCACCTACCCTGGTACAGTCAACCTCCTCCTTTTGGAATCATTCAAAAGCGCTTTCTGACCGCTTTGCAAGGAGGGTAATGAAGGTGAAACACCTCACTCTGTTATCAAAGAACCGGGGTTACGTTAAGTAACCTTAAGTTCTTTTTCTAACTTCGTTCGGTGTTTCACTATGGGAGATATGGACAACTCCCGTATTGCAAGGACTGCCCCTGAAGCAAAAGGACCACCGAGGCGCCAGACGGTGACCTCAAACAGTACCAGAAGCACTTGGTTCCAAGACTACCTGAGCCAAAGAGGAGCCAGAGACATCCAGTCGATAAAAACGAACAAAGGTATGCGGCGATGACCAGCTGGCCGCCGCACATATATCCTGGACAGACACACCTCGGAACAGGGCCCAAGAAGTGGCAACACCCCTGGTGGAGTGTGCCCTCAACCCCTGCGGTGGAACTACACCCCTGCAGGTATAGGCCAGAGAAATTGCCTCCACAATCCAGTGAGAGATCCTCTGACTGGACACCGGCTTTCCCAAATGGGGAGAAGCCCAGGACACAAACAACTGGTCGGCTTTCCTTAAACCAGCTGTCCTGTCAACATATACCCGCAGCGCGCGCACTGGGCACAAAAAGTGCAGTAGCCGCTCCTCCTCAGAGGAGAAAGGTGGAGGATGGAAGGCATTAAGCTCCAGTGTAGGGCAGCTATATGCAGAATCCACCTTTGGTACAAAAGCCGGGTTAGGGCGCAAGCGCACCTTAGATAACCCCGGCGCAAACTGCAGACACGAGGGGCTGACAGAAAAAGCCTGTAGTTCACTCACGCGCTTTGCAGACGTCAGAGCAAGAAGCAGAACTGTCTTATAAGCAACATACTTCAAGGCCACAGCCCCTAAGGGCTCAAACGGGTGATGACAAAGGGCATCAAGCACGACCGACAAATCCCACAAGGGAACCAGGGACTTAACCACTGGAAGTTTACGTCGTGCACCCCTCATGAAGCGACAAACTAGAGGGTGCTGTCCCACAGTTTTGTCACCGATACCCACGTGGCACGCCGATATGGCAGCCAAATAGACCTTTATAGTAGAAAAAGCTTTACGCTCTTCTAACAAATGTAAAAAACATAAGACGTCAGACACGGAGCATTGGAACGGGATGATCTGTCTAGCCCCACACCATTCCTCAAAAACCCGCCACTTGCAGCTATACAAAGAGCGAGTGGAGGAGGCCCTAGCACACTGTATAGTATCTATAACAGGCGCCGGAAGACCCGTGGCGTTCAAGTTCCACCTTTCACGGGCCAGGCCCAGAGAGCCACCCGGTCTGGGTGAGGATGAAAAATCTCCCCGCCCGCCTGGCACAACAGGTCCCTCCGCAGAGGAAGAGGCCATGAGTTGTCCCATAAAAGCTGCACTATCTCCGCCATCCATGGCTTGGATAACCAACGGGGAGCAATCAAAATGAGCAACAGCCTCTGTTCTCTCACCCGCGCTAGGGTGGGTGAGATCAGACTGATGGGAGGAAACGCATATAGTAGAACGGTCGGCCACGGGTGGGCCAGAGCGTCCACGCCCAGAGACGCGTTTGCGTCTCCCAGAGAGAAGAACAGTGGGCACTTTGTGTTTTCCCGCGAGGCGAAGAGATCTACGGCAGCCCGACCGTATCTCCGCCACAACTGCTCCACCACCTGAGGGTGGAGAACCCACTCCCCGTATAGGGGGTTTCCCCTCGATAGCAGGTCGGCCCCCTTGTTGAGGACGCCTGGAACATAAGACGCTCGGAGAGATAGGAACCTTGTGTCGCTCCACAAAATCACCCTCTGTGCCAGTCTGTGCAGCTGAAGAGAGCGGGTACCACACTGGCGATTTATGTACGAGACAACTGTTGCATTGTCTGTTCTCACCAGAACGTGATGGTCCTGAAGGAAAGGCAGAAAATGCTTCAGAGCTAGATAAGTAGATAAGCTAGAAAGTTCCAGCACATTGATGTGCCTCTGGGCTAAATGTGGGTCCCAGGTCCCATTCACCGTCCGACCCGACAGAGTGGCCCCTAACCCTGACAGGGAAGCGTCGGTTGTCAGGGTAACCCTTGACGACACGGCGCCCAGCGGGACTCCGGCTGAAAGAGCATGATGAGCCTCCCGCCACGGACGTAGTGCAATAACACACTGGGAATCCACCTTCACTCTGCGGTGAAGGTGACGTTTGGGACACAAACGCTGTGATCCAACGTTGAAATGGTCTCATCATTAAAAGCCCTAGGCGCACGACAGATATTACTGACGCCATGAGACCAGCGAGGCGCAGGCACGTTCTGAACGTAACTGTCGCACCCGGGTTGAAAAACGCCAAGCAGCGAGTGAGAGACAGCCGTCTCTCGTCTGTCAGTGTGGCTCGCTGTGAAACAGAGTTTATGCATAAACCCAGGTATTGAGTCTGCTGTCTGGGTTCCAACCGGCTCTTTGCGTGGTTTATTCTGAAACCCAGGCTGGTCAAGTGACTGAGCACTGTGGCAGTCTCTCTCACTGCGGCGCCCTGTGAACTGGCGCATATCAGATAATCGTCTATATAAGAGAATATCCGTATTCCCCTGGCCCGGAGAGGAGCCAGAGCTGCCTCCACACAAGTGGTGAACACCCGTGGGGCTAGGGAGAGACCGAAGGGAATGACCTGGTACTCGTACGCTGTTCCCCCGTGAGCAAAACGGAGAAATTTCCTGTGCGCTGGATGCACCTCGATGTGGAAATATGCATCCGCAAGATCGATTGTGGTGAACCAATCCCCCTTGCGTATTGAACGACACAGAGCTTTGTGCGTCAACATTTTGAATCTGAATCTCCGTAGATGTGTGTTCAAAACACGGAGGTCTAGAATGGGACGCGGTGACAGAGAGCCCTTCTTTGGAACCAGAAAGTAGCGGGAGTAGAAGCCCAGCTGAGACTCGCTCTCTGGTACAATGCGGATAGCGTGCTTGCTTAACAGGGATGTAATTTTGTCCTGTAAGACACGGGCTGCGTCCCCTGAAGCCACTGAAACAAGTACTCCGTTGAAGGAGGGTGGTTTTATAGCAAACTGCAGTCTGTAACCTCGAGAAACAGTGGATTGAACCCAAGGATTGACTGCGCATGCGCGCCACTGCTCCGCTCTGACAGAGAGTGGGGCTTGCACCAGGGGAATCCCTGGTGACGTCACTCCCCTGAGAGGAGCAGAGCCTTCTGCCTGAGAAGGAGCGTGAGCTCCCTCTGGAGGCGAACGAAGGGAATGATCCAAACTTAATTGAATTTTTTTGTTTGATTGATAACTCACCCTTAGCCCTTGGCCTGGATGCGAGTTTAACAACTTTATTTTTTTTTGAAAAAGTGTTTTGTGAACATGAGACCCAAGACTCATTCCCTGTAACGTGCGAGGGGAGAGAAAGCCAGAGAGGTCGCCTGGAGAACTGTGCGGGGCCTCTGAACTGGTACCAGGGTCCATTCTCCTCCTTTTCAGAGGGGGAACAGGTGGAGAAGCTTGATTGCTAGGAATTGCGCTTCTTTTTGCTCTCCCCGGGCTGAGAAGAGCGGTTTTTTGCTGCAGCCGCAGCATAGGAGTGTTTTCCCCATGGTCTGGAGTTGCCTGGCCGTTGCTGCTGGCCAGAATGCTGGTTGGAATGCTGGCCAGGGTGTTGGGTTGCCCCCCTCTGCGGCCCAGGGCCCGCCCTGGGAACCCTGGGGCCTGTCTGTCCAGAGGGGCCCGCTCTCTGGGGCTGCGCTGGACGAGGAGGTTGTTTCCTTGGCAGACAAAGATTAAAGGCCGCACCCTCCTCTTTACGGAGGGTACTGGTCTCCTTCATCTTCTCCAGGGCCGGACCAAATAGACCTTTGGTAGGGTCATAAGCAGTGTCCATAACTTCAGCCTTCTGAGCGTCTGTCAGACCTGAGTGGTTGAGCCATAGACCCCTCTCACCCGCTACGGCCAGTCCCATGACATGGCCGCAGCCCTGGACAGCTCCACGAGTAGAGCGTAGGATGAGGTCATTTACCACGCAGATTTCCTCCCAGAGGACCGGGTTAGGAGACCCGGAGTCCAGCTGTTGTCCCATTTCCTCAAGTAGTTCCCCTTGATAACCGGACAGTAAAGTCACAATATTCAGTACGCATGCAGATTGAGAAGCATATCTGTACATGCGTTGCAGAATGGAGGATGTAACTCTCTCTGATTTTGTGGGCAGGGAAACCTGACTTGAGGCTGAGACGGAACGGCGATTAGGATGGAGGTGAAAAGCCACTGAAGGCTCCACCGCTGGGGGTTCGGCCAACCCCAGCTCCCTCATCCCATGGATCTCCAGCTTTGAATAGCCCTGTACAGGAAGCTTGCTCCTAAGTGGGTTATTCCAAAACCTCCCCACCTCTCTCATGCACGCGCTGACAGCAGGGAGAAGTTGCTTCGGAGGTGGATGCGCTGGCGGGAGCCGTTTACCGTCATATAAATCCCTTTCCCCATCCTCCGCATCTACAGCGGCTGGCCAGGTTATGTTAAGCTTGGCGGCAGCGCGCTTGCACACATCATATAGGCTGCTATCGACGGGAGTCGCAGCCTCAGATGCGCTGGAGGGTCGGGACTGGGCCGCTGGGAATGTAGAGTCCTCCTCCACATCATCCATATCCACAGCCTCGAGGAAGTCAGAAGCGGCATCATCGCCGTCTGCGCCCTCGTCGCCTGGGTCCACTTCGAGCAGGTCCTCGAATAATGGCGGCATATCAGCGTCATCGTCATTCAGCATTGAGCCTCCTCTCCAATATTTTCTCAGGCATAGATGAGCAATACCCGCAGGACTCGCGGTCAGCGAGCGCTGCCTGAGCGTGTTTAGCGCCCATGCAGGTTATGCACATTGGGTGAGGGTCCCTGCCTGAGATGGCAGACCCGCATGACGCAGGGCATGAGCGGGATGCAGCCTCCTTCGGCTTCGGATCCGACCCTTTGGCGGGGGTGGTAGCCGTAGACATGCCTGACAGAGAGCAGAGCTGGAGTGAGCACGATTGTATGAACCAGACAATTCGGGTTTTAAGTCGAAAAATCAGGTCCAGGCAAATTCTGTTCGCCACAACACGTTAACAGAACCGCGCACTACAATCTGTTGGCCAGTAGATTAATACTAACCAATCGAACAGAAGGACTCCGCTTTACGCGAGAGCCCTGGGTTAACAAGTGAATGCTAACCGCAAGGTGAGAGGACAGACCGCAACTTAATGTGATCTGTCCCCATAAACACAAGAGCAGTTCGCCTTGACGCGGTCACTGCTCTGGTAACAAAATAATAATAGCTTAGCGGTAAGACTGTAAGGACTTACCCAGCGTCGGTGAACCAAAGCACCAGCAACTGCGCTCGTCAACGAAATCCTTTACGGCTCGTCTGTGAACTGTTAAGCAGAAGCTAGCCTAAGGTCCGAGAACGCTGAAGGAGCTAAAGATATGGTTTCCACGCGGGAAGAAAGCGAGAATGATTCCAAAAGGAGGAGGTTGACTGTACCAGGGTAGGTGGGCGGTGCTAGGTACTGTCAACCTGTCTGTCAAAAGACAGACGTGGTGCCATTGGAGCTTCCATGGATGGTCACGCCCAAGGCGATTCCCATAGTGAAACACCGAACGAAGTTAGAAAAAGAACCAAGGGGGCATTTGTACAACCTCTACTAGAAAAGTATTACAAAACTTCACTGCACAGCTTTAAAGAAAAATTATGTTCAACGAATCAGCTCTCTGCCCAAAGAGTGCAATAGTGACAACATTGACAAAAAACACATGGTCAAACAATCACTTCCCACTGAACTTCTGCAAAAAGCATAATATGAAATACAAAAAAGTAGAAAAGAACTTCTAAATTGTCACCTTTTTGTTTATGCCCAGTTCTGCGATGAGTTGCGCGAGCAGGTCGTCCAGTGCGCCCTTGTCCTTCTCATCCTCTCCGTCGAGATCCGAGGTCAACATGAGGATGACCTGCATGTAAGGGATTGCCTGGACTCCATCCACATTGTGCAACTGGGAGAGGTGCTGGAGAAGACGCTCCAAAAGCATGAGGCGGACCATGTGGAGCCTGAGGGACCAGAAAAAAATAAATAATAGATACTGTATACACTACTGACAAAAGACTTTTTTCAAATACTTTGACCTTGTACTTAATTTTTGCTTTTCATTATTTTTAGATTTTAGATTTGCTTCTTTATTATGCTCAAGGTAGAGATTTTATACATCGATTATAATTAATTTAGCATAGAGTTATTGTTCATTTATCTTGTGATGTGTGCTCCTCATTCCTACTGTTCTGTTACTGGTGATGCAACACTGAAATTTCCTCCCTGTGGGACAACTAAAGGATCTCTTCATCTTAATTAAGGTTTCAAATGGAGCTGGGATGACAAACTTTGAAACCACAAACCACATTTGCCTATGCTGTAGATGTTTGCCCTGGTCATTTGCACACTCAAAGTTGTTTTTAGAGTATTTTATACATTATATCTATTCTCTCCCCCCGGCTCAGAGAAGTCTGGCATAAATCGACATTATTGAGTGAGTAAATGGGAAAACGGCTTGTCAAACCTGTTGCTTGTCCTGTTTCAGTGTTACCTGTTGCTGGTGTGAATGTCCCCCTCGTTCTCTGCTTCTCCCTCAGACCCTTCTCCCTCCTGCTGGGCTGTGGTGGTACTGATGGCCCCCGTGCTGGAGCTCACGCTGCCGGGACCAGCTGCATTCCCCTCCACTGTGGTGTCACCGTACGCACTGCTGCGGCCAGACACTTAAAACAGAACACAAGTCAGACGTTTCAAATGAAGTATGGGTCACATGTTTGGAACAGAACCTCGTAAATAATTACAGTAGTTTTGAATCAGTCAAGTAACAGTGTGTGACAAAAGGTTGGAGATAATGTAAAAAATATATATTTGTGATTATTATTAGTTATGACAGATTCCAGTTCATTGTTTTAAAGCACTCACACTGACACAGGTTTGGCGTTTCCCCTCATATCTGTGGTCCAACCAGGAAGTGATAATATACACATACACTTTATGTCATCTGGGCTTCAAACCTGGAGCAGCTAACTTTAATAATAATTATTGTTTTTACATAAATATCACATACTTGTAGTATTTATGGGCCACAATGTGGAGTCTTCATATTATTAGAAAACAAGTCAGGCTGATCCACCCTTTTTCACTTACAGTGGGGCAAAAAAGTATTTAGTCAGCCACCAATTGTGCAAGTTCTCCCACTTAAAATCATAACAGAGGTACGTAATTTTCATCATAGGTACACTTCAACAGCAGGGCTTGTTGAAGTGTACCGGTTGTCCGCTTGCCCGGGGCAACTAAAGATTTGAGATGGGCAAGTGCGCTGTTTTAGCAAGTTGACCGACCGGGCAACTGACGTATTACTTGCCCGGTCTGTTTCCCGCATTTCTTTCTCTGGAGCCAGGAGCACACAGGTCTGTTTGACCAATTCTCTTAAACATTTTCCACGGATCCGCAATTCCCGACTGTTTTACTCTGACAATGTCATTTCTGTGAAATGTGTGACCGCAGGCACTTTCTGTTGTTTGCTACGTACTAGAATGCTATTTTCATCCTCAGCTCTGATCCTGGGAGCAGTTATGGCCGCTTCGGCAACAGCCGCTTCGGCAACAGCCGCTTCGGCAACAGCTCAGTGAACACACTGCGTAACATGGTACAGAGCGCGGACCGATATGGACAGAACCATAGACTCGCGGATAGGATCGTAGACACACGCGCTCAGGACATCACCAGCTTGTTGCAAGTGCAGGTCTTGCACAGGTGTCTCCTGTGCGCAACCAAAACTCACAAAATTAAAAGCTTGGGTACCTAAATTTCCTCTTGCATTAAAAATGCATGTTGGTTGTGCACAAAAGTAAAATGTTGTCAACAAATCAAACAGAACACACCACAACAGGAGTCTTGTATTTTTCTTTGCATACTTAAGAGCCCTGGGAGTCATTATTTGACTTTTTGGGCTGAGAGTGGATTTTATTCCAGTTAGTGCCACTTTATTGCCAAAATCTTGTTAACTCATTGTATTGAGAAATATTTGGACAAGTAACTTTTGACATTGGGCAAGTAAAATATAAATGGTACTTGCCCAAAAGGCAAGTGGCTGAGAAAGCTTAATGTCAAGGCCTGAAGCAGTGATGAACCAAAGATGTGACATGGATTTTGTTTCATAGTTTATATTAGGTACCCCAGCTTTAAGCTGTAGGTCAAATATGAATAATTTTTATAGTTACAGCCAAGAATTTCTTCAGAGTCTTGTGTAAAGTGGGAAGACAGAGCCACTTTTTTCAGGCCAGTGACTCAACAAACAACAATGGATGAACTGCTTCCGTCAACCCAAAACCATGCCCGAACTGAGGACCCTCACATGCCCAGGAACTGCCCCGAATGAGATTGGGGGCCAGGTGTTGGACACTGCACTCCCAAACACAATCAGTCACAGGACATGGCTTCGAAACAGAAGCAGCCAGAGATGATGTGAGTGACCTACCACTGTGCTCCCCAGCCACAGAGTCGATGGCCGAGCCCCCGCTCTCGGAGCCCACACTTCCTCCATGTTCTGCCGGAGACGTTCTGAGAGTGGAGCCGTCTGTGGCTGCGGTGCTGCCCTCGTCATCGGAGGCTGGAGCTGAAACCACAGCAGAATCGTGACTACGGGACCAGGACGAGTAAGTAAGTAATCTGGATTTTGTTTATGTGCCTTTTTTCACAGAGATGAGTGGGGTCTCTCCCAGGACCAGGACTCAACAGTTCCGACGTTCTATATTTTTAGCTGTGCAAACTGCATCTTCACTCTTTATAATGTACTAGAGCTGCAACTAACGATTATTTTGTAATCGATTAATCTATCGATTATTTTTACGATTAATCGAGTAATCGCTTGGCTGTGAATTGTGTAGAAAAAAAATATTTTTTCATCACAAAAAGCTAAAGTGGCAACACTCGAGGACATATTGATGGCGTAAACTTAAAGTAAATGTTTGTAACAGGCTCTTTGTGCTAATTCTGCTATCTGATTGGATGAGACAGACAGATATTCATGAAATTATAAAAACAAAGTCGGTTTTAATCAAAAATACTACATTTTCATGTCATTTTTGCTCTGTTTGAGTCAGTGTGAACCAGAAAACGATTAATTGATTACTAAAATAGTTGTCGACTATTTCACAATTAGTCGTCGATTAATCGATTAGTTGTTTCAGCCCTATAATGTACTGTAAATATTTATGATTGTATTGCTTTGTGTCTTTCTTGTTTTGTTAAGCACTCATGTGTGGACTGGGCAAAACAAATACACTTGTCTAGCCTTGACTCCACACGTTGCATTTTGCAAGTCCAATAATCAAAATATTTATTGAAACATTACTTTGCTTCTTTGTTACGCTAAAGATAGATATTTTCTTTTATTTCTAAAGTATAGAGTTGTGTTATACCCAATATTGGCTTGTTCTGTGTGCTCCTCATTCCAACTGTCCCGTAACTTGTGATGCAACACTGACATTTCCCCCAACTGTGGGACGAATAAAGGATCTCTTATCTTATTAATGCATTACCTGAGGCAGTGGTATCTGATAGAGTTCCAGCATCCAGTGAAGAGGAGCTTGGGGCCTGGCCAGACAGACCCAGACTCTGAAGGCCAAGAGCACTGCTGCTGCTGCCTACAAATATCAAATAAAAAAAATTCAATACAGACAGAAATAAACTAAAACCAACACAAATCTGTCTTAGACACAAAATTTTTCTTTGAAGGAGAGGTTGTGCTTTTCATCTAAAAATAGTTAATACTATAATCATGTGCAATACTGTGATTTCAGAATTGGGACAATAAAGATAACTTTGAACGATAGACAGACATATATTGATATTGAAACATTTACAGTCAGCCAAGACACAAAGCAGCTACTTATAATGTATATTTTGTGTGCTCCCTGTGTGCTCTTACAACCTATATGTGCGCTTCAACATTGATATTTCCCTTACTTTGGGATGAATAAAGGCTCTTATCTCTTAAGCTTTGTAATTTTGTGTTTGTTTACCTTGCTGGTCTTGCTGCAGGCTGAGGGCGATGGCCAGTTCCACCATGGTTTCATCGTCTGCATCAGGGGGGATGTCGAGCATGGGGGGAAAGCCCTCAGCGCCGGCCAGCAGAGCCTCCAGAGGGGACGGGTTTCCATTGTTCACATTATCAGACGTGTCCAGGACCATCGACTCGGACTGATAAAGAGGAAATACAGGTTTAAGATAAAAGTCTGGCTCACACTGAGGCACTTTTGCACATGTATTCCATTGTAGTATTGCCGCAAAAGGCAAATAAAGTGAAGCTGAATATAAAGTCTGATTTAGCTTGAATGAGCTTAACCGCTTTAAATTCAATGTGAATCTCTTTGAATAAAAGGTCAACAGTCTACAAACATAACGTACAAAAGTTGTATGTAGAGGAAAGAAATGTAGAGCATGTAGACTAGTATCACTAGTGAACTGACCACCATCTCAAAGCCCTCATGGTCGACCTCGCTCTGCTCCTGGTTCTCCTGCCGCTCCTCCTCCACTCCTGTCAGCACTGAAGACTGCATTTTGTCATCCGCATCATCATCGTCGTCATCGTCCTTGTCTCCTGGGTAAAACCCAAAATACTTAATTGCTTGAAAATAGGGCTGAATCATGTTTTGCAAAAATGTTAAGGAATTTCAGTATGTAGACAAACTTAATTGGGGAAATGCATTTGTAGCCTGGAACATATTGATATAGTACAACATCATACTCGTTATATGATACAGTGCCTTGCGAAAGTATTCGGCCCCCTTGAACCTTTCAACATTTTGCCACATTTCAGGCTTCAAACATAAAGATATAACATTTAATTTTTTGTCATGAATCAACAACAAGTGGGACACAATTGTGAAGTGGAACGAAATGTATTGGATAATTTAAACTTTTTTAACAAATAAACTGAAAAGTGGGGCGTGCAATATTATTCGGCCCCTTTACTTTCAGTGCAGCAAACTCACTCCAGAAGTTCAGTGAGGATCTTTGAATGATCCAATATTGTCCTAAATGACTGATGATAAATAGAATGCACCTGTGTGTAATCAAGTCTCCGTATAAATGCATCTGCTCTTTGATAGTCTCAGGGTTCTGTTTAAAGCGCAGAGAGAACCATGAAAACAAAGGAACACACCATGCAGGTCCGAGATACTGTTGTGGAGAAGTTTAAAGTCGGATTTGGATACAAAAAGATTTCCCAAGCTTTAAACATCTCAAGGAGCACTGTGCAGGCAATTATATTGAAATGGAAGGAGTATCAGACCACTGCAAATCTACCAAGACCCGGCCGTCCCTCCAAACTTTCATCTCAAACAAGGAGAAGACTGATCAGAGATGCAACCAAGAGGCCCATGATCACTCTGGATGAACTGCAGATAACTACAGCTGAGGTGGGAGATTCTGTCCATAGGACAACAATCAGTCGTGCACTGCACAAATCTGGCCTTTATGGAAGAGTGGCAAGAAGAAAGCCATTTCTCAAAGATATCCATAAAAAGTCTCGTTTAAAGTTTGCCACAAGCCACCTGGGAGACACCCCAAACATGTGGAAGAAGGTGCTCTGGTCAGATGAAACCAAAATCAAACTTTTTGGCCACAATGCAAAACGATATGTTTGGCGTAGAAGCAACACAGCTCATCACCCTGAACACACCATCCCCACTGTCAAACATGGTGGTGGCAGCATCATGGTTTGGGCCTGCTTTTCTTCAGCAGGGACACGGAAGATGGCTAAAATTGATGGGAAGATGGATGGAGCCAAATACAAGACTATTCTGGAAGAAAACCTGTTGGAGTCTGCAAAAGACCTGAGACTGGGACGGAGATTTATCTTCCAACAGGACAATGATCCAAAACAAAGCCAAATCTACAATGGAATGTAGAGATGCACCGATCCAGCTTTTTTACTACCGATACCGATACCAAAGCTATGGGTATCTGCCGATACCGATATTGACCGATACCGGAAATGATCATGCTAAAATGTATTTAATAATTGAACTCTTTGTTCACGTAACTGCAAAAGCAGTGGATGAACTAAAACGCTAAACTTTCCAGATAAAAATTGATTCAACATAAATGTGCAATAATGCAACTGTAAAGAGCTGCTCAATGTTCACATTACCTTATACATTTATTGAATAAAATGTACTTATATTAACTGTGTTTGAATAAAAAAAACACTTACAACAAACAAAACACGCTGCATGAAAATGTAAATAAATAATAGTACCGTAGCGTTAACTGGATTTCTGATATGTATTTGGCGACGGCATGTACCTGGGTTCCAAATGGTCTATGGGGCTGCGAGCCCAAACTGATGAACTCCAACACTTTCGGGTTGTTGCTGAAAAGCTTTTTGTGACGCTGCGTCAGGGTCATCTGTGTCTCGTTTTCACGTAATCTCCTTTCGATGCAAAAACTCCCCATGCGGTTTCTCGTGGTGCTTAGTAGTGTTGTATTTCGCTAGTTTACCGCCGCGTGAACAACACTGATTCTTTCCTGCGCTCCATGCTGTGTTGTTGTTGTTGTAGAGCGCCACGAGGAAGTGACGTGTACGTGAGATCTGATAAATTACTTTTAATTAATTCATTTTATACGTATATGTACATTATGCACAATGTATTTTAAGACATTGTGCGGTACCTGGTATGTATTAAAAAATATAATAAAAAAAAAAAAAAAAAGGAAAATGGATCGGCAGCACAGCGCCTCTCTCTACGCAGATATCCGATTAGGGATGTAAAAAACTATGAATTTTCATGACCGACCACCGAGCCTCATTAACCGGTTGAAACCGGTTAACCGCGTAGTTTAAAATAGTCCACGTTCTTTGAAATAACAGCCATTTCGAGCCGCGTACTTTTCATAAGTGCAGCTCTGCGTTCTACTGGATCAGAGTTGAGACAGCGGCGCCCAAACCCGCAACAGCTCCGGCACCTTTGCGCACAGAGAACTGCTTTTTTAATCTTCCCATTCTGCTGTGCTGCGGGTTAATACCAAAACTTTCTAGCAGCAAACGACGGCTCGTTCACATGGTCAGAGCAGCGAGTGACGAGCCGCGTCTCACAGGTCTTCACAAAAGTTTAAATACAAGTGATGTGTGTGGAGCTGATCCCGAGGACCATAAACACAAACATGTTCCATGTGGTTTGACTGGAGCCGCGTATTTGCGCGAATCCTTTGGGCTCCGTGACACAGAGGAGCGCGACAGACCGGTATGTGTGTGTGTATGTGTGTGTGTGTGTATGTATGTGTGTATGTGTGTGTGTATGTATATGTGTGTGTGTCTAAATGTAAGCTCCAATGTAGTTCTGACCCGCGCCAGTGTGCAACTTTGACGGTAACAGAGGGGAGAGATGATGCGTGTGGATGTTACGTATGGAGAGGGGGAAAGTGTGTGTGTGTGTGTGTGCGCGTGTGTGCATATGTGGCTCGTGCGGCGTGAGAGTCGTCCCGGAGTTTATAATACATGGGCGCACACAGCTAGATACAGACCCGCTCGTCACACCGTGCAAATAGGGCTTAAAATAGCGTTATTAAGAGACCTCCCCTCTCCCCGTTTTCTCTTTTTTAACCGACAGCTTTGACCGGTTAACGCTGTGACGGTCAACCACCGGTTAAACGGTCGCCGATTTACATCCCTATATCCGATCCAGTATTTTTTCTGGTATCGGCGCAGATATCGATACCAGTATCGGATCGGTGCATCCCTAATGGAATGGTTCACAAATAGACGTTTCCAGGTGTTAGAATGGCCAAGTCAAGTCCAGACCTGAATCCAATCGAGAATCTGTGGAAAGAGCTGAAGACTGCGGTTCACAAACGCTCTCCATCCAACCTCACTGAGCTCGAGCTGTTTTGCAAGGAAGAATGGGCAAGAATTCCAGTCTCTCGATGTGCAAAACTGATAGAGACATACCCCAAGGGACTTGCAGCTGTAATTGCAGCAAATGGTGGCGCTACAAAGTATTAGCGCAAGGGGGCCGAATAATATTGCACGCCCCACTTTTCAGTTTTTTATTTGTTGAAAAAGTTGAAATTCCATCCATTTTCTTCCCTTTAATCCATTTCTGGGTCAGGGGGATGGCAATCAGAGCTGCCACCCAAGTCTCATAGCACCAGCCCCTCACTGACCCTCTGCAGGTGGTGAGTCCACAGGAGGACGGCTGCTCTCTGAGTGAGAGCATAGCCTTGATCTTTCAGTGGGAGCTTTGGGCAAAGTGGGGTTAAGTGTCTTGCCCAAGGACACAACGACAGCAGTCATCAGTGGGAGTCGGTGGAGAAGGTGCAGAGGTGGGAAAGTTGAAATTATCCAATAAATTTCGTTCCACTTCACGATTGTGTCCCAATTGTTGTTGATTCTTGACAAAACATTTAATTTTTATATCTTTATGTTTGAAGCCTGAAATGTGGCGAAATGTTGAAAGGTTCAAGGGGGCCGAATACTTTCGCAAGGCACTGTATGAAAGTGGATACAATCTCACCTATAGGTGTGTTGGAGCGTGGCGGGGAGGGGAGGGTCACATGACGGCGCTTATTTCTTGGCCTGAGCACTCGAATAAGTGCCTGTTTACAAGCAAAGCTGACTGATGTGTCCTGAAAGATTAGGAAGAAACTGGTGAATGTTTGTGAAGACAGTATCAAATTGTCTTTTGACTATAATATTGCACCCCAGTAGTACTTACTGGACAGAGCAACATTTGCATATAGATCTTGGAGGCGACATTGATGTAATCCAGTTCACAAGTGCAGTAGGCATGAATGATGTCCACCAACGCATTCACTGTGGCTTCAATGTGGGTTAGACCTGGAAGAACAGAGACATTCATAGGGAACGCATTGCTGGGAACAACTTTAATCTCTGCATTTGTGTATACGTTTTCAGTTTTGTAAAAATTACACACAAAACATGTTATTATAGAGCTGATTCTCTGCCTAAAAGTTACACAGCGGCATTTAAAAACAAATCTTATTAAATGTAATCCTTCAGCTTACCTGGCAGACAAGCAGGAGCAAGGAAAGCATTCTTTGGCTTCAGGGCGTGCAGTTTCCAGAAGTTGTTCATGAGTTGAGTGATAAAATTACAGCTTTCTCCATCAACAAGTTTGTGTACGTCATCAGCTGGATACAGAAGCAGAGACAAAAGACAGACAAGTTGAATTAAATAAATACACAAATAACTTAAAATCTATATGCATACCTTTATACCATATATCTATTTTATTATAAATAAATATGAATTCCAAACCATGGATTGAAATGATAATTATTACAAGATTCATCCTCTTGTAATAATGGCGTCACTGATGTCTCAGTGAAGAAATATATAAGTATTTGGCCTCATCCCTTTTTTTACTTATTTATTGAATACATAAATAAAGTAAGTAATCTTTATTAACAGACACCTTTTACAGACCAGAATCACAAAGTGTTTTACAATTGTTGTGGGTATTTGTCTCACGGAGAGATGGGAGCGGGGGTCGCCAGTACACAGTAGACCTATTGCTTTTTAGGCTGCGGTCACATGCGCACCTTAAAGCCCAATTAAAGTGGGCCAGAGCTCACTTCGCGATTTGATTGCGGCTTTAGGTGCTATGTGACTGCGACAACTTGGGTTGGGCACGGTTGCCGCAAGTGGGCCGGAGCACGTTTGAGAGAGGTGTGCCAGAGCACGCTTTTAAAGCCCAGATGAGAGGGGCTCAGTGTGGCAGGGAGTGGGGGATGAGGTGTGGTGGAGACTTGATATTGTGCGTCTCACAGTGTGGGGCTATAACACTTCAAACATTCAAGAATCAGAGTCTTCATTTAATCTCCAGAATACACCGACACACACTTGTATCCTGCCAGGCTCCGGTCGCTCTGCTCGTACGCCACTTTTCATTCTTTCATTCTCAGTCATTCATTTCTCAGCGCTCACGCTCGTTACTAAAGAGGCGGCACACACACACACACACACACGTTACCCACTGAACGGCTGCACTTTGCATCAGAGCAATGTGAACAAGTGTGAGATTTGTCTTTCCCCAAACAACGCAATCCGTAATCGAGCTGTTAGACCACAGTAGCAGAATGTAAACAGGAAGAGAAATGAAAACTTAACCCGGACAACAAGGTTGTCGCTGAAGTTAGTATTAGCGCCACTAGCTGGGCCGAGCGTTCTACTACAGCACAGTCGCTCTGGCATGTTTGCGAAAACACGTTCGGCCCGTTTTCACACCCCTGTGGCGACGATCCGGGCCACTTGGCCTAGTTCGTTTGTAAAAACCTATGTAACCGTGCCCTTACTAGTGGTAGGGGAAACTGGAGCAGATATGGGGATGTTCTCCCCATAACTCTGCACAAGGCCTGGAGGTGGAATCAAACCCAGGACCTTTCCTGCTGTGAATATCATTATGATCATTATCATTACACTATATTATTTCTTTAATTACTTAATGAATTGTCTTTTATTTCATAATTTATTGTCCTTTACCATTATTGTTGCGTCTTTCTGTTGACTTGTGAGTGATAATACAAAAGACATTTTAAGTCAATCAAATTTCGAATACAACATTAATTACTACATTTTTCTTCATCTATTAATTACTAATTACTTAACGTGACCTGGATCAGTGTAGTTGTCGTACCGTCTTGCTGCAGGGTCTTGTTCTCTGTGAAGTGCACCAGGTTGTTGGGCCTCATGATGGCGATGGAGCGGGCGGTGATCACCAACCTCTGGAACACGTCCGGGTCCAGCTCTTTCCCTTCACGAGTGCTGCTGTTCAAACACTGCACAGCGTTACTCAACAGAGACTGGTCCTGAGGAGAGAGACGAGAGAAGAGATATGAGACAAAACATATGAGGAGACAGATGATAGGAGAGAAATGAGAGGAGAGAGAGGATAAAGAGAAAGGAGAGGAGAGATGTGAGAGGAGAGGAAAGGAGTCAATGCATCTCTCATTTTCATTCGTCCAAAAGAGATCCACGCAGAATTAGTTTCAAAAGATAAAAGTTTTGACTTTAGAAGTAATTTTAAAATCTGAAAGAGGCAAGCAGGGCAAGGCCTTGGTTTTGTACAGTGATGGGAGACCTCTGGGAAAACCAGGTGCAACAACAGGGCAGATTTAACATTGACTAGAATGTGTGTGTGTGGATGGAGTGAATGAATAACGACAAGTCTGAAAGTCAAAAATAGTGCCATATCAAAAATACTTCTAACTTAAAGCTGCACTAACTGACTTTATTTTTGTATTCATTACAAAAATGCTATCCATGTCCATGTAGTGCATTGGGATATACATCCTTTTGAAGAAAAAGTAGCGCAGATTTGTGCTGGCGTGACATATTTTAGATAGTTTTTATGAAACAAGGAAGAGAATGCGTTTTGGGTCGCAGATTGTGACCAATCACAGCGGACTACTAGCCCCCACTTTCATGAGAAATCTACAGGTCCGTTAGCATAGACAGCTGAGTTAGCACAACAAGCGGCGGAGCTAACCTGAAACTTTCTCGTCTGCGTCACTGGTTACTGCTTACACAGCCATTCAAAAGAAAGTCCCGTTCCTCCGCGCTTCCCGGTTCTATCGTTCTATGGTCACGCCATCCACGTGGAAATCCATATGCATGTATTATCCATATTGGGAGACGCTAGCTCCGTAAACAACAGTGTGTGTGTGTGGGGGGGGGGTGTGTGGGGGGGGGGGGGGGGTGCAGGGAGGGGAGCAGAAAGAGCCAGCGAGTCTGCTGCTTCAAAATCCCAAAGTCAGTTAGTGCAGCTTTAAAGCAGACGTGTCTCTAAGCTGAACACTACTTTTGAGTAGTATGGTGGAACATAAATATAGCTGTATTCCTGTTCGAAAAAGTTTACATGAGGAGGCATAATTTGCGTAACCTTGAATAGAGCCTTAAAAACAAAAGATGCCGTGGGTGTGGTATGCAGTGCAGAAGATTACCTTGTGGGTGTGGTATGCTGTGCGGCTGGTGTGCAGACTGGCCAACAGTCCCTTGGTCTGCTGCTGGACTCCTGTTGGAGTTGGCATGGACAGGAGCAGCGTGGCCAGCTCTAGAGCCGCATTCTTATTCTTCTCCTTTGAAGAAGAGAAGAGTCAAAAATCAAGTCATTTTAGCTAGACATCACAATCTCAGCTCCACATACAATTGCTTTTATAACACAAAAGTTTCAATAAAACTGCCCACTCATCTTGCTGTTCAGTAAAACATCCCCATTAATGTCTACCTTAAGAGATTCAATTTCTTTTTTGTTTTATACAAATGTTTGAAAGCTTGGTGATAGCTATAGGTATAAAGCTAAAAGTCAAACAAAAAATGTGTATTTAGGCCGAAACAAACCCCGGTGTTGATAGTATAGTGGCCCCAATAATTTCTATCAACTGATTGAAAAAAAAAAGTTTTACTCTTGGTAACATACTTGTAGAACCAGAGCGGACGGTAAGATGTGCAGGACCATCACAACTCTGTATTAAAAATATTTAGGTCTTCCAGAATTTTTTCACTTGCTTTTCTAGGTTGTTCCAGACCAATGCAGGAGAGTCTAACGACAGTGTTGTAATATCTCTATTCAATGACATATAAACTTGTCCATTACCTTTTCCCCAGAAGAGCCCACAGCAAAGCAGCTCTCCAAAGCTTCAAGGGAGTTTACTACCAGCCTGTAACAAAACTATGTATTAACATCTCGTCTTCACCAACAAATACATGAAAACCAAGCAGGAAAAAAATAATCTTAGCCTTCTACGAATGCTCTAAACTAAGTGCAAAAGAACCACATTCAATTCAAGAGAAAATGCCTTTGGGAGGGGAGTTGTAAAAGTGGAAATTCTGCATGGTATGTTCACAGTGCACAGGCAGGGGGCGCCAGACACACAGCACACGTGCACAAAAGCCATTCACGCAAGCAGAGAAAGGGCTGTTACTAACCGGTCCAGTGTTGACAAGGACTCAGTTTCAGAACTTTTTATTGTGTTTGTGGAGGCAAAAGAAAAAGAACAAAAAAAGTGTGAGGTCCACAGAAATAAATCAGTGAATTGTAATGATTTTGTTGAACAAAAGGGAGGACATGCACGAGAGATGAAGTCACGATAGCCATGCAATATACTGAACGTGAACCTGGCTAGAATTACATTGTTTTAGATTAAAACAGAACACAATACTGCATATAAATTATGCATTTTAATAGGGCTTGATCGACCAATGAAAACCAATGATCAGTCTATATTTTATTATTAGGGACGGGAATAAGGCGTATCTACAGTGGGGCAAAAAAGTATTTAGTCAGCCACCGATTGTGCAAGTTCTCCCACTTAAAATAATGACATCGGTACACTTCGACTGTGAGAGACAGAATGTGAAAAAAAAATCCAGGAATTCACATTGTAGGATTTTTAAAGAATTTATTTGTAAATTATGGTGGAAAATAAGTATTTGGTCAATAACAAAAATTCAACTCAATACTTTGACCTCTGTAATATAACCTTTGTTGGTAATAACAAACGATTACTATAGGTCTTTACCAGGTTTGCACACACAGTAGCTGGTATTTTGGCCCATTCCTCCATGCAGATCTTGAGAGCAGTGATGTTTTGGGGCTGTCGCCGAGCAACACAGACTTTCAACTCCCTCCACAGATTTTCAATGGGGTTGAGGTCTGGAGACTGGCTAGGCCACTCCAGGATTTTCAAATGCTTCTTACGAAGCTACTCATTCGTTGCCCTGGCGGTTTGTTTGGGATAATTGTCATGCTGGAAGACCCAGCCACGTTTCATCTTCAAAGCTCTCACTGATGAAAGGAGGTTTTGGCTCAAAATATCACGATACATGGCCCCATTCATTCTTTCCTTAACACTGATCAGTCGTCCTGTCCCCTTAGCAGAAAAACAGCCCCAAAGCATGACGTTTCCACCTCCATGCTTCACAGTAGGTATGGTGTTCTTGGGATGCAACTCAGTATTCTTGCTTCTCCAAACACGACGAGTTCAGTTTACACCAAACAGATCTACTTTGGTTTCATCTGACCACATGACATTCTCCCAATCCTCTGCTGTATCATCCATGTGCTCTATAGCAAACTTCAGACGGGCCTGGACATGCACTGGCTTCAGCAGGGGGACACGTCTGGCACTGCAGGATTTGATTCCCTGTCGTCGTAGTGCGTTACTGATGGTAACCTTTGTTACTTTGGTCCCAGCTCTCTGCAGGTCATTCACCAGGTCCCCCCGTGTGGTTCTAGGATCTTTGATCACCGTTCTCATGATCATTTTGACCCCACGGGATGAGATTGGAGCCCCAGATCGAGGGAGATTATCAGTGGTCTTGTATGTCTTCCATTTTCTGATACTTGCTCCCACAGTTGATTTGTTCACACCAAGCTGCTCGCCTACTGTAGATTCACTCTTCCCAGTCTGGTGCAGGTGTACAATTCTTTTCCTGGTGTCCTTCGACAGCTCTTTGGTCTTGGCCATAGTGGAGTTTGGAGTCTGACTGTTTGAGGCTGTGGACAGGTGTCTTTTATACAGATAACGAGTTCAAACAGGTGCCATTAATACAGGTAACGAGTGGAGGACAGAAGAGCTTCTTAAAGAAGAAGTTACAGGTCTATGAGAGCCAGAGATCGATCTTGTTTGAAGTGACCAAAATACATATTTTCCACCATGATTTACAAATAAATTCTTTAAAAATCTTGCAATGGGAATTCCTGGATTTCTTTTCACATTCTGTCTCTCACAGTTGAAGTGTACCTATGATGAAAATTATAGACCTCTGTCATTATTTTAAGTGGGAGAACATGCACAATTGGTGGCTGACTAAATACCTTTTTGCCCCACTGTAGGTGCTCCTTGTATTACTACTATTCTGAAATGTGAACTGGAACACTGACAACATAGGACAAAATTAAGGTTCTTATCTCTATCTTGTACATTGAACAGAGCTGAAGTTGGCTGCATGATGACTGCTAATTTATATCCTCATTAGGTACACATTGATACATGTTCTGCTGTGGACTTATAGACAATGGTCAGACAGAAATGCATGGATGGCAATACAAACTTTGAGGGTCAAATCCACGGATTCTCAGCATTAAAATAACGTACAACGTGTACATAATCAAAGGGCTAGAACTGGACAAAACGAGTTTGAGTTGGAACAGCTACTGCCATCAATACAAAACATCTCAGTGGAATTTGGTCCAATAGACAATGACAAAACTTCAAAATCTGCTGTTTTAAAAAAGAAAGTAAAAGCATTGGTCGGCCCATACTTTTTACACATACTTAAGCTTTAGTACTTCCCTCCTAAAAATACCTAGCTCACAATGCCCAGAGATAAAACTTTACAGCCCTTCCAGTTAAATGTATATGCCCAAAGTTTGACACAGAAACACACAATTTTTCTCATAAAGACAGTAAATTAATTCCAAATAAAAGTTAACGAAAAGAGAGATAATCCAAATACAAAGTGTGTACCTTTCGAGCACCGTGCCGCTGGCTGTGATGGGGGTGGTGATGTCCCCCTCAGTGGAGCCGTTGCCCTGGTTGAGGTTGGGGCTGCACACGTTATTGACAGAGGTGCTGGAGAAGTCTTCAGGAGGGTCCTCAGGCCAACCAAACTGCTCCTTGGTTTTACCGTAGACTTTAATCGAGTCGAGCATAGTGACTCCGGCTGGGTCCACAGATGCACCAACTACAAGGACACACAAGGTTAGAGTCACAAAGAAGGATCGAAGTTTTTTTATTTATACTTTATAACAAAGACATTTTTAAATGACAATGCTTTTATTGTTGAGCGGAGTTAGAGCTGCAGGGCCTAACCTTTTGCTTGCAATAAATGACTTGTGTTGTCCCAACAATTAATAATCTTTGTTTTATAGTAAAATATTATGTTTTTTATAACAAAGACAACATACAGCGTGGAACGGCATGTGCGTCTCGGGATGCACGCACGGATTGCGCAGTAAAGGTGCGGCAGAGGCGCAGGAGCGGCAAATTGACGCAGGAGATAAATACTGCTGAGCGTTTCCTCGAGACGCGCAATCAGAGCCGCAAAGTGGTCACGGGGACATTAGTGGTCTGAGCGAGCTGACTGAACATACTGTAAAGAGCCAAAACAGAAGCTACATCAGGACTAAACCAGGGTTGACAATGGGGGACACAGTGCTTGTGAACATATTCGTTTTCATGCTCCCGTGACTGTTTACCGAGCATGTTTACCGATGCGGAAGTACCGTTTAATAATAAGATAAACGCATAGCGGTGCAGGTTTTTCAGTCCTACATGTATTTCATTATACAGCAAAAAAATGTCCGATGATGTAATATGTTTTCAACGTTTTTTCAGGACTCCCTTGAAAAAAAGGTTGTTTTTTTGCATCTCAATGGGACTTTCCTGGTTAAATAAAGGTTAAATAAAATAAAATAGTAAATTAATAGGGATTGTTTGTACGTAGAGTTATAATTTTTACTCACTAAATATGGACAGCTTCTTGTCCGCCTGCAGCGCCTCCTCTCTGGTGAAGGGGAAGTCGAACCACCTGGCCCTGGTCAAGTTGATCTGCATGGTTCTTCCAAACACCTCCACGTATGAAGGAGCCCTCTCGATGGCCTGCGTCCCCACCTGGACTCTCATCCCGGTCATCACCATGGAGCTGTTGTTATTGACCGCCTCTACAGTGAACCCCCCAGGCTGAAAGAACAGGTATAACTTCCAGATCCCATTTAAATGAATCCGAGAAAAACAGTTAGTAGTCGTTGTCTATACGTACCTTTGTGTTAGCCACATACATCCCAGTGGAGTTCAGTCTGTGTTTTATTTGTTGTCCGTTGTAAACTTGGAGTAAGTCATTTCCTCCAAACTCCACCTCTGTCAGCTGATGATTGTGTTCAAAGAAATCAACAGGGAAGGTCACCTGGCTGGACGTCCGTGTCGCTACAAGAAAAAATAGGATTTTTATTGTTTTTACCTTCACATAATGTGTTACGTATTCTATTATTGCATGCATATAAAGCCGGCAAACTTGTTTAAATGTGTTACTTTGGAAACTTGGTTTATAAAAAGTGCAATATAAATAAAGTGGATTGGATTGATTTAAAGTCTCTGTAGCTGGCCTGAGGCAATTCCCAGTATGTACCACCCGCCCTCTAGAATCATAATAATAAATTACTTCCGGTACATACTGGTAGCAGCAGCCTTGCGTTTGCGGACTGGCTTCATGATGCTGATGCCACAGCTAGGCTGCAGTGCCGGCTGGAGCCAGTAAGAGGTGTTGTCTACATTCGCCATGTAAATACGCAAACTGCCGTCTTCACAAAGCAGAATCATAGTTGTGCGTTGTTGTTCGTTGCTGGCCGTGTGGCGGATAGCAACCATGTCCTGAATCTGAAGAAGATCATTTGTTATTAGTGCAGTTACAACCATAAGAGATAAGTAGAGGTTGAGTTTTTGGCAGGTTTTTACTTTAGCCTTGGCTGGAAGAGTTTTGATCTCTTGGATGAGGAACGTGTCTGGTTTGACCATAATGACCAGAGGTATTCCTGTAGTTTGTTGAACGCAGCAGACCAGTCCAGGGTGGTTCATAACTTCAGACCACTGGCACAGAGCAGGGGAGACTTTACTGCTGCCACCGTTTGATCTAGAAAAGAAAAAAACAACAACAATGAGATACCCATTTGGATTTTAAAGTACACAAATTGTGCAAAGAAATGTAAACGGAAGAAGTTATTCACCCTTCCTTTAGACACCTACATCTTTATCCTATCCAATATGAGGAACTTCTGGCATAAACAACTGTCTCTTGTCTGAAAGCTCCCATCTCAATCCTGTGATAGTATGATAAAAATATACCACTATAGAAACCATAAACAGCCTTTTTGTTTTTTCAAAACAAAAATATTGCCCCAAACTAGTTTTGGCCTTTTTCCAAGTGAAATTACGTTCTTTACTATTTCATGGTTGAGTTTGCAGTCAGTATTTACATATTTGGAAAATCCTCCCTCTAGTGGTAGCATAGAGATACAGGCAGAAAGTATTATTTACCTTTAATACATATTTCACCATATATTTAGTTTTTAAGATATTATTTCACATTCTAAAACATGAAACCCTAAAGTGAATTTTCTCAATATCTTGTTTGAGGACCCAAAAACTGCAGAATATGTGAAAGCCTTACCCCTTAACGTTGATTGAGAAAAGACGCTGGACTTCGGTGGTGCTGCGGCTCACGGTGGCGGCGAAGGACTTTCCCTGGCTGTAGCTGAAGAACAGCATTTGCAGCACATGGGAGTAATACACCGAGACTCCTCCTCCTGCCAGCTGACCGTTACTGTCCTGGAAAAGTAAATACATGGTAGACTTTTTCAACAATGACAATGTGGGATTGGTCTTTTGTGTAATAAACATGTGGCTGCTTGTTTATTACACAGCCACATGTTTATTTAGGTTTACAAAGCACTAATGAAAAACAGTTAACTTGCTTAGTCTAACTTAATTCGATTTATTACGCTTTTGGGGTAACTGGATCAAACCATTTCTATTCTGTTTGTACCTGAAATAAAACATATCTATCATCTATTTAGCTGCAGACCAGACAGCTTCTTGGTAAGACAAAAAATAGGTAGTTATGATTGAAAAAAAAAACTTTAATCATCTTGGTAAAAAAAGAAACGTAACTTTTTCCACATCCCAAGTTACCTTCAGGTCTTCATGGGTGATCTCCAGGACGTTGGTGACGTAGAAGGGTCCATGCTGAGCGCTGCTCGACTCGTCCATGACCTGAGTGTACATGTATCCAGCCGAAGACATGATCACAATGATGTTCTTGCCTTCCTCGTTGAAAAGGAAGGTTGCGTCTCGAATCTTGGAGCTGGGAAGCAGGAAGTAGTACATGGGGCTAAGGGCGTCAACGGATAAATCATAAACCTGTGAAACAAAGTCAGAAAAGTCAGAGATATTGTCATGTAACATTTGAAGTGTAAGCGAGTCTTTTAATGCCGGACCTTGACGAAGTCTGCAGTGATAATGGCCAGTTCAGTCTGAGAGCCAGGGAGCCAGATTGCTTTGATGATGAAGTTGCCGGTGGCGAGTTGAGGATGTAGCACTAAGTGATCGGACACAGAGCCTGTACTGCTGAAGGTGAGAACATGGCAATCCTGAAAGAGAAAATAAGAACACATATAGTACATATATCATATACTATCAGTCATTTTGTGATTAACAGTAGAAAAAGGATGGGTTTAAATGGTTTGTAAACTTCCACACTCTGGTTGTATGATTAGATGTTTCACCCACATTGCCTCGAAAGAGTCCGATATGTGTGAATGATTGGTGGTGGTCAGAAGGTCGATGGCACAGATTAATAGCTACTACAGGAGAAGTTCACCACCACAGAGTACACAGTGAAATTATAATTCCATGTGAACTATCTTTGAGGGTTAACAAAAGCATTGTTTAAGTGTGATGCATTAATACTTTTTGATAAAACAAATGTTTTACATGATAATAAAAGCATTAACCAAATACATTCAGTAGGATTTCAAAAACTCAATAGAGAAACAGTGACAAATTTCAGCTTTGAAGCTTTGTATGTATTGATTGACCTGCTAATAGTGAACAAAATGGTGAATGAAAATGTATAATCATGTTTCCACTGCAGGAGTTCCTGGTAAAAGGAGGGGGGTGGGACAGCATCAGGAACCATGCTCACACTTGACCCCCTCTCAGTGGTCGTGTCTCCACTGCAGAGTAGGATCCCTCGGCAACGTCCCGAAAAACCCAAAGTTTTTGAAGTGGAAACACAACTTATGTGTTTAGTATTTGAATAAGGCCTACCTTGAGCCCACAGACCGCCAGGTAGTCCTCATTGCATGGGTTTCCAGTGAGACTGAGCACAGTGAAGGGGACCGGCGCCGAAGCCAAACGGGTCAGAGTGAGTTTCCTTTTACTGGAGTCTGCCTGCTTCAGGAGAGTGGACAGCTGCAGCACGGTGATCTATGGAGAAGATACAGCAAACATATCCAGCATTAAAAAAAGAGATTGGATGAGAGAAGATGACATTTAGAACTTCTGGGTGCATTCCCATCGCCAACGCATGGACGCGCGTTGATGGAGGCATGGACGTGTATTCACAAATTTTCAACCGCTTGAGTTTATATACATCTGAATGCATTGTCCTATTTTTTCTTCTTTTTTGGTATGGAACAATTTTATCTTGAGTCTGAAATAAAAGATTAATAATACTGTCCAACCCAAATGTGTCCCATCCCCAACATTTACACTTCAGTGATGAAAAGGCCAATGAAAGACTTACTTTCCCTTTCTCGTGACTGACGGCGAGGTGCTGTCTCCGCCCGTGTGGGGAGGACAGCACACACATGGCCACTCGCCTCAGGACATGGGCGCTGATGAGCTGGCGGATTGTCTGACCCTGGTCTCCGCTGTAGTTCATTCTGACGTTTTCAAAAGCTCCTTCCTGAGAGCCAAGAGTAGGAACCTGCGGAAGAAGGCGCCCGTCAAAGCAAAAGGTTAAATCCGATACTTGTAAGAATTACTTTGTCATACATCTACTGCGCCTAAATTATGATGGATTTCTAATTTTGTGCGTGCAGCAACGCGTATCCTAGTCAAAACATGATTTTTCTAGCAGTCCTTGGCTCCTGATCGCATCCACACACACACAGCACTTGTATCTAAACATTAGGCCGAGGACTGGCAGGTTTTACAGTGGTTCTGGACATCTTTTTTTTTCATAATGTCTCGTGTCTGGCCAGACCAGCTCACAAAGGCCATGAGGACAAACACATGCACGTGATATGTGTTGATCGACATCAACCCTCTGGTCCGACTGTCCTCTACACTTCTTCATAGAGCACACAGCGAGAGCATCAGAAGCCGCGTACCAGCCGCTTAATGTTACCTGCATATGCGCACAGTCAACGCTTACGCACTGTTAACGCCTACTGTGTAAACTAGCTGTAAGGATGTGTATAGTAAGTATGAAACAAGAGACATTGGACAGGAAGAGCTGAGAGATTCTAACTTGTGATAGAAGTAACTGATTAGCTTCCATGAGAGCACATTGTTGTAACATTGTTAAAAGCATAATATGTTCTCATTAATGTACAATAAACTAGTTATCATTTATTTGACATTTCCTGTGTTTTATGTTCTAAGCCCCATGCTGCTCAAATGAATTTCCCACAAAGTTGTCTGAATCTGAAAATGTGTTGGTGTCCACTACCATGAGCTGGTCGGTCATGTCTACTGTCTTGTCCTGAGTGTGCAGCTCGTTTAGCGCCTGCTGAGCGCGACTGCTGCTGCCCACAGCAGACGCCTGCTGGAAATTTGTTTGAATGGCCTCCATCAGAAACATGAGCATCTCCAGGATCGCTGCAGCAGTGGAAGAGCCCATCTGCAGAGAAGAGAACAACTCGTGAAATTTACCCTTTAGGCAAAAATTATAATTATTAAAGTTTAAGAGAAAGATGGATATATTTATTTGTCCGACAGAGCGTCAATTTCAGTGTTCTTGAGTAGGGATGAGGAGCACAACACAAGATACGTCTGCTATGATTGTTTTGCATGTGTCTCGTTCCACAATGTCTGTTTTGATTGTAATTATCCTTAATTATAATTTTAATAGAAATATATGGGAGACTTGTATTGGTACCACTTGTGACAGCAGCTCGTCCTGACAGCCCTCGATGCTCTTGCACACACTGCTCTTCTTGGGCCGGTCCTCGTCTCCTGGTTTCCCGTCACAGATTGTCACCTTCCCCTTGTCGGACGGAGAGGCGTTCTGGTGGCGTATCGCACTTTCAGGCATCCGCAGTTCGCTTTGGAAGGCGGAGGACTCCTTCAAAGTGGAGCCAATACCACTGCTGGGGCTACGCTTGACCAGGGCCTGAGGAAAAGATCATTCAGTTAGAAAAGACAGCCCATTGAGATAGAAATATTGAAAATTTCATTAAAGATATTTGATGAAGGGGGAGGATCTATACTGTGATAATCACATGTTTCCAATTCTTTTGAAAATGAAAAGCATGCCCATGGTAAATCTTATATCTACGTTTCAAAAGATGTGTTTAACTTAAATTAACCTGGTAAACAGAATTCTATAACTTGTAATTCAAGACAATCTATACAATAACAAGACAATGCATAAATCTGTGAAAGGGAATGATGCTGTGGGGGATTCAACTTATTCCCAACTGAAGATGCACAAGTCAGTACATTATCTGTACAAAAAAATACTTTTTTTTTTAAAGTTCCACATTTGGCTTTTATTTTCATTTTTTTAGTCCATTGAAAGAATAATTTGGGTGATACACCACACAACACTCAATTGATCTTATCGCAATTATTTCAATTATTGATACAATGAAATGATTGGATCTCTGCCATAATCTTGGCTCCTTGGCCGTGAGCCTGGCTCAAAGTCACGCCGACTCTGTGGTAAACACACAGTAGTAGTAGTAATCTTTATTTATATACCGCCTTTTCACTGCACATCGGAGTCTCAAAGCGGTTTACAATTGTGATTTTTGGGAGTGGGGGTGCCAGTACAGGAGGCACATGCCAGACCTATTGTACATATTTTTAGTGGTAGGGGAAACCGGAGCACCCGGAGGAAACCTACGCAGACACGGGGAGAACATGCAAACTCCACTCAGAAAGGCCCTGGTCCAACCGGGATTCGAACCCAGGACCTTCTTGCTGAGAGGCGAGAGTGCTATCCACTCAGCCACCGTGCCGCCCAAACACAGTATATAGTTCCAACAATCTGTCTGGCGTGTCCGTTTTGATTTCTACCCCCGTCAATCACCCCCTGGAGGTGGGCTTCTCCAGCTCGGAGGCACATAATGAATTTAACAGAGGCGTTTTGCTGCCTCTCGAGAATGACATAGAAAGATTGCCCTCGATGTAAATATTGAGGGAATCAATTAAAATGTGTATAAACACAAAATAACACTGTAATAATAACAAAAGCATAGAAAAATCAAAAAGCGTATAATGGGAACTTTAATGTTTAAAATTTATCTACTCATGTATTGAAGCACACTCCTGTTGGGAATAAATTATATATTTATATATACATAAACATCTTTTGATTCCACATTTACTAGCTATGTCCCTGTCTGGTGAAATGAAAGGATGGAGGTCGATGGGAGAATGATTGTCGAGCCAAAGTTACCGCTGTTGTTCTCTTCCCATGATGACCTGAGGTATGCGGTCTCACCTGGCAGCTGCCATCCTCTTTGGCCCCGCAGTCACAGAAGAAAGAGCCATATTTGGCATAGGAGATCTCATGGTCTTTGTGACAGACCTTGGCGCACACTGTGCACACACCTACCCCATCCACCATCTTACAGGTGTGACAGTGGTACCTGCAGGACAAAGAGGGTCCAGGGAGGTCAGTATAATAAAGAATTATACATTCAAATTACATGATAGTTAGTCATCGTATGCCATCAACTGAGGAGAAAGTAAAAAGTAAAATGGGGCTGAACAACAATATATTGTAAGTGTAATAGATATATATAATATGTATTACACTTTTTATGACTTTTCCTTGGCACAAATATTTAGGTCTGAACATCAAATCAGCATGACCTACTGCTTTGACCTACTGCTGTTGCTATATACAGTCCAATATATTTTTACCAGTGCTGGTTCATGAACTCCTTCTGCGTAATGGTGAAGGTGCAAAGTTTGTTGCAAAGAGAGTCTTCATCCTGAAAACACATTGAGGCTTTCTTTACGCTGAAACATATTCAAAAAACCTGATGTGAAACTGTCTTACTGAATCCTCTGCCTGGGAGTCATCGTCCTCCACTGCCAGCTCCTCCACCCAGTCTGAGTCCACCTCCATGGCCTTCTCCTCGCCGTCCATCACCAGAGAGGAGTTCCCCTGCCCACTGCTCTGCCTCAGGGCGTTCATGACGTCAGCCAGATATGAGATGATGTGGCAGGAGCACTCCAGCATACTGGCATGCTGCGGGAGCAACAATTTTCTAAATAAAGTTTATAATATACAGCCTGCAACCCTAACCGTATATAACTTAAATAACACAATGTATGCATTTGTTTGTGTTAATTGGCCCAGGTACATGATCGAGAGGGTATTTATGTGAAATTATTATTAAACAAATCAAATATCATCAAGAATGGGCCAATGGGTAACAATGAGCAAATTTTACATAATATGAGACTGACAGACACAGATACACACTAAGGTCCCGCATCGTACCTTTCCTTGAGTGATATTAGTGCTCACTTTTTCCACTACATTCTTCTGAGTAAGATATTTTTTGCTAGAAAGACAAAAAGAGAAAACAAAAACATGACTTTTTCCAGATAACTTATGAAGGTTTTCATATATGTCCTTAATTCCAGTAAACATTGATCAATGACAAGTTTAATTGATTTCTTATTTTATGGCTTATAATATGAAACATCTTATTCAATAGTAAAAGGTATATGGTAAAAGATGCCTTACACCAGAGGGAGCTGAATAATAATTTTTTATTTATTTTTATTCAACACATTTAAATTGACTTGCTGTAAACACAACCATGTGACTGTTATATATTATAATTTCACCTGAGAATGTACCAAAACCAATTTGGAGGTGACACTTGTGATAGTGACACAATGATTTATTATTACAGGACTGAGACAGAGTTCAGATAGTTGCATGTTTGTGCCAGAAGTTCCACATATTAGTGTGGATAGATCTAAACAACTTCAGGTCTGTGACTGATGAGGGAACATCAGAAAGCTCATCTAAAAGCTCATAATATATATAATTTAAAATGTTGGTGTGATTCTGGGCTCAGCAAAAACAAACACGTTGATTCTTACCATCTGGTCAGCCAATCAATCGCTGCCCTGTGCAGCTGAAGATGACCTGCTCCTTGTCCAGCACTGGCTAACGTCGCCATAATCACCATGAGCTCCGGAAAGCCTGTCCCGTCTCCGTTGGCGAGCATATCCGTGGCCATGGGTATGAGCGTGCTGAGGAGGACCGTGCACACGCCTTCTCCCACCTGGCTGTTGTCCCGGACGATGTGGGTGGTGAGGAGCTGCAGTAGTTGCCGATTTTCCTGAACAACATCCAAGTGCTCTGAGTCTTTGGGCGGGGTCGCGGTCATTCTCGTTAGCCAGGACTGCAAGCGAGAAGGCTCCACACAGGCTAACTGAGCCAGAGAGCCACACAGACACAGGAGGCTCGGGTTGGGACTCTTCTCAGCTGTCAAATAACTTAACATTAGTCTTGCAAGTCGTGATAAAGGGGGATGCTTGCGCGTTTTGGACTTACTTAATTGGAAAAGTTTAGTGAAGAACTTGAGGACTCTGTTGCAGAATTTTGCAGAGAGGTTGTCGTTGGCTGTGGCCATCATGATTTGGACCAGTTCACCGCTGTGAGGAGGAAAAGGGGTAGAACATGCTAATAATAACTGTATGATATGTTTGACCAGAGGAATCCTAGATGCTATTTTAGAGTTAGTATAGTTTGCTTTTGGATTTACAATCAGTTTCAACCAGGTATAACCACGATTATAATAGCTATAGAGACTTAAACACTTTAAAGCTGAGGTACACCTAACAAAGAACTGTAAAGTAAAACTTAGAGGAAAGAACTCTTTATAAAAATAAAAATAAAAGCCTTGTTGAGTCAATAATAATAAGCTTTGGTCTGGGAGTTGATTAACGGAGTGAGGGTGGTCCTCTCGGTTCACAATTTTTTGAAAAAGCGGATCTAAACATGTGAGGCCATGCATGTGAAATATCCCTCTCAAACTCTTGAGAGGAGCTGTACATTTGTCACTGTAGATATAAGACTAGTACGGCCACAATTACAAAGTATCATTATCACCAATAATCACTCCACTCCATGACAGTTACCCAAACGAAAAGAACTCTTCCATCGCCTTCCGAACTTGACTGCTTTCTAGTTGTTTCTCAAGGTACTGAAGGCACTCCTCCAGGACAGATTCATCCAAACCACTGAGGAAAATATGAACAGTATTGATACACAGCTAAACTTACAGCGGTCATTGCAGAACTCAGGCTTGAAGAAACATTACCTGTCGGGGTCCGAGTGATTTGCAATGATGTTGTAACAGCCGGTGACTAAACGCTCATAGATCCTGGCGAGAAAGGCGTCTGACTCCGAAGGCCCCAGGATCCGCTCCAGTGACGTGCTGCTGATCTCTGCTACACTCTCAGTGCTGCTCTCCAACAGCAGTGGCAGCAACGTCCGCACGACCTGTGACGGATTCAATTCCTCCGTTCTAAAGAGAATAGCAGTGAACTAGGTCAACAAATATGTTAAAGTGTAGGGATGGGAATTAACAAAAATGTGACGATTTGATAGTATTTCAGTATTTGGGTCACAATTCAATAAATTCAAAAATATTGCAATTCTTTTCATATTGCAAGTCAGCAGGTATTGTGATTTGATTTTGCGATAAATCGCGATTTATGTACAACATATTATTCAAAGGTATTACTGACATTGAGAAATGCCACATTTATTATGGTCTGCACGTTAACTGTAGCAAACACTTGGGTAGTGCTAAAACGTTATCTTGAACATTCAGGACAAAGGACCTTATTACAGAGAAGACATAGTTCTCTGAAGGTGGCCTCTCACATGAATGTGACTTACAATCACTTACATTATTTAAATGCAACAAACTAGTGACAAAAAGCAGACATCATAGAGGAATGTTTGTGTAAGCACAGTTGTACAGGGATAGGTCAAAGCAAAGGAAGGTTTCTCACCCATCATCTGTACTTCTTAGCAGGTTGCTAAGTCATAGAGGAACATTAACCTCCGATTTAAATTACCTTTGTAAACTCCAAATAAACATTAAAGTGTCTAATTAAATATTGTGATACTTTGCTTTACTGTATCGATTTAATTGCGTGCGCAAAATATCACGATACTAAAATAGAATTATTTTTCCCCCAACAATATTGGTATGTATGTAATTCCTCATTTATAAAAAGGATTTTCCCTCTTTCACTTACACGATGAGGTCTCCGATGAGCCGAACCAAACACAGCAGGATGTGTTTCAGCGACGAGGCGAGAGGTAGAGACTGGCAGCTCAGAGTGCCAAGGTGAGCGGCCTGGATGGCACTGATGTAGCCCTCTGATGGGATGGTGTCATTGGCAAACGCAGTTCGCTGAAAGTGAATTGCTTAATATCATTCCAAAGTTAAGAAATAAACTGTTTAGAAAGCTTTTAAGTTTTGAATAATCCCTAAAAAGGAATAGAGCTTGCACACAGGCTGATAAAGAAATTCAGCAGCCAAGTTCATTTTATTATCATGGAACCCATTAATTATAGCAAGCTATTAAGCTAGTGCTTTATTTTTAGTTTGTTTTTCCTTGCAAGTGCAATTCAGTTTTATTTGGCACACTTTGGGGCAATATGTGCCAAACTCGAATTTGAGTGAACGAAATGGAGATGACTGCACAGCTTTGGCTCCCAGGAGATTTTAATAAATCACCACAAAATGTGACGTTTCGGGTCACTACCCTTCATCAGACATGTCAGACATGATGTCTTTTCTCGTCTGTTTTGCCTCCGTAACTCTGGGGTAAAAATACCAAGTCCCACCCCTCGTTTTTAAAGCTGTTATCATAGGCTGTTTAGATATCCAATCACTTGAACATACAACATCAGAACAAAACAGGATGCTGGAAGCGTCAATGTGGCTACTGCTTAACCAGCTCCTGCACGGATTGCCTCAACCAAAGTCTCGTTTAGACACGAGCATTAAGCCAATTAGATAGATAAACATTACCAACTCCACTACAACTCAATTAACTAAAACATAGTTAAGATGGGTACATTTGATACAAATGTAATTCCGGGGTAGACATGTGCTACTTAAGACATTATGTTACCATTCCGACCACAAAGTAAACCACGGGCAAAGCTCATCTAATTTACAAAATAGTTAAAGAAGCTATACCCGATTTTTTTTCTAAGTAGTTGATAAAAAATGCTTATTACTACATACAAGTTGTATTATAATTCGTAATTTAATTGAAAACTTGAGGCAATTGATTCAGCTGTGTAAGAATAACAAGCAGTAAAAAGTGCTGAGTGGAGTCTTACAGGGAATTTACACAGTAGGCGTAAACAGCGCATACGCGTTTACTGCGCGCTCTCTGCGCGTAACATTTTTTTGGAGTATCTACACAGGCCGTGCGCGCAGGTCCGCGTCTTCTGATGCTGTCCCTGTGAGGTCTATGGAGCAGTGTCGAGGACAGTACGGGCCAGAGGACTGATGTAGCGCAACACAAATCACATGCATGTGTTTGTCCTCATGGTCTCTGTGCGCTGGTTTGGCCAGACGCCAGACTTTATGAAAGAAAAAAACGATGTCCAGAATCACTGTAAAACCTGCTGCTCCTCCTGCTGATGTTTAGACACAAGTGCTGTGTGTGTGCAGATGTGATCTAGAGCCAAGGACCGCTAGAAAAATCATGTTTTACATGAGATTTCAATGGGAGACGCGTTGGTGCGCGCACAAAATTAGAAATCCATCCTAAATTAGAGCGCAGCTTCGCGTCATACGTCCGTCATACGCGCGTATAACGCTAGAAGTGTAAATATCATCATAGGTTAACATGGAAAAAAGTTACGCGCGTCTGCTGCGCGTATAACGCGTACGTGCTGTAACGCGTGATGTGTAAATTAGCAGTTAGAGGGACGCTCGTTCTCCTCCGCTCACAGAACGAGCGTCCTCTAGCTCCTACAGCGCCGTAAAAACTAGGGCTTCGGCTTCAAAATTCAAATATAATTCTAAAATTAAAAATATATATATATTTGAATACATATTAGACTGCCCTTACAATTCTAAATGTATTCAATAACTGCAAATAAAATTGTTAGCTTCCAAAGGTTCCACCGGGACGTGCTAGGCAGGTAATAGCTAAGCTAGCTAGCTCCCTGGAACTACATGTTAATGGTTACTTCCGGGTTTTTCGCGATCGCTTTTTGTCACATTAAAATAGTAATTTGGTCATGAAAACGATAACAAGAAATTCTGAAAACGTCCGTCCACGTGTGTTAAAGGAATAGTTCACCGTTTTTACATACTGACATATGTTCTTACCTTAGACTAGTTAATATGTACCTGTCTGGTCTTAGTCCGTGCGCTCTGTCATGCAAACGGAGCAAAAACGGGAGCACAAACGCAGCCTCCTCTGTATACTGTATAGTACCCAAAAGGTAGCTCCCGCTAGAAGCTACCAAACTCTTCCAAGTGTTCCCTATTAAATGTATATAGTTACGTGACGTGTTACACTGCAAAGTATAGTAACACAGAAATGTAACTGTCGATTTTCGCAGCGGATAAAACGGGTACTTTATTGTGAGGCGTAGTAATCTGAGGAGCGCTACGTCCGCGCACTAACTTCTCTCCGGAGACTTCTCTCTCGCTCACTTCCGTCAATAGAAGCAGCGTGACTTGATGCTGCCTCAACTGTCCTCAAACTAGCTATCCGATAAGTCTCTGCTACTACTGTGTGTACTACAAGTATTGGCAGTATTTTACACACCTGTCAAAGGGTCAACCTGTCATTATTGATTTGAGAGTTCTGTTATCAAGAAAAAATGATCGGTAGAATTTCATTCAAGTCAATGGAGTGTTCTACTGCTGCTGTGAGGAGCTGTATAATACATTTTAATTACATATTCGAATATATTCTAATGTTCTAATGAATACATTTTGATGCGAAACTAGCGGTATTCTTTTACCTATATATTGTGTTAGCAGTGCGTTGCTTTAGTACCATTTCATCAGTGATTGTTGTACAGCTTACAAGAAGTTGTGCTAATGCTAATGTTAGCATTAGGCGATACTTTCTCCCGCGATTCGATTATCGATATGCATTTGCTAAGTATCAATATCAATTTTGAAGAAAAAAAAAGGTAAAAAAAAACAACAAAAAAACCAATTATTTATTTATGCCATAAATTGTCATATTGTATATTTCTGACCAATATATCAATAATCGTCATATCGTTATCGTGATATTATCGTTATCGTGAGCTTTGTATCGTGTATCGTATCGTATCGTGAGGTACCCTTAGGTTCCCACCCCTAGTTAGCATACATGTCAGATCGCAAATTGAGCTAGATGGCTCTGTGTTATGAGAGCGTAGGGGAAATGAGAAGCCATTGAGCGAGTTGGAGGGCGGTGCTAAACATTCAAACATTGTAGAAACGGGTATAGCGCCTTTAACAATGATTAGCGAGAATGGTTATAGGAGAATTATGAATTCTTGAACAGGAACAAGTTTTTTTCCAGTTTTTGAGCTAGATTGACGGCAGGTGGAAATATAAAAGTACTACCCAAAAATGTTTTGTCCAAAATGTTATAAAACATTTTCTATTTCCAACAGAACAGTACTCACCCAGGAGCCAATATTCGGAAACTCATTAGTGTGAATGTTGCTCCATGTCTCACACACCGTCTGCACAGCGGAGGGCAGGTTCTGCATTATACTGTGGGCTGGAACATTATAGTAGAATGTTAAACAGACAATTAATTAAACAAACGGGATGAGTGTTCAATGAGCATTTCAATACCAAGACTGTTGGCCTTGCAGCGTGTGGATCCGATGGAGAGAACTGCCGCATAGCCTTTGAGTTTGGCATCAGTAAGTTTGTTTTCTCCCTCCTCTGGGATGTTCATTAGCAGGTAGGACCTAGCATACAGAAAAAGAAAAAGCTAGTTATGTCTTGGTTAAATATGTCAAGCATATTATTAGTCGTGAGAGAGAGTCTTTGGGCGTGTGTGTCTCTCCTTGTATGTGAACACCGTCTTGTTCTGACATCTGTGGTAGTCTTACGTATTACATTGTAATGTATTATGTGCTGTACAGATTGCGTAGGAATAAGCAAAAATGAGAGGATTCAAAAGCATTGCAATATTCTGGCGACAATTCAGCATCGTGTATCGTGTATTGTGATTCTTAACATTTAGATTCATCAATATAGTGCCCCTCATATTACTCAAAGGCACAACAAAAATTGAGGAAGCACACATTATTTAAATACTACCAACAAGACAAACAACAAGCAGACATCAGAGTAGTGGACCTCAAGTTTAAATTACCAGAGGAAACTGAGAACAAAAAATTAAAATGGATAATCATCAACTACATTGATTTAATTGTGTGCACAAATATTGCGATGCTGAACAGATTGAGTTTTCCCCCCACTAGTGCTGTACAGTATTATACAGATATGTGTTGTGATTTCTAATGTATAATATAATTATTGCACAGTGTACTGTTAAATGGGATCTGGGAATCTCTTAGTGTTCGTTTCACCCAACCCCTTTTTTGAACCATGTACTTGTCATTTGTTATTTAGATCAATAAAACCTTGTAAACGCTGTGTAGACGTCAGCGAGCTGCAACGTGGCTGGAAGCAGGTTTTTGGTGATCTCTGAGGTCTTCTGAGTGTCCGCTTCGATGGCGACTTTTGACAGATGCTCGTCAAGGGAAACCTGCACTTTGGACATGACAGCGTCCAGAGTGTAGATGGCCTGCAGAGACGGCAGCTGACTGAGGGGAAGGATCGCACTGGGGTTCACACCGGAAAAGGTGGAAATCTGAGAACGAAATTAAACACATCAAGGCAATTATTATACACATGTACAAAATATAGAGAATTTGTATTTGTAGAACGTGGCATTACCTGTCTAGCGATGTACTCCTCCGCTAAGTCCACGTCGTATTTGACCGTACTGCAAAGAGCTGCCGTTGATTCCACCAGAGTAGCAGCTTGATCAGGCTTCAGCCCCTGGTTCACCAAATGTTCCTAAAACAATGCTTTCAAGTTATTTTCATGTTTTAGAATGTGAATTAATATAAATAATAAAAATGGATTAGGGTAAGAAAAAATATATATTATATATATATTTGTTTTAATAATAATAATTCCTGACTAACTCCTTATGCTACCACAAGAGGGAGGAGTTTATCTTTTTTTCTAGATTTATAGCTATTATAAACTAATTTATAGGCACTACTGTCTTTCCAAAAGAAGAAAACTGCTCTGGGTAAGATGTCACAGTGGTACAATGACATCATACTATAACAGGAAAAAGACAAGAGCTTTTAGACAGAAGGGACAGAGTTATACGATTATACCAGAAGTTTCTAATAATGACATTGATGGATCTATAAAACAACTCAAGGTCTGTTTTTGATGAGGGAACATAGTTAAAAACTCAAAATCTGTCCCATGTCTCAATATATCCTGTCCGTTTTTTACACATTTGCATTCATCCTAAGACAGGACTACTGTAAAAAGTGCTGTCCAACTGAAGACCTAGTTTAGCAGTCAACTAAACCCAGAAAACCCATCATTTTGGACCTAATTTTGATGAAGTAGAACATTTAGAACAGAGGGGCGACACTAGCTCAGTTGGTAGAGCATTGGCCTTCAGGCCTGAAGGTCGTGGGTTCAATTCCCACCTCTACACCTTCTCCACCAACTCCCACTGATGAATGCTGTCGTTGTGTCCTTGGGCAAGACACTTAACCCCACTTTGCCCAAAGCCCCCACTGAAAGATCAAGGCTATGCTCACACTCAAGAGAGCAGCCGTCCTCCTGTGGACTCACCACCTGCAGAGGATCAGTGAGGGGCTGGTGCTGTGAGACTTGGGTGGCATCTCTGACTGCCACCCCCCTGACCCAGAAATGGATTAAAGGGTAGAAAATGGATGGATGGATGGAACATTTATGTTGGTCACCAACCAACACTCACCTATCACGAGTATGTTGGTAGGTGTTCTTCATGGTCTCTTTCTATATTTTTGAAACAAGATAATTTGGCTTGTCCCATTAGCAAATCTCTCCATACAGTCAGAATGTACTAAAATTAAGATAAAAACAAGCCAAAAATTGGCAAATTGTAGGTTTTCAATTACTTCCTTAAGTGTAGCGCAAGATCTGTTTGTTCCGAATTTTTCCATTTGAAACCAATTAAACGGATTTTTCTCAGCTCTAAATGGTAATTTTTGTATTGTTTATTTGGTTGGGACAGTACATGTTAATGAACACATCACTCTGGATTGTAGCCATGGGCTAATTTGCATACGTCCCACATTTGCACTCACAAACACACACTCCCCCTGAACTATTGCACATGGTTTAGTGGTAGGGGAAACCGGAGTACCCAGAACAAACTGGAGTTTGTTCCCATGTTGTCCTACGGAGACATGGGAAGAACATGCAAACTCCAATCAGAAAGGCCCTGTTTCGACCGGGATTCGAACCCAGAACCTTCTTGCTGAGAGGCGAGAGTGCTATCCACTCAGCCACCTGAATCTGAAATGTTACAGACATGATTCATTCCATCTTTACTCCCGCTTGTCAATGATTTACAACACATACTGAACGCTCCACACAAACCTTGATCCAGGTGACGTAGGTGGACACTCGTAGGCGAGAGGACCACCTCAGAGTGTGGAGGATGTCGGTCTCGCTCGGGTCACTACAGCCTGCCTTCAGCTGCTCCATGTAGGCCTTGGAAGGAGGAAGAACACCCAGAATCCTCCACAGGAGCAAGAAGTAGTACTGCAGTGAACATGCCTCCTGTGAAAAGTCAGAAACCAGGTGCTCAGTAAGAAGACTATTCCAATTAAAGTTTGGGTTAAAGCTGAGGTACACTGCAGAATTTGTCAAGGAATTGGAGTTTCCATCCAACTCACTGATCCCGAGTCCAAAGGAGAATGGCCACTCTATGCCATGGCCCGGATCTTTAAGTGGGGGATTCAGGCAAAGTGGGATTAAGTGTCTTGCCCAAAGGCACAACATCAGCAGACATCAGTGGGGGCAGATGGAGCAGGTCTCCAAGGGGATCAAACTCATGACCTCCAGGTCCAAAGGCCAATGCTCTACCAACTAAGCTAAATAAGTATTTTCAAATAAGTCAAGACAGAACCTTTTGGTCTAATTTGTTTACAAAAACTAGCATTGGGATCAACAACATGTACTATATTTTAAAATATACCAGTGAGGTACCCCAGCTTTAATAATAAATAAAAAAATCTGTGTTCCCATACTATTGCCGTAATTGGCTTGTTCTCCTGTCGTCTAGCTGTGTCAAACAAGGAACCTGCCGCCAAGAGCGAGATGAGCCACGAGTACAGCTCATCATATTTTACATCTCCGTCGAAGAGTTTTGGAAAGACCTGAACACAGAGACACAAGTTAGTGCTCTCAAAACAATACAAGAACCAAGACATGGACACATATGAAGACAAATCACCTTTGAATCTAATCTAGTTTTATCATCTTCCGACGTATCCGGGGACAAGACGCAGTAGAATTTGGGTTGAACATTTGAGTCTGGGGAATAAAATATTTTAAGAAACAGAAGCAAAAACACTAGGGTTCTTGAATGTCAGGATTTCTTCAGAAGTAAGTTTTTTTCCCACCTGCTGAACAGTGCTTGGCCCAGTTTTCTTCTACCTCTTTGAAGCCGTAGTACAAGGGTAGATTACTGCGCTTGCCTCCGTCCTGAGCAGATCCAGGCCCAGAAGAGGGAGGCGTCAGGAGATTGTACTGCACCTGGAGTTTTAATTAGACAATACAGATTAGTGGGAAACGCTGAACAGAGAATAGGAACAGGGATATGCACAATAAGCAGCTTTATTTTTGCCCTCTCAAAGCCTAAGCAAGAAAAAGGTATTTATGATCTCACCAGTAGCTTCAGGTTTGGTATATTATTTTTCCCTGCAAAAATATACAGCCTTCCTGTCATTTATCCTTTAACTTTATGATGATCAGAATTCCCAAAACCATTGTCCAGATCCTGGAACATACCATTTAATTTTCATGACTTTCTCAGGCTTTCCATACCAATGTGGTAGGTTAAACTACTACAACCTTCAGGCCCAAAGACCAATGCTCTACCAACTGAGCAAATGTTGCCCAATAATATTAATTGTATTGCAGACATTACTAATCATGTTCAGCGCACAACAATGTCTTGTAAACAATGAAGAGGAAAGAAACATCAGAAGGAATCTTAATTTTTAAATGAAAAAAAAACTACTACACTCAAAATATATTCTGGAGTTCTTATACTCACAAAATAAATAAATACAATTTTAAGCTTAAACGTAGAAAAAAGAAATCAAATCCAAAGGTTAAATAAAGATAAATAGTATTGCAATGGGCTATATGCACAGGGAGGCGTGACATCATTTCCTTTATCGCTATGGCATTGTGGCGAGTTGTAGAGTTGTAGTGACGTTTTTTAGTAAATAGATTGACACATTCAGCTGTGAGACTGACCCAAAAGTGTCGTCGTGCTTTCTCTGAGAAATAGCTTTGACTGTGGCCACTCAGAGGGATTAGTTAACTTTATAAAAGTACAATGACAGCACAATCAAAAAGCACTGCTGTGTCCCAAAAATGCCCAGTATGCTCACAGTTTAGTTCCTGTTTGAGAATTATTTAGGAAACTCGTGTAAACATCTGAACTTCAGTGAAACTCAAGCCGATCCCCGCGCACCGCAAGTCAAGTGCCGTTACAACTAAAATGCGGAAGTGGTACGTGCATAGAGCCCATCGTATTTGTTAAAGCCATCTATGTTGGTTGTCTCTTTGTATTAGGATTGGGATAGGGGTTTAAATGAGACTCTTGAACCAACTCCTGTTTTTTATGTAACTGTTGATATAAAAATAACAAAAACATCAAAATTAAATGAAATTGAAGTACCAAACAATGATAAAAAATAAAATAATCTGTAATTGTATTTGTTCTTCTCAACAAGAATCATATTATCCTCTCAGATATCGATGAGAATGACCTGATTCCAGCATCACCTGTTCGAAGAGGTAGAGAGGTGCTTTTGAGTAGTTTCGGATCAGGTAGTCAAACACCAGCAGCATGCGGGCCAGGTTCAGGGGCACGGACTTCAGCTGGGACTCTACGCTCTGGGCCACTTCGACGATGGCCTGTGTGACCTGCGTGAGGACGGTCTGCCGGCCGCTCTCTGACAGGTTGTGGAAGAGCAGCAACAGCAGCTGGAGGTGCTCCACGTTCAGGTCGTCGTCGCCGTGGACTGTGCCCTGGAGAGTGTGCTGCTTCAGGGTGCTCAGGAATCTGAACACAGAGAATTAGATTACCCATAATCAGAGAAAAGGGTTAAAAGGAGAAAATACATAGAGGATGCATTTTTCTTGATGTCTCAGGTGTTTGTGTCAAAAGTACCAATTATCTCTACAAAACATGATCTCAATCTTGTTGACCCAGGGTGTGCCGGCTTGTACCATGCAGTTTTCTGTATTAAAGATTTACCTCTCCCAGACTTTCATACAGTCAGGGACGTCTGGTTCTCCCTGGACAGTGGCCTTGTGTTGCCAGATAAGCAGCAGCCTGGACAGCACGGACAGAGACTGAGGGTGAATGTACAGAGGCCATGGTCCCTCTGAGAATGGGGCCACTCCCAACTGCTGAAGGAGGGTACTCTGCCAAAGGAAAGACCAAAATTAGATTGCCGTTGACAATTTAACAGCCTCTATCAACATTGTAATGATACATAACTAGAAAATGTTGAATGTAAAATTGTATTTATGTCCAAGGAATTGACAGAAAAAATCTTTTGCTTATTACAGTGCTTTGCGAAAGTATTCGGCCCCCTTGAACCTTTCAACATTTCGCCACATTTCAGGCTTCAAAACATAAAGATATAAAATTTTAATTTTTTGTCATGAATCAACAACAAGTGGGACACAATCGTGAAGTGGAACGAAATTTATTGTATAATTTAAACTTTTTTAACAAATAAAAAACTGAAAAGTGGGGCGTGCAATATTGTTCGGCCCCTTTACTTTCAGTGCAGAAAACTCACTCCAGAAGTTCAGTGAGGATCTTTGAATGATCCAATGTTGTCCTAAATGACTGATGATTACACACAGGTGCATTCTATTTATCATCAAGTCTCCGTATAAATGCACCTGCTCTTTGATAGTCTCAGGGTTCTGTTTAAAGCGCAGAGAGAACCATGAAGACAAAGGAACACACCAGGCAGGTCCGAGATACTGTTGTTGAGAAGTTTAAAGCCGGATTTGGATACAAAAAGATTTCCCAAGCTTTAAACATCTCAAGGAGCACTGCAAGCAATTATATATTATTTTTCCATTTTTCCACTGATACTCCTTCCATTTCAATATTATATTGAAATGGAAGGAGTATCAGACCACTGCAAATCTACCAAGACCCGGCCGTCCCTCCAAACTTTCATCTCAAACAAGGAGAAGACTGATCAGAGATGCAGCCAAGAGGCCCATGATCACTCTGGATGAACTGCAGATAACTACAGCTGAGGTGGGAGAATCTGTCCATAGGACAACAATCAGTCGTGCAATCTGGCCTTTATGAAAGGAGTGGCAAGAAGAAAGCCATTTCTCAAAGATATCCATAAAAAGTCTCGTTTAAAGTTTGCCACAAGCCACCTGGGAGACACACCAAACATGTGCTCTGGTCAGATGAGAACAAAATCGAACTTTTTGGCCACAATGCAAAACGATATGTTTGGCGTAAAAGCAACAGCTCATCACCCTGAACACACCATCCCCACTGTCAAACATGGTGGTGGTGGCAGCATCATGGTTTGGGCCTGCTTTTCTTCAGCAGGGACACGGAAGATGGCTAAAATTGATGGGAAGATGGATGGAGCCAAATACAGGACCATTCTGGAAGAAAACCTGTTGGAGTCTGCAAAAGACCTGAGACTGGGACGGAGATTTATCTTCCAACAGGACAATGATCCAAAACATAAAGCCAAATCTACAAATGAATGGTTCACAAATAGACGTATCCAAGTGTTAGAAGGGCCAAGTCAAAGTCCAGACCTGAATCCAATCGAGAATCTGTGGAAAGAGCTGAAGACTGCTGTTCACAAACGCTCTCCATCCAACCTCACTGAGCTCAAGCTGTTTTGCAAGGAAGAATGGGCAAGAATTCCAGTCTCTCGATGTGCAAAACTGATAGAGACATACCCCAAGCGACTTGCAGCTGTAATTGCAGCAAAAGGTGGCGCTACAAAGTATTAGCGCAAGGGGGCCGAAGAATATTGCACGCCCCAATTTTCAGTTTTTTATTTGTTAAAATTTTTTAAATTATCCAATAAATTTCGTTCCACTTCACGATTGTGTCCCACTTGTTGATTCTTGACAAAAAAAAAATTTTTTATATCTTTATGTTTGAAGCCTGAAATGTGGCGAAACATTGAAAGGTTCAAGGGTGCCGAATACTTTCGCAAGGCAATGTAGGTTCTATAGAATCAGTTATTTATATACAATACATATAGTCTATTTTAATGTGTTTGAAGCAACAAGATAAACATGCATTATTATTGCATTATTTATCACCATCCATCTAGATACAAGTCCGTCCATGGCCTCACATCAAAGTACAGCTGTGACATGTTAGTGCCTTATGAACCAACTGGGACAGAGGAGCACAGGGACTGGCCTCCTGCTAGTGCCCAGAGTCAGGACTAAACATGGGGAGGCGGTGTTTCAGATCTTCCTGAAAATATGAGACCGGCTTCTTCACAAATTCAAATCCTGGTAAAGAACAGTTACGGAAGGATTGTATCTTTACTCTTTTTAATGTATATTTATTCCTGTTTTAAAGATTGTTTTGTCTTGTTAGCACTTTGTGTTGCCTTGAGTATGAACTGAGTGCCTTGAATGTGACCCGTTGGTGAGAAATGTGTGGGAAACCATTTTTGTACCTGTAGAGCTGGAGATGGAAGATCAGATGTGACCAAAGTGTGGTTGAAGTGATACAGAGCTAAAGAAAACACTTCATCTGACGATCCTTTGGGAAAAGCATAGTACATGTGTCAGAACTAACATGTATTAAACTCTCGCTTGATTGGTTGGTTTGAGTTACCCTTCACGTCCTTGTCCACGTCTTTAATGATACTGGCCAGGGTCGCCATGTGCTGCTCCGTCAGGGACACACTCAGATAGTTACGGATGAAGTTATTCCTGGACTTGAGCATTGAGGTGGTGATGAAGTTTAAAATACTGGAGGCCAAACTTAGAAACTGGAAAAAGAAAGTGTAAAAGTCAACCCACTGTCAAATGGGTGATAAGTATCTATCTATAGTGTTTCCTAACACTTTAAAAAATAGTATTTGAATGCATTTTCACACTACAATTTAACAATAACCTGCATAAATGACCATTGGACCAACCTTAGAGGGATGGCTAACCAGTTCAAACATGTACAGTACAATTGTTTGTTGGTGTGCTCCTCACCAGTTCCGGGTCTTTACGTCCAGCTAAAATATTTCCGTTCTCACTTGGGTTTTGCTTGTTGGGGCTCTTTAGTCTTGGAGAAGTTTCTAAGGGCGGGGGTGGTGGAGGAGGAGGGGGTGCCACTTTATCCTTGGATGGAGATATGGTCTCTTCAAACCACAGCCCCAGAATCGGTTCACTGTCATCATCTGCAGATATTAAAACACATTACGGAAACAATCTATGACAGGATTTACAAAGAGTGAAGTTTGGGGTACTTAAAGAACACATAATATGCAGAAGTTAAAGTTAATATAGGCCTTTTCCCTTTTGGCATTTAAAGTTTAAGAAAGGGAAATATTTTTTTTAGTAGGACTTATATGGACAAACATGAAAAGTGAGCACTTTCCCATCTACTGGTAGAAGTTTCATCCAAATCCAATATGATTCGGTCTATTTGAAGGATTTGACGGATTTCAGCACTTTGGTAAGCCTAGGCTAATTTAAAAGTGCTTTACAAATAATGAATAAAGATTGATTAAAAAAAATAGTGCCCGTTTAAATTATTTGCAATGTTAATGACGTCATAGAATAAGACTTAAAGGGCCAGTGTGGCTGCAGATTATCAGTTCAACTAAGCAGGAGCACACCAGGCTCAGCTTTTACCTGATGCTCAGACAGACTGCATTTGAGAACGAAAGCTGATAAGACATCAAATTAATCAATCACCTGTCTCCCCTGACAAAGCATTACTCACTTCCTTATACCTTTGTCTTACTAGAAGAACCTTCAAAACTAAAAGGGGCGAACCAGCCCCCCCACCCCCTATTTCCTCAAGTCTTCAGGTTCAGGCTGGACTAACTTGAGGTAATGGGTGTGGAGTCTGGTGTGCTCCTGCTTGGTTGGATCAACAAGCCCTTTGAAGACTGGGAAGACTAGAGTAGAGAGATTTTAAAAAGGGTTGAAGAGAGGTGTTGGTACCAATTCAAGCAATAAGTTCCTCATAACTGTGTGGATGCTGCTTGACACAACTGGTCTGTTTTGGATGAGGGAACAATGTTAAAGCTCAAAACATTTGCATAATATGTGTCTTTATAATGTAAGCATCAAAAAAATGGCCATTACAACAGTTAGAAAGGTGAACGAAAGCCAAAAACTGTATAGTGTTGGTGGATGACAACAACAATTAATTTTGTGTACAGTGAAAGCCCCAACATTGCAATCTACATGCATACAATCTTATTTTATTACATAATATAGTAGACATACAGCTTTGCAGAGTGTTGGATTTTTAAGTCAGGAGTGTCCAAACTTTTAACAAAGAGGGCCACTTTAGTTTGCCAGACTTGCCAAGGGGTTGACAAAAAGAAATGTAAAACAAAAATTACTTATGTAACCACGGTTCTAGGAATCCCAGACAACCGCAAGAGGGCCGCGCATAGCACTGAATGTTCCCTGCACATGCGCTTAGGGAACATTCAGTGCTCTGCACCGCCTTCTGGTGGTCAGGAGGGATGAAATAGAACTATTTAGACAAGAACTGGTTAATTTTGAGACAAAAAAATGAGGCATTACATGACCATTGATAAATATTTATTAGGGCTGTCAAACGATTAAAATTTTTTAATCGAGTTAATTACAGCTTAAAAATTAATTAATCGTAATTAATCACATTTCAAACTATCGGCAAAATTATGCCATATTTTTCTGTTGTTTGAATGGAAAGATAAATGACATAGTGTACATATGTACTGTATTTGGTTATTATAACAATAAATCCATATAAAATAGCATTAACAATATTAACATTCTGTCTTTCTGTTTAGACTCAGACCAAAACTATTGTTTGTTACGGATGAGGGACATTTCAAAACAGTCTGAAATGCAGAATGTCATTAAATCGTCATGAACTGGTAGTGGAAGGGAAAATTAGGTACCCCAGCTTTAATTTAGTGAGTGGATTTTGGGAGAAGACACGGAGGAGACTGAGGCTCTGTAGTCCAGCTTCTGCGCTGTATTTTTTGTGTGCACCAGTTACGCAAAGACACACACATTACAATCAAAGAAGAGTTCTGAGTATGGTCTTAGATATGATCGCGTTACGCTGCGCCGTTTGCTGTGATCAGAGCCGCTGGAGGTGGGAACTTCTGTCCAGAGCGCCCTCAGCTCAGCTCGCCGAGTTCATACAGGAAACGGGTGTATTCTTTTAAAACTTGAATTCCCAGAGACCGGCTCTGTTGCCATCTCACACACACACGTGTCCACGGCATTCTGAGTTATTATGGGATCCTTGGGCATGCGTTAATTGCGTTACTTTTCTTAACACAATTAATTTTTTATTTTTATTTTGACAGCCCATATTTATTTATTTTTATAATATATATATATATATATATACACATATATACACACACATCTGTGAGAGCTAAGGTCAGTTGACTAGCTTTCTTAATAGCTACATCAGTGCTAGAGACATTTTCATTCTATAATGAAAAACAGATGTCAGTGCATACAAATAAATGGATTCAAAAGGTTTTGAGCTTTACAATGAGGTATAATATGCCTTAACTGGAGAAGTGGAAGTTGGTTGGATAAAACTATGAAAATAATATCATTAGTATTGTGGGTTAGCAAGGCATATGGCAACATAATTGGCCCTCGGGCCTTAGTTTGGACATGCCTGGTATAAGTGGTTAACATTATAGCAGCAATAAGCATCATTAAACATTTATGGGAGGGCGAAAAAAAGTTGACAAGTGCAAAAACAGCTTAACTTTATCGTGACACAGAACACATAATTTGCAGTCCATCACACCAAAAGCCAGATAAAGCCATAGACAGATCTGAAACCTTCTGATTTGTACATGTCCATTCATTAGTTATGCCATCTCTTCTTCAGTGTGGGGAATATCAACTCACAGTTGATATTCATGTGTACATGCGACATATACAATCATCAGGTGATCGCAGGGCACGGTGTGATTGAGCCCAAATAGCACAACGTCGACAAGAACAATACCACTGTTTGACATGGGATTCTTCTACACACTATAAATATGCATATTTGGCAACATTGGAAGACTTGAGCCATAACAAAGAAAGTAAAATATACATTCATTTAAATCAATGAAGACATATGGCAGATTGTTGGTCGTATTTCGCTGGGTTATTGGAGTATAAACACAAGATATGACTAGATCTATCAGTCGACATGTAAATTTGATGAGTCAGTAATGAGCAGAGGAGGATATGTTGAATGGCTATTGTAGCATGGAGCTGAAATGCCTTAGGGAGGATATCTACTACATGTCAACACCATTGGTATTATCCTTACATCTACACTGAGCCATAGGGAAATACTCAGCCAAAACAGAATTTAGTGTGTGGCAAATGAAAGGTGTTTTTGGCCAGAGCGGTTCCACCAGTGGCTCAGTCCATCCTAAACTACAGCTCAGTCTACTGTGAGACAAACAGGGACAGAATGATTAGGGGACAGTGAAGTGGACACTGAGTCTGGTCTGACCTGAGACACAAGCTGCACTTGTCTTCTCCTGTCTTCTCTCTGCTGAGATAGAAACTGTCACTACACTGACAGCAGTAGTGGAGAGACAGTGCATAGTCACAGTGCTGGGTTCATATCATAAACTGTATATAGAGGGACAATGCTAACGCTAGCTTGATGAAGCCCAATAGAGAAGTGCCTACAAAGTTTTGCTCCAACTTGCTGTGGCTCCTATGGACTTACATTGAAAAGTAATCTTCTAGCTTAGCAACAGTTGGTGTTACATTCCCCATTAGGAGTGTAGGAAATCTGGCTTTTAGCGCCCTGTGTGATTCAGATTTTTTTTACTTTGATAATGTCTTTGTTAATTCAGATATGAGCCATACGGCCAATCATATGCCTTCATTCTTGGGAAAACTTCAGCTTGCCTTAGCAACCATCTTTGCAACACATAAGTTTGTATCTGCCCCAGTAACAGCGCAAAGCTAACCATGCTGTAACAATTGCTAATATAAGGATATTAGCTCCAGCTTATGTTCAAATATGCTTCTCCTGCATTTGGCAAACACTATGGAGACATCAGGACTCAGTCAGTCCACTCCTAATATACAGTCTCGGGTTTTTAGGCTCCTGACTGCAGCCTGCATGAGGCCTGAGGCAAAGCACCTGTCCCATGGCCTTTCTCACGCTGCTCCGTGCTAACAGAAGACATCAACCAGAACATCCCTCATGCATATTTACAAGGATAGCTACTTATTGTGAAGCCTGTTCTAGTCCGCTGCAAATTTGACATAATCAAAATCTTTTTGATCAATCATTTTGAAATTTATTATGACTCTTTGAAGTTTAAATAAGTCAGGACTAAAGCTATAGAAGGTTGAAGTAGGAAGTTCCCCTAGCCCAACGATGTCATGTACTAGTGTTTGGCTTGGCTACCTTGGCTGCTATCCTCCTCCGTGCTGCTAAAATCGTCCTCGTAGTACGTGTTTGAGTCTGTGGAGGCACTGGCGTCGCTGCTGACTGAACCTTTTCTTTGTCGCTGCAGGACACAAGCCTAAAAAACACATGATTGTAATATGTGCAATAAGTTAAAAGGACATCTTGGGAGGACACATGTGAATGAATGGAACACATGTACCTTTTTATAAGCCGTGGAGAGAAGCGTGAACAGGAGATTTGTGAGAGGAACCGAGTCGATGAGTCGCTGAACTCTCTGGATGGATGTGCTCTGTGCCATGATGTTGAGCTCGGCAGGAGGACCGTCACTCGCCCATCCCTTCACAGGAACACGGCCCAATGTTAGAAATACAAACAGTATTTATTTTTAAAACATGAATTTTTGTGATTGAGAGCAATTCTTTAAGCCTGAGGCCAATGGATTGCGTTAGTCAGGCCTCGACATTAAGCTTCGTCAGCCACTTACCCTTCAGGCAAGTACAATTTATATTTTATTTGCCCAAATATTTAATATTTAACAAGAGTTTGGCAATAAAGTGGCACTACCTGTGTGGAGAGAAACCCACTCTCAGCGCCAAAATGCATTGTTAAAGAAAGGGAAAACTTAAGTACCCGAGTTTTAATTTCAGGAGTTTTGGTTACGAGACAAAGGGGGAAACCCGCACTTGCAACAAGTTGAGGATGGTCCTGAACGTGCGTCTATGGTCGGTAACTCTGTAACACGTTACGCAGTGAGTTTGCTGAGCTGTTGTCAATGCGGCTTTCATTACAAAGCGGCCGCAGCTGCCCCGGGTCAGACCGGCGAGTGGAGGATCCCGTTCAAGTGCGTACAGCAAACAACAGAAAGTGCCTGTGGTCACACCTTTCACAGAAATTTAATTTTCAGTGGGCACAAGTCGAAAATTGAATATCGTAAATGTTCATCCCTGGTATATCCTGGAGGATTCCTTTGTCCAGAGAAATGACAAATTTCTGACAAGAGAATAAAAACCAATCTAGAGGTAGAAAGGCGGGAATGCATTCCCGGCCTAATAAGCAATACATCCCGTGCCAGATCGGGACACTTGCACAGCGCACTTGTCTGTCCCAAATCTTTAGTTAACCCGGGCAAGCGGACCCTCTTGCTAATAAATTAGGGCTAACCACTCTGACACCACCATTTGATGCTTTGGGCTGAGAGCTGTACAGGCAGTTTTTAATTTTCTGTCTGAAACAGCTGATGAAAATGTCCAAAAATGTGAAAACTAGTGAAGGATCTGAACTGTTTTGAAAGCGAGGAACAAGCTTCAAGGATTTTCAATGTTTGAATTCATAATAAAAGGAACTAGTTGACTGAATTACCCGATGCAGAGCTTCAACTTGCAGATCCTGGAAAAGTGAGGTGAGGAGTTTTATGGCATGGTTCGCCAGGATGACGGACAAAACTCCAAACCCTTGATGCCTTTAAAAACAACAAGATAAGAAACATAGCAAAAAAAGCACAGCAAGGAAAAAGCTAGCGTAAACTCCAGACTATAAGCCGCACCCTGCGGCCTATACAAAGGAGCAGCTTAAACTTTTTTTCTTCTGTGGTGCAAAACACATTTTGCCAAGTAACAGTCGATCTACAGAATTGGTAAGTAGTGCACAGAGTTCCAATTAAATTTTATGATGATTGTCAGTCATTTTCAGTCCTCCCTCATCAACATAGAAAATACGAGAAGAAAAGTAAGGCAATGATCATACTTCGATAATTTGTGCATTACCACTACAAATTTAAGGTATATTTAACTATTACAGGCACCGTAAGAGGCATTAATAACTACTTAAATAAAAATAAAATAAGGTTTACTCATTCATTCCTCACTCATCTATCCATACATCTGTAAATCTACCGAGTGTGATGGTTGCGGCTTATTATCAGGTGCGGCTTACAGTCTGGAAAATATTATAAATGATCTATTTTACCCTTTTCCAGGACCGAGTTTGGGTGAACCACCTCCGTCTTTCGTGCGAGCAGCAATGTCCCTCACTCTGAGAGCAGCTAGAGGGTCTTTCTCTTTCCCCTTATCAGCCAGAGCAGTGGGGCTGAGGTTGAGGATTAAATACAGGCTATTCAAGAGGCACCAGGCTCCTAGTAGCTGGAAGTTCTGGTAATGCTGCAAAAAAGGGAAAATGAGATTACAAATAAATACTCTATTGATAGATATTGGCAACTCAAAAGTATATACCTCTCCGCCAGCTCTGCGAGAGTTGCTGATGGCTTGCCCAATCATTTCATAGATTTCAAGCTAGAATAAAAACACATAAAAGAATAAATATTATACATTGTTTTTAGCAATTAAAACAATAGTACTATTTCTTTGTCATTTCCCATTTTAGAATGTGAAATAAGACTGTAAGTAGAAAATATATGGTGAAACAAGTAACAACGTTAATAAACAAAGCTATCAACTTGAACTCCAAATGCTACCATCAGAGGGAGGAAACGAATCGCTTGGTTTTTTTCCCCATTTTATAGTGCAAGGAAAAGGACATTTTAATTGTAGCAAAAACAAATTAATGGGAAAAACGCAGTGGCAGAAAACCACTGAGTGTAATGTCACATCACAATGACTCAATGACATCAAACAGGACTGAGACAGAAGCTTAAAGACAGAAGGGACGGAGCTACATATTCGTCTCAGAAGTTAGTGGATGGGTCTAAAAACAACTACAGGTCAAAAACTCCCAAAGTTGACTTTATGTACATGTATTGTATGTGTAAGTAGAGAAAATGTAGAGAATGAATGCTGAGGATGCAAACTTAGCCCTCTTTTTGTGATGAATCTTAGCTTTTTGTTAATAATGGATCTTCGCTTTTTGTATGTAATGAAACTTAGCTTCATGTTTTAACTTGTATAGCAGTATATTGGAAGCTTTTATGTTTTGAAAATGGGGATTTAGACATTATGTGTATGAATTAACTATATGTAAAGAATGATAAAATGTCTGAATCAATCGAATCTCAAATTTATTTTTGACCTACACATTTTTGAACTATCGTGGCCGCGTCATTCTCATAGTCTTCTTCTTTAGTCCCAGTGGTGGCCGAGCGGAGCTGTAGGCCGCTCCCAACCTGCAGAATAGCCATGCAGGTAGCCACACTCACACCTAAAAACAAAAATGTAATTAGGAAAATAATCAAGAAATAATGTAGTAAGTAATCTTTATTCATATACCGCCTTTCACAGATGGTAATGTATCTTCCATAATACATAATAAAGGAATTTAGTTAGGTAGGCAGAGTTTCAGGAAAGGTTTTGGCGCCTTACATTTTTAGAATTTTTCTTTATAAATCATTAATTGTTTGGATAAGAAATGTCGGTTAAATATATCATGTAGGAAACAAACACAGTGGTATTTGAGAGGTGAATTTGTATAATTCAGAATTTCAATAATTAAAACGCAAACGTTTTCATACCAGTTTGAAGCTATAATGTAGAACAGTCTCTCTGGAAATGTGAGACAGGCTTCCTCTCTGATAATGTTCAAATCCAGGTTAAAAACAGTTCTGTTTAGCTGTGAATACAACTGAAGGACTGTATCTTCACTTGTTTCACTGTACTGTGATTATTATTCGTATATAATCACAGTATATATATGATCGTTTTGTTCAGCACTTCGAGTTGCTTTGTGTATGAACTGTGCTATACAAATAATCTTGCCTTTCCTTGTCGAGGTAAAGTGTGTCTGTACATGTAGTTATTCAGCGATACAAACCGGCATAGAGGCAGCTCAGTGCGAGCACAGTCATGTCCAGGAGTCTCCCTGGAGTCAAAGGCTCCAGAACAGGGAGAGAGAGAGTGTCCAGCGCCATCGTCACATCGATGACTAAGGAATGAAATCTAGGAAAGGCGAGAAAATGAGATACGAGTCCTAATTATACATCGAGTAGGAGGTAGTTTAAAGAACAAGTATTATGCTTTATTGTTTATTGTGTCCCTTAAACCTTGTCTTGACAATAGTTACTTTGGCATTTCATGGTGTATAGTTAAAACAATTATAATCTGGAAACATATGAAGAAACCTGAGTAATATATGAAGAGGATATGGACGAGAGAAACACCTCCTATCTCAAAGTTAGTGGTCAAACATGACTACTATTTATACAACTAACAATGTGTAGTGTAATTGAAGGCATGCCGTTGTGAGAAAACAATTTGTCAGAAGAAATGTACCTACTACTTTGTAATAAAAGGGGCTATGTGTGTTGATGGTGGTCGAGAGGCCGATGGCACATACTGGTTGCCTCGCTTCTATCAGTGTGCCTCAGGGGCAGCTGTGGCTACAGTAGTAGTTTATAACAAATGTATAAATAATGATACATGTATGTGAAGCATCTTTTTATGTTTAAGGTCCCAGCTTTATTTCAGGACTTTTAGTGTGGATGGAGTCAAACACAATACCTAAAAATAATAATACACAAACATAATTTTGAAAATGGAGCAATGTTTTGACATTGTTAAATATCTCAGAAGATGAAGACATTTGTGCTCGTTATGTGTCCTTATAGCTGTCCTTATCGTAACAATAAGGAAAGTCGATAGTATGGGAAAGAAACTGTTATTCGACTTTGAGGTGAGGTTTGAGTTCATTTCACTTTGTTTCAAAGATTTTTGTGTTTTCATATTCCAAACATACCCATTGCGGACAGCAGTAGCATCTGCCACAGTGGCAGGCATGATGAAGAAGGAGTTGGCGGACACAGCATCCTGGAATCGATTGATGTAGCGTAGGAAGTATGGCAGGTTGAGGCACACTCGAAGCAGTTTCTCAGACCCACCTAAAACAAACCACAGAGAGTTAAAGGTGCACCACACTTTTTTGCTATTCCCCTGATGCAGGTGAATAGCAATGCAGGAAGGTCTAAGGAGATTACATTTATTTATTAACATTTATGGGCATTGGTTATCCTGCTCCTTATGGACCGATGGCTGCTATGTGCTTGTTGTTATTGTATTTCCAGTGGTGGGCAATTGAATTAAATATAGATTTACAATTTAGAATTTGTGATTTTGAGCAGTGAAAAAATCTGTAGAAGCAAAGTAATAACAAGTATATCAGCACTCACCAAGTTCCTGTAAGCTCGACACGTTCTGAGATACAAAGGCATTTTTCATTTTGGCTTGAAGTGACTGGTCTGAAGTTTGATCCTCACAGTCGCTCTCAGTCTGTGAAAAGTAAAAATGTTTTTATTTCTCCTAAAATGTGAGGCCCTACCGTGCTCAGTTTACTGTTGCATGAAGTATAGTGTGATGTATGCATTACTTATATATACAGGAGTATACAAGTTAAAAATTTAGTTTTAGTTTAGTCTTTATTTGAAGGGACAATGTACAGACTAGTGCTGTCCAACGATTAAAATATTTAATCGCGATTAATCGCATGAATTTCATAGTTAACTCGCGATTAATCGCAAATTAGTCACACATTTGTATCTATTATTTATGTCCCTTGAATTATCATTTTAATACTACTAAAAAGTGAATGTGCAATTGCTTTTTTAAATATTTTGTAAATTTGTTCATGTAAATACTCTATGCCAGCCATTCCCAAACTCAGTAACACCGAGGCCCCCTTAAAAATCTGACGGGTCTGCGTGGCCCCCCAAAATAATAACCAAGAAGACAACATTAAGAATAGGCTCTTCTGGTTATTTTATTTTGGGGAAATAGCCTCTGCTACAAACATTGTAATACAAAAATGATTACAGTGGATTATTCAAGTCAAATAATGAACACAAATATTTTAATATTACAAACAAAACATTATAAATTTAACATTAAATAATTCTTTTTTTTTTTTTTTTTTTATGACCTCCCGCGGACCCCCTGCAGTTTGGGAGACACTGCTCTATGCTGTTTCTCTGTTTACTTTCGGTATATCTATGACTGTATACTGTTTGCTTGTATTGCCTTTTTTATTAACCCCTCCCCCCCATCTATGTGCCCTTCTGGGTTTCTTCTTTGGCCCCCTGTATCTCCAACTACATATTGTTTGTAATCTCTGTCTACAATGTATCTGAACTAGTCCTTTTCTTTGTTTCTATTTTTTTTTCTGTATATGGGTTTGTCTGCAATAAAAAGTAAAAAAAAAAAAAATGACGCCGTTAATATTGATTTGCGTTAACGCGTTAATAACGCGATATTTTGGACAGCACTAACAGAGACATTAAGCTCAAAGACATGTTCTGCTCCAGATTATAGCTACAGCTAGTTTCCATCTGCAGTCCCTGGTTACATCATATTTAAAGAGTTAGACTTTATAGTTTGTCCAAGCAGTTGCTTGGAGTGGTGGTTCATCATTTGAAAAAAGTTTCACTATTTTCCTCTCCGTCCCTGTCGCCTGTATCATATATGTCTGGGGTTTGGCTGTAGACGGTGTTAATGAGCCACAAGGTGCCAAGGTGGCAGCAGCGCTCTATTGGTGTCTTGGTCAAAGGGACTGTCTGAGCACTGTGTGCAGAAGAGACAAAGGCGATGGGGGTAAGAGGAATACAGCCAGGGACAGACTTCATATGAAGGCAGTTTGAGCAGTAAATGTGTCTCTAGAGCTGATAGGGACCATGTGGAGGCACAGGGCAGCAGACCAGCGCTGCAACCCAAAAAATGCCACAACAGTATTCTACTGCACTTATACAATAGGTCTATTGTCCGCTCACTTATTTATTGTTCTATAGTGTTTATCCTTGTCATTTTCTTATTTTGTGACTGGCTATTTATTGACATAAATATAGCACCATCTAATGGATGAATATTGGCCATTCTTTCTGGCATAGTTTGTCATGGGCTCTACTTTCAATTTGTAAATGTTGACGTTTTTTGTCTTGAAAATCAATGAAATCATCCAAAACGCCCAGCAGTCAATGAGTTAATAGACTTGTACCCATACCTGCATGTGCGATGCTGATGGGGAGGCTAAGATGGTGGTAAGGTCCGGGTTAAAAACTGAAGTCAGCTGATTGAAGAAGTTCATCTGTACTTCTTTTTGTCGGAGCTCAGGGTTCACAGTAGAAGTGGGCTGTTCCTTCTGATCCTCCACTGATGGACAGAAAAGAATCAAATATAAATGAAATGTAGACTTTGTACTCCTAATCCTATTAATTTGCCTTTTTACATTTACGGACATTGTGCACAAGTATGTCGCTTAATGACATGTTTTAGCTGCATTGAGCTATTTTTAGTGTCTGTCCCACTGCATATTAAAGAACCAAATACTGGATTTGTTTATTTTGTCACAAAGAGAGGCTAAACTGGATTTGTTAATTTTGTCACAAAGAGAGGCTAAGGGTTCTATGTCTACAACATAGAATCTATATAGAAGAACAATGCTAACCTGCTAGCTCAGTGAAGCCCAATAATGAAGTGCTACTGGACGATGTTTTGCTACAACTTGTTCTGGCTCCCTTTTGACTTGCATTGAAAAGTCAACTCTATAGTTTAGAACTCTATGATCCTGGTGTTTATATTATTATTATTATTATTATTAACGGCACAAAGCAAACAGAATCCTCTTGCATTAACCCGTCTGATAGGTAAAGACTAAAAATCAAAATAATATTATAATTTAAAAAGTCTACAACATTCATTAAATCATCTTTGCAATTTCTAGAAGCTAGCAGTTGTGTCGCATAGTGACGACTCACCATCTGAAAGGGTTTTGATGGTTTGAGGCAACTTGGCAGACTTCATCATAGCAGTGAAAGTAATGATTTCTGTGCGGTCCAGTCTGCTGCAACCAGTGCAAAGTCCTTTTATGAGAAGAATCAGGTGTTTCTGAAGATGAGTAAACATAAAAAATGCATATGGCATTAGAATTGGATTCAAAACAAAAGTGGCATTCAATATGGCATAAACAGGCTTTTATAGTACTACTACACTATTAAAATGCAATCAAAACGCTGCTTTTGTCAGCGACTAAAAGGTGTAGGATCATATCAACTTTGAGAAAATGTGTTGTTAGGTGTAAATATGTGACATAGTATTTGGTCCAAAGAGGAAGAATGCAGCTCGACTTTTTTCACAGGTATCTTCCTCTGAAATCTGCAGCGAATCTGTTAATCTGCGACACTTCACTAAGACCTTTCCAGAACTACGGTTACCATGAAACTGGACATACTCAAAATCTGGAAATCTGTAAACCAGTGTGATTCCCATGTTAAAAGACGCCAACGCGAGGCTCCGATCTGCAAGTACAGGGTTACTAACTCGCCGTATACTTCTGTAAACTAAATCAGGCCTTGACATTAAGCTTTTGGGCTTATTAAAAAATTCATGAAAAGAACTGAGGACTCTTTAAATGAGATAATGAATGTTTTTACTTCTCATGTGCATAGCAGTGTTAGACACACTTCTGAAATCTAGAGGCATTGGAGAAACTGTCTTTAGAGAATTTGGTACATAAGATAAGATAAACCTTTATTAGTCTCACAGTGGAGAAATTTCAGTGTCATCATTGCGCACATTACAGCAGAGAAAGGAAATAAGAGCACTCAGACTGCACACATCAAATATTGCATGTTAGTGCGTTTTTATTTTTATTATTGTTGTCTGTGTGTCTGAATTGAAGATAATATAATAATAATTAAACTACATTGAAAGTGTATTTAAAATCAAGCAAAGCATACAAATGTGAACCAACTTATACGATGCCATTTGTAGGTTTTGTACCTGTGAGACTGCGCATGCTTCATCTGGGTTCTCCAGCCGCAGAAGTGAAAACTCAATTAAGACTTTGCAGGCAGCAGCCACAGACAGCAACTGATTTCTGGGTACTGCAGAAACAATGGAGGTTATTTAGCGCAGAGTAACATTGTGGTGTTTGAGAAAGACATGTTTGATACTTACTTTGTCCACAGACTGTGGTAATGTAATGAGCGGAGAGCGCCACAAACGACGAGTAGAAAGGCTCATACTGCTTGTCATGGTGCAGAATATCTGTTTCACTGGACAGAATCAAAAGGAAGTGGACAATCAACATTTGTTTTATCTTAAAAGACGCTCTCCCCGATTTTTTTCTAATGAGTTCATAAAAATGCTTCTCACTACATACAGTAATCCGTAATTTTTATTGAAAACTTGAGCTCATTGATTCAGCTTGTGTTTGAATTCAGGCCGTAAAAAGTGCCTGAATCTCCTCCAATCACAGAACGAGGCTGCGTCCTCTAACTTTTACAGCGTTGCTAAACACAGTCGCTTGTTAGCAGAATTGGCCATAACTCCTCTTGCTGTAACTGCATACACAGCAAAACAGCCCAAACGACGCTACAGTGAGAAAGAGAAGAGGGAACTAAAGCGAAAAAATGATCAAATAAGAAATCAAGCCCGGGTGAACATAGCTAGCTTACATCGTATCCTCTGGAGAGACTGACAGTCTATGGGAGAGACCTGCAGGACTGCCTCGTACTATCTATGCTTTGGACTACATTCGGAGACGGAACTAGCGGTAATCTTTCAGTTACATATTTTGTTAGCAGTGCGTTGCTTTTGTACCATTTCATCAGTGATTGTCGTACAGCTTACAAGAAGTTGCGCTCATGCTAATGTTTGCATAGATCACAAATAAAACTAGATGGCTCCGTGGAATGAGAAGCCTGTGAGCGAGTTGAACATTCAAACCTTGCAGAAACGGGTATAGCTCCTTTAAGAAAAAATGTAATTAGAACAAGAATGTGATCAACACTCTTCTTTCACCTTTTTCCCCGGCTTTTACGGACAATTATTAACAATTATGCACACTAGGTCATTCGCTCCGGATGAATCAATGATTCCTCTGTGTTGATATTGCAGTTCCTGTGTTCAAACCGTTTGATTCTCTGATCTGTTGTTGGTGAATAATCATTGTTGTGAATTCCCTCCTGCTGTGGTGATTTACAAAAATATATTGAATTGAAATTCTCTTCACAAAAACTGTTGCTTTTAAAAAAGTTTTACAGTAATTTGACTGAAGACTCCCGTTAAGAAACATAGCTACAACTTATTTTGTATATTTTGTGTGCTCCTTCTGTGCTCTTCCTCTTCCTATGTGCGATATTGAAAATTCCCCACTGTGGGACGAATAAAGGATCTCTTATCTACTTGTTTCAAGCTCTTTTAACCCTGCGGCCTATAAAGCGAAGCAGCAATATACGTTTTTTAAATTCGGTTTAGTGCCACTGGGACACAGGAAGGCTATGAACACTGCGTAGCAGTCCAGAAGTCTAGTTGTATATGCTCTGGAACATAATTATTCTCTGGAACAATCAAGTATGGGGTTTAGGACCAAATGTAACCCCAATTAGATCCCATAAATTCGACCAAAGTGATGCACCTCCAAACTGAATTGGTTTTGTTAGTTTTTGAACACATTTCATTTTTGTTATGCCTTGATTGCAGCTCCAAGAGTCATAAAACTCAGAAGGTTTAAGATAAGAGATTCTTTATTCGTCCCACAGTGGGGAAATTTTGTATGTTGCAGCGCACATACAGGACAGTAGTATGAGCACACAGGGAGCACACAATATACAAAATACGAAGTAGCTAGGTTTCTTAACTAGCATAACTGGCTGTAGATGCTGGAAATGCTTCAATCAATACCAGTCAAAAAATATATACATTAGAGGTGCAACGGTTCATCACTGATCCATGATCCGTTCGGTTCAACGTCTTCGGTTTGGTACAGACGTGATCCGCGGTTTGATTTATGAAAAACAAAGCTGTGCTCACGTTGTTCTGTCCACACACAGCGCGGTCATTGCGCGCGGAGGAACGGAGATGCTTGAAAGCCCAGTGTCATTTAAATCCCTAGTATGAGAGCCTTTTGGCTTCACTGTAAGTACACTGATAATTAATATTCGACAAAACTGTCACAATGTGTAAGCACTGTGACACAAGAAAGACATGAGTGAAAAAAAGCGTCTCAACGACCGCTTATTGTCGCGGCATTTAAGCAGCCCCTTTACGCACAGTCAGACCGGGCTAAAGTCAACTCTTCCGCGCATCCTCAGCTGCACTCACGGCTGACTCTTGGATGTCTCGCGGAACCTATAATAGATCCATGAGCGGAACCGCAGACTGGGAGATGAAGAGTCCGGCGCTGCAGACACGCCCCCTCTACGACAGTCACACAGCGCAGGTACTGACACAAGCAGCGGAGGAATGGAAGACAAATGTCCAGCACTAATATCCCAGTCACAATGGATAATGCCAAAAATTAAATAAATGCAGTGAATGAGGCTGGACTGGGCCCAGAATGGACCGGCTCCTTGGAAGAATCAGGAAGGTGGTTTTGATATATGAGGGTAAATATCCTCATAAGTTATGTACTGTCGTATAGTGCAGAATAATAAGTAGATAAAGTAAAGTGACATTGTTCAGTGATATTCTGAAGTTGCAGTATTGCACATGATTTAAGAATGTACTTATTTACAGATGAATGAAATTTACAGGCTCAGCAGTTCTTATTGTACAGTCTGACAGCAGCAGGAAGGAAAGACCTACCTTCACACAGCGAGGGTGAATTAGTCTGTTCACCCAGGTTTAAACCTGTGTGTGGTTTAAAAAGTATTTCAACAATTGATTTGTTGAGAATAGCCAATTAACTTGATCAGAAAATACAAGTTGTTTGGTGGCATCCTGCCCTTGTCTGGGCAATCTGGGAGGATAAATAATCAACATTTTTATTCTCATATTGAATGACCACTTTTTTTTTCTTATTTAAATGATTTACAACATGAGAGTCGAGAGACAACATGAACTGTAGAGCTTGTCAATATCATTTTGATTTATCTTATCTTAAATCGATCGCATGTTAGTTTTCAAAAGCCAGTGAAAAGGCAAGTACGTGATTCTACTCTGAGAAAACAACATTTATCAATTTATTTATGGATGCTGTCAATGATCCGACTCCTACTAAATGTGCAGTTACTTAAAATAACATTTCCGTTTAATTCTGCAGCCATGAAACGGCTTTACAGAAGAAATCAATCTGTATTGTTAAAAAAATCTAATATTATCCAGTATATCCACATATATAAAATTAGTTAAATTAGTTGACAACTATTTGAATAATAATATAATATATAATATAATATATAATATATAATTTATAATAATAAAGTGTTGTTGATTAAAATGTGAAGCTAAATAAAAATTGAATAGCCATTTTGCTAAAAGAGCAATTCAATTACATATCGACTGCCACCGCTTGACTCTGTTACAATTGCTTGTTTCGTTTTCAGGAAAACTCGCAGGAGAGGGCGTCAGCTGCCAAGTGCATCAACAGTGCAGTGGAAGGTGCTCAGCTGAATGCTCGTCGGGCTCGGTATAAGGAGTGTGGCGTAACTGACAGCCGGTGTCTGTTCTAGTTAAAGCTGGGGTACCTGATACATATTACATTAAGTTTTTCCTCAACAGAGAGTCAAACATTTTGTGAGATCGCATCATATAGCAATATCTTATTAGAACACATGTCACCTTTTCTACACAACCTTTCTGTCTGAAAAAGCGGATCTTGATACGCCAAACGCTGGGAAATCTAGCAACATTTTGAAATTTGGAAGAGACACGCCAGTTTTAACTATTTTAGCAATGTAATAGCTCGGTTAATTATCACACGCAAGCAGGTGGAAGCCGACAGAGGCGTCATGTCGCGAACAACTGAATACCAACACAAACACAAATCACAAAGTGAAACAGCAAAAGAAATGTGCGTAATTCATTCAAACGTGTTTAATAATAGCGTTCACTCAACCCAAGTGAGTGAAGGGTCCACGCCTACTTCAACCAGATGTTGACATTGCCTTTGCTTTACAATACATTGACACGAACAAAAAGATGGAGAATGATTTGATATCTGCGCAGCTAATCATGTTATGTAACCTTCAGTGTTCAATTACAGAATGTCATGATTAAGTCAAGGCCCTTTGCCCATTTCAGCTGCTAATGTTTGTGTTAGCTAGCTAATGATGAAGCAAAATTTCACCACGCGTTTATCAGTCACCCAACACGTTTTGTGTAACTTGACATGTCTGGATCAACACTGCAGATCATTAACAAACCAGAACGCAAAACAACTATGCCTAAACAGGCGTGCGGAAAGGGTATAAAGTTAAGTTGGCTAACATTAGCACGGGAGCTAACGCTTTGGTGCAGTGCAACTTAAGCCAAATGTAACTTGATGCTAACTGGGAGCTACGTTAGCATGCTAGCCGAGCAGCTGAGTCTAGAACTGACCCGCGGAGACTCCAAACTCAATGTCATTCCACAACTGACCTGTTTATTATTGAGCCCACAAGCTGAGGTAATTCCTTGGTTTCAAAAGCGGTGTACGAGGCTGATAAAAGCGGTCGTACTGCCGCTGTCCATTCGTGTTCATCTCCTCCACTTGACGCCATCTTGAAATCCCACAGTCAAAAAATCTCGAGCAAAATAGAAAGGTTCACAGGGGGCGCTCTTCTCCTCGCCGGAGGCAGGCCATTTGTTCTGGTTTGTGCAGAAAAAGTTTTGTTTGTTTGTTTTTTGAGATGTCAACAATTTATAGGTTAAATTGGGGTCTCGCAGCCCCTCACTGACCTTGAAATGAGTCAAATTGTCACTTCGAAACCGTTTGTTCTGCAAAAGGTTTCGTTTGAGAACTCTGTGATTTTGCTTCTAATGGCCAAAAAATATGATTCCTTTATAAATGAATTTTCTTTGAAAAAACTATTGCAATTTCCTGCCTTGATTTGTACATCTTTATTCATTATAAAAAGTCAATGAAACACATGCGAATGTGTCTGACTCCCCCTGCTGTATTTATTATGTAATACATTGGCACTCCAGTGTTTTTTATGGAAGGACACTTCAAAGAAAAGCATAATTATATGTGCACACTTGGTGCTAGGGACACGACACAAACGCTGAGAGCATGAGGATGACACACAACCGCCGAAACAAGAGCTAAACCAGAATTATAATTGCATACGGTATGCCCCAGTTTTGATTTCTCCAACTCCTAAACACTAGTCGTAGTCGTCAGTATTGCTCCGTGTTACGTCACTTCCGGCCTCCTCGCGTCTGGCCGCAGCAGTCATGGCGGAGCTCATCCTTCTGCTTCTGAGGTGTTCTGTGCTCTTCAGCGCTGTGCATGCCGTGTTTGAAGACCAAGTGGGGAAGTTCGACTGGTGAGAGAGGATTGAGCGACTTTAATAACTTGGTTTAAATTCGCGTTTAATAAAAATGATTCAATGATGACACCTGCCATACAGCCATAGCCCCTGTCAGGCGAATACTGCACTATGCTAGCTAAATCAATCAGATGTTATTGAAGACAAGAGGCTGGCGTATAAGGACTTACGTTTATATTTCTGTACATAATAGAAACGTTTTGAAGCGTGTTTTTAAAATGTAACCTGTTTGTTTTAGTTTTATGACCGTACAATTGCCCCCAAAGTGTAGTAAAATGAACCTATTTTGTATATGTATGTTTGTATTTTTCTCTATGTTCATCTGAAGTCCCAGTAAATGATTTGTTATCTGAAAAATATGTATTTATCTATATTGTCCATGATATCACATTACAATATATATTATATATTGTACATTTGTGAAACATTAGTTAAATTGAGTAATTATACGAAAATTACAGATTTTTAACTTGCTATTTTCATATAGCATTGAATAGAGTGGATAGAACATGTGTTTTAATGTTAGTGGGCTTGCGTCCCCATAAACCTGGCTTGATTGTTATTACTGGCTATAGATCTGCATCTGCAATATGGCAGAAAATATATACTACTATTTAATATCACTGAATTCTTGTGATTACATATTTTATTGTGTTACTTACTATATAGGGTGTCTTCACAGTAAAGTGTCAATTATTGTATCTGGACTTTAAAATGTGCATGCTGTGTTGGTCTTCAAACATGGCATGATAGTAAACCATAGATTTACAATGAATATGTTTTTTACATTTTCCCTTAAATGCACCACTACAGCTAGCCAACTAGAAACATAGGAGAATAGGAGTTTTTGAAAAATGCTATTGATATTTATGGCCATTGGTCATCTACCCCTAATGGACCAATGGATCCATGTGTTTTTTATTGTTGTATTTCCTGTGTCTGAACGGTTTGATTCTCTGATAAACAAAATTATGTTTATATTTTATCTTTTTCTTTTCCCCAGGAGACAACAGTATGTAGGCAATGTCCGCTTTGCTCATTTCGACAATCAGATACAGTCTTCCAAAAAGGTTCTTGTTGCCACAGACGACAATGTCTTTGCAGCTATTAACACAAGAACCGGAGAGCTGTGTGAGTAATATATGCTTCAGTATGCATATATATATATGCACAGTTAATTTTACAATTTCCATCGCATTCCTGTATTCAAACACATCATTCTATTTTCTTATTGTTTTAGTTTGGCGTCATGTTGACAAGAATGGACCAGAGGGGAGCATTGATGCCCTTCTTTTGCAAGGGCAAGGTAATAATTTGTGAGATAATAAAGTGAAAATGTATTATGTTTGCATTGTGCTTTTGAACTCTACCAGAGAATGGGATGGTATCTTTTAGTTGTCATCAGTTTATGGGAGAATACTTTTGGTCCTCGTGGCGATGGCTTAAGTTGTCATGCCTTGGTGTCAGAAGGGGAAGTGGTTTAAGCTGGTTGTGGCTATTTGTGTTATTATTCCCATGTCATCATTAATATATTTTACCTTTCCTTTTAATGTACTGTGATTATTCATGATTTTAATTCCTTGTTTGATTGATTCTATCTTGTTTTGTACGGCACTTTGAGTCGCCTTGTGTATGAATTGTGCTACACAAATAAACTTGCCCTACCTATTATATTCAAAATAATGTATTGGTTTAGGCTTGAATTGTGTGTGTTCCTTTCTCCTTCAGATGCAATCATGGTGGTCGGTGATGGCCGGCTACTGCGCTCCTGGGATGTGAATGTTGGTGGTTTAAACTGGGAGACTGTTCTGGATTCTGGAAGGTACGAAAAAATGAATTTTCCTGTTTCATATTTATGAAATTTCACTTTTTGGAAAAGTATTTGGATTGCAACATTCTTTATCTTTCAGTTTCCAGTCTGCGTCTTTAGTAGGACAACAGGATCATGTCCGATATGTGGCTGTTTTGAAAAAGGCAGCCATCTCTCTTCACTATCTTTCCAACGGGCACCAGAAATGGATAGAGAATCTTCCAGAAAGGTAAGAATGAGGCCAATTGGTAGTCGAATAGTGGGGACCACACATGAAATATCCACTCTGCTTAGATTATCACCATGTTATAGTTATCATTCCTTATCATTCCCACTCTCACTGGGGTTGTAGAGTGATAATTAATCTTATTTTACATTGGACCACGGTTTTTGTTTGCTAAATTCCCATTCTGATTTTGTGATTCTCTGATGAGACAACATTGTTGAGAAAGCAGTTTCATTCTAAGGAGAAAAAAAAGTAATAAATAATGTTATTTGTACTGATTCTTTTAACAGTGACACTGTGGATTACCAGTCTGTGTATTCTGATGGAACTGGAGAAGTTTTTGTTTTGGGCCTTGTCCCCAACTCTCACATCACTGTGGTGGTGTACAGCTTGGACGATGGCGAAATACTGAAACAGGTAAAGATTTTTTTTTTACTGAAACATTCATCTGGTTAGTACTTGGTTAGTACACTTGGCTAGAGCTTCGTCTGATAAGTGAAGGCTATGGGAGACCAGTCTTAATCTGAAGATTTGAGGAAATGGGTTGAGTCTCTTTTTTAATTCAATTCAATATATTTTTCTACAGCCATCACAGTAGTTTTCTTGAGGGACTTTACAAAACAGTCAAATTCAACAACAGTGATCAGAGATTAGGATCGTTCAAACACAAGAAATGCAATAATAAAAAACACATAACCATTGGTCCATAAGGGGCAGATGACCAATGTCCATAAATGCAGTAAATGTGAGAACCTCAATGGAGGCCCACGTTGAGAGGGATCCGCTTTGTTCTCCTGCTTGGTTGGTATTAAAACCACACTGGCACCTGAAAGTTCACTATTTTCTATGGATAAAATCAATGTTCACACTTATATATTAATTTTAGTACATTCTAACAAGGGTACAAAGCCATTTATTCTTGTAGCTGAATGGCTATAACTCAATTATATTTAAGGGAGACATTCCTTGTATCTTTTTAAAACAATATCATTTTGCTCATTGAGCATGAGCAAAAATTAAGATACATTTTGATAAATTGGAGCATTTTTGAAGTGCACCTACCATCACTAAGGAATGGAACATAGGCATATTAGAAATAAACACCAGTTATCACCATTCCCATTCTGTGTGTTTTTATGTTTATTTGTATATGTATTGTTTTTGTGTGTGCACAGTTCACAGTTGATTGTCCGTGGCTATCCGAGCTTCTGTCCAGCTGCTCGGTGATTGGCAGAGGCATGTTGACCTGCGTGGACCTGCTCTCTCTGTCCCTCAACATGTTCGACCTGCACTCGGACTCAGAGATGAACCGGGTCTCACTGGAGGTACGCTCTCGTCAAACACATTGTGTGATTATTCAGTGATTGTCTCTTTATTGCACATAATAATAAAGACAATCACTAGTTTTTCACTACGTTCCAACATTGTTCCTTCACCAATAATAGCCCTTAATCACAAGTCAAGTCGTCTCGGAGGACTTTTCACCAACGATAACGCAAGGAATCAAACTGGTCGAACACAGGAAATTCAAAAATCAGAAACATTACAAACTTTATAACAACAAAATCATTAACTATGTAATAATATCCACAGAACTAGTTCCTTGCACTAAAACAGTTTTGAAAGTAGTTTCCACATGCATGTATTTTGGCCTTTCTCACATCTAAGAAAGGCCTTTTTAAGACAGAAACGTGAAAAAGAGAGGTCTACCCTCACTCCAATCAGTTCTCGTCACTATAGTGTGTACAAGTACTGGTATATATTTCTCACACTAGAGTACTCTGTTTTTTACACTTTTATTGTATCTTTTACACTTATTTTATTGGTTTTTTATCTATCTACAACTCTTAAGTATAGAGTTGTTCTATACCTAATATTCACTTGTGTTGTGTTCTGTAACTGGTGATGCAACACTGACATTTCCCCCTTGTGGAAAAATTAGAGGATCTCTTAATCTTAAATAACTTCTCTGTTTCGCTCCAGTCGATCGGTTTGGAAGTTTCTCCAAGTTTCCGCCCGCTTCTGGTCTCCACTCAGCCCAACGCAGCTCGAGCGCCGCTATCCGAGTTTTTACTCCAGATGGGACCAGACCAACACGTGCTGCTCCAGCTCCATATGGGACAGATTCTAACCCTCAGGGACTTCAAACCGGTGTGTGGGGTTTATTTATTTGTATAGATCAGGACAGGTATCAGTGGGTAGAAAAGCATTACAAATACATACACTTGCACACACTCTCGCACACTCTCGCGCACTCTCGCACACACTTGCACACTCAGTAACTACATTCCTCTATTTTGTTAATTAGACTAGATGGTAGGGCTGGGCGATATGGCTGAAAACTTTATCACAATTTAAGTGATTCATATCGGTTGATATTGATAATTATTGATTGTTTGTTTAAAACCTAAATAAATACATTTGTCAGCCCTTGTTTATAGTCACGGGGGAATGAAAACTCAGGCTGGAGGCATATGTTCCCAACCAAAATGTCCCCCATAATCAGTCCTGGTATAGTCCTGGTTTAGTCCTGGCCGAGGAGAGAGGCTGTGGAGAGAGACCAGAAATCACCGACCCACAGTCTACCCTGAGAGTCAGACACAATCGTCAAAAGAGCCACATCTAACCTCTGGGTTATACTATCTCTACTTGTGCTCCTTGTGCGTCTCTGTACTCTCCCTATAATGTTGTTGTATGTTTTGCGTACAGGCCATGCTGGCGTCTTTTGCTACATCAGGAGAGAAGACTGTAGTCGCCGTTATGTCGCCCAAAAACCAGACGGTGAGGGAAACAATCACACATGCGATTGAACCAGAGCAGACAGACTTGTGCAACAACTCATTCACTATTCTCCAACAGGCTTCTAGCATTAACTTGTTCAGCGCTGAAACTGGTCGCAGACTTCTTGACACAACTCTGATCTTTACCATGGATCCAAATGGAGGAAAGCCAGTCCAGGTAAGTCTTTTCACTTTTGTTGTACATAATTATTGTCACTTTATTGTACATATATATCCTGCATGTAACATGTTTGCACATTTCCTCCCTTTGCACAATCTGAGTGTCTCTATCCATGCCAAACGTGACATGTAAATTTCTCCTATGTGAGATAAATAAAGCAAATCTTATCTTATCTTATCTTTGAGACCAGAGAGAGAGAGACCAGAGAGCGAGAAAGAGACCAGAGAGCGAGAAAGAGACCAGAGAGCGAGAAAGAGACCAGAGAGCGAGAAAGAGACCAGAGAGCGAGAAAGAGACCAGAGAGCGGGAAAGAGACCAGAGAGCGGGAAAGAGACCAGAGAGCGGGAAAGAGACCAGAGAGCGGGAAAGAGACCAGAGAGCGGGAAAGAGACCAGAGAGCGGGAAAGAGACCAGAGAGCGGGAAAGAGACCAGAGAGCGGGAAAGAGACCAGAGAGCGGGAAAGAGACCAGAGAGCGGGAAAGAGACCAGAGAGCGGGAAAGAGACCAGAGAGCGGGAAAGAGACCAGTTTTACTGCAAATGGCAAATAAATGAATCTGAATCTGAATCTGGAAGTAGTGAATTTTTGGTTTGCATGAGTGTCTCTTTCTTCTCTTTGTAGTTGTACGTTCAAGCCTTTTTGAAGAAGGATGACTCAGTGGGATACAGAGTGATGGTGCAGACAGAGGACCACCAGCTCACCTTCATCCAGCAGCCAGGTATTAATCCTGAAACTAAATCTCTTTAAGTCTGGCTCAATGAGATTTTGGTGAAAGACGCAGTCAACTGTAGGTCATGCTACTGCCACCGGAGGGAGCAAAAAGACACATTTATCAGGTGCTAGTTTTCCCAAGGTAATCCTGTTGCTAAGCTTGGCCTTGCAAAAAAGTATTTTATTTCTTACTAAATAAAATTGATTAGGAGGTTATCAAAATATCATTATTTAAGTGTTCACTTTCTTTGCATTGCCGGTTGCCACATACATTTAGTTTAACGTTTCACAAATATCAAGATAAAGAGATTCTTTATTCGTCCCACAGTGGGGATATTTCAGTGTTTCATCACCAGTTACAGAACAGTTGGAGCGAGGAGCACACAACACAAGATAAATGAACAATAACTCTATACTAGAATAATATAAAATAATTATATATATAATGGGCGTCTTTCTGAGTTGTGTTTGCATGTTCTCCCCGTGTCTTCGTAGGCTCTCGTTTCCCCACTTAAAACATGTACACTATGTAAAAACCTCCAGCTCTGGTCTTAACCAATGCTCTTTTAAATTTTATCTTGTTTTGTTCAGCACTTTGAGTTGCCTTGTCCATGAATTGTGCTATACAAATAAACTTGCCTTGCCTTGAACAAGCAGAGCATCTGTATCCAGAGATGGGCCCCAGGCGCCGTAAAGATGGCGCCGTGGCAAGAGCTCTGGTGTGTGTCGTCTGGTGCACACTGGGGTAGTCTTGCACAGTTTTTCCAATGTGGTTTTACTGCAAATGGCAAATAAATGAATCTGAATCTGATCTGATCTAGGGAGACAAAGGCCCGAGTGGCATTGTATGATGGGTCAAAAGCAGAGGTCAAATTTCCCTTTGGAAATAACAACGTTTTACTTTACTCAACATTTTTTTATCTGAGAGCCTCATTAACAAAACAGAAACAGCAGAAAGTTAGTGCCTTTAGGAGGGCCTAAGGACAGTAGTGATTATCATTCATGGACATTTATTACCCTTTTATGGATCATCCCAATCTCTGTGTTAGTTATCAAACACAGGCAGACCAGAGATGGTTCCACTTTGGGGGACTATCTGAAAGGGTTGTGGCAAACTGTTGGTGTGACTGGGTGAATTCATGGACCATAATATAAGTCCAAACTATAATTTGAATAGAAAAACTTTTATGAAACTCATGGATGTTGTGTTTTTCCAGGGCGAGTGATGTGGACCAGAGAGGAGGCTTTGTCTGATGTGGTTACCATGGAGATGGTGGATCTGCCACTCACCGCCACGCAGGCTGAGCTGGAGGGCGAGTTTGGAAAAAAAGCTGGTAAATTGTTCAGTTCAACTTTACATTATTTTTTTTTTTATATAGCATATTATTGTAGCGCTGTCGTACTTTAACACTGCACTGACTCACGGCTTGAACCGTTCTGTGTTGCTTCTGTGTCGCTTCACTTGGTTTTGCTTTTTCTCCTTTTTAACGCTTCGCTTGGACTCAGCCATTCAAGGTAACGGCTTCTACTGTGTTTGTTTATAATGGGATGTTTTCAAGTGATTAAGCAGTGAGATTAGAGTTGGTTGGAGATATAAAAACACACTTATGCACACACAGGACCATGACAACAAAACTCAAAACAAAGCTACATGTACAATATGCATACCTCAAATTATAATGATGGATTTTGAAGTTTAAGAAGGAAAAAATAATGTAAAAAATCAGGTGTGATTGATGCGTTTAATTTATATGCAGTTTGCTGTTACTTGTTGTTCTCATTCCTTCACAAATACAATTTTCGGCACTATTTGTGCAGGTTTAGAATTATAATGGAACCACTTGCGTATAAGTGGTGCCACCTGTATGTGAAAGCCAGGGCCGCTTTGAGTGTCCAGAAAAACACTATTCAAAATGTGCATTATAATTTCATGTTTTAGAATCTGACACAATATTGTCAGTATAGAAAATATATGGTGAAACTAGTAACAGGTAAATAATTCGGGTAATCGGCCTACCCTATCCCCCATGCTCCCACCAGAGGGAGGAGTTTTTGTGTGTGCACCTTAATTTATGGGAAATACAGGGCTTAAACTGCTAGTGGTGCAATAATACTTACATGTCTCCTTTAACACCTCCGTAGACGGGTTGTTGTCCATGGTCCTCAAGAGACTCTCCTCTCAGCTGATTCTAGTCCAGGCCTGGGCCACTCACCTTTGGAAACTCTTCTACGACGCCCGGAAGCCTCGCAGCCAAGTGAAGAACGAGGTGACCATCGAGAATCTATCACGTGACGATTTCAACCTGCAGAAGATGATGGTTATGGTGACGGCATCAGGAAAGGTACTGGGAATATGAACCCATGTTACTTCTATTGCCATGCTTATTTAAAGACCTTATGACGGGTTTGATTTATTTAGAAATACAGTTTTAATACCATTTTATATTAGAAGAGAACTACTAAAGGTTTCAAAATCAGTTGTTGTTTTTTTTGTCTGATCCCCCCAAATCGAAATAACCCCATAGCAACGCCCTTAGAAACAAAAAAACTTCACAGACCTTGGTGACATCAGAACGGGTACGTTTCAACGCTGTAAGTTGTTTACAATTTGGTATTCGTTCTTTTTTCGCGGATATTCAAGATGACAAGGCCGTGTACAGCGAGTCTAAGATAACTACTAGAATGTAACATTTTGTCGTCATTGAGATAGTCCAATGGTTGTGTCGATGGACTGCCAATCCAGATACTTGGGTTCAAATCCCACCATGGACACTTATTCACACTCAAAATGGCAATTTATGTGTAGTGAGCAATTGTCACCTGTAGAGGGCAGTATTGTGTTGGGCATCAGTGGAGAGAAGAGAGAAACGGCAGTCCTGTATGGAGGACCAAAATTGACTAAAGTATAAATAAATAAATAAATACAGGAATATATTAATAAATACATTCATTTTGGACAATAAAAACTAAATATTTACATTGATGTGTTAAATATTACTATGAAATCAAATAAATATACTTTTATTTAGGTTATTTATCAATATCTACATTTTGTCCTTTATTTATTTATCCATTTATTGCATATATTTATTTATGTATTTCTACATTTCTTCATTTATTTATTTATGTATTTCTACATTTCTTTTATTTATTTATGTATTTCTACATTTCTTCATTTATTTATTTATGTATTTATGTGTCGCTACATTTCTTCATTTATCTATTTATGTATTTCTACATTTCTTCATTTATTTATTTATGTATTTCTACATTTCTTAATTTATTTATTTATGTATTTCTACATTTCTTCATTTATTTATTTATGTATTTCTACATTTCTTCATTTATTTATTTATGTATTTCTACATTTCTTCATTTATTTATTTATGTATTTCTGTGTTGCCGTATGCTAATTAGGTGGGCGGTGCTGAATTCAATGATTGGTGGGCAGTAGGGCAACCAGACAGAAGCAAAGTTAAGCCTAGCGTACATCGACAGAGAAACTGGGGACAACTAGTTGCAAGGCGGCTTTTGGCAACTGAGAGGAGATGGTGGAGATGATCAGTTGCCGAAATCGGTCGATGTGAGCGCTCTTACAACTGGAGATGATCAGTCGGTCTCCAGTTTCAGTCAGTTGCCCGTGTTCTACTTTTCGGCAACTAGTTGTCCTCAGTTTTTGAGATATGACCCGATGTGCGCGCTCCATGCGCCGCTCCGACAACGTGTGTGTGTTGCGTGTATTGCGAGCCCGCAACAGTTTATGTCAGAAAACACACTGTAGTTGAGGCCAGTTGCTGCCGATGTACGCGCTGTTATTCCCGAGACTGGTCTGCTACTGGGAGTTGCCCGTTTTCGTCAGATTGTCGATGTGTGCGGGGCAGCAACTCATATGCGACGGATATAATCAGTTGCCAGTCTGATGTACGCTAAGCTTTAGCCTTCTCGGTTTGTGAGAGGATGTGAAGCTGCTGTATAGCTTGTTGAAGAGCGTCCAGCACAGTTGCATCAAAGTCTACCTCTGGGTCAGCACTGTGATGAACTAAAACATCTAATAGTCTTTCCAGCCGAAAGAGTAGATAGTCCTCAGGTGCATTATGCTCAACATGCAACGGCTCCTAAAAAACTTACATTCGAAACTGCCATCATACCACACAAAAGTGCACAGAGGATCTCTAGCTAGCTAACAGAGTACCGTAATGTGAGGCAGTAAATGATCGAGACCAGAGTTCACGCAATCCTAACCAATCCTGTTCTAGATTGAGTTCAGCACCGCCCACCTAATTAGCATACAGGAACACAGAAATACATAAATAAATAAATGTAGAAATACATAAATAAATAAATGAAGAAATGTAGCGACACAGAAATACATAAATAAATAAATGAAGAAATGTAGAAATACATAAATAAATAAATGAAGAAATGTAGAAATACATAAATAAATAAATGAAGAAATGTAGAAATACATAAATAAATATATGCAATAAATTGATAAATAAATAAAGGAAAAAATGTAGATATTGATAAATAACCTAAATAAAAGTATATTTATTTGATTTCAGAGTAATATTTAGCATATCAATGTAAATATTTAGTTTTTATTGTCCAAAATGAATGTATTTATTAATATATTCCTGTATTTATTTATTTATTTATTTATTTATACTTTAGTCATTTTTGGTCCTCCATAGTCCTGTGGCATAGATCCATGCTTTTCAATGCATGGGCGTTACCCACTATGACGTCACACACAGGTTAGAGCATAGACAACTTAAATTCATGAAAAACACGTTCTTTTTATAAAATATAGGATTTTTTTTGCCGGAATCTCTTTCAAATTGACATTGTCATGCAATTTTGATATCCACTATTTATTTATTTTTAAACCCGTCATAAGGTCTTTAATTAATGCGTTTTGTCTTTTTTGTGTCAATGTTGGACCCTGAGATATTAGTTGAGATATCAGATATTTAGTTGAAATCAGATCTGATTGTGTCTATTTCTATATCAAATCGTATCCTACAGTAAGAAATCATTATTCAATTTCATTACAAATAAGTTTAAAGTTTACTTACAACACACACACTTTTCCCACTGTTGGTTCAGTACAATTCTGTCTTTGTTCTGAACAGGCAAAGGCAGTGTCCAAACTATTGAGTGAAGTTCTGTTAATCATTCTTTCAGTACAAACATTAAGTTAGAGATAAAGACGTAAATTAGCATCGAGATACAGCTGTTTATACAGAGAAATGTGGCCGCTGCTACATTTCTCCAAGTTTCTGTGTATTAAATAAACTTTGCTTTTCTATGTGAAGCTTTTTGGCATCGACAGCAAAACCGGGACCATAGTTTGGAAGCACTATCTGGAGAATGTGCCGTTGAACGCAGCTTTTAACCTGATGGTGCAGAGAACGACCGCCCACTTCCCTCATCCCCCACAGTGCACTCTGCTCATCAAAGACAAGGTAATGCATTCAAACTTTAAGGGAACATATTATGGAAAATCTTTTTTATTTTCAGCTTTATCACCACACACATCAAGGCAAGGCAAGGCAAGTTTATTTATACAGCACAATTCATACACAAGGCAATTCAAAGTGCTGAACAAAACAAGAAAACATTAAAATCATAAATTATCACAGAACATTAAAAAGAAAGATGAAAATATAAAATCCCTCAGTTGTATGCACAGTTAAACAGAACTGTCTTTAACCTGGTTTTAAACATTGTCAGAGAGGAGGCCTGTCTCACATCTTCAGGAAGACTGTTCCAGATTTTAGCAGCATGAATCTGAAAAGCAGCCTCCCCATGTTTAGTTCTGACTCTGGGCACTAACAGGAGTCCAGTCCCTGTGCTCCTCAGAGTCCGGGCTGGTTCATATGGGACTAACATGTCACTAATATATTTTGGTGCGAGGCCATGGAGAGACTTGTACACAAGCAGAGCTGTTTTAAAGTCTATTCTCTGAGCCACAGGAAGCCAGTGCAGAGACCTGAGAACTGGACTAATGTGGTCGTACTTCCTGGTTCTAGTCAGGACTCGAGCTGCTGCATTTTGAATGTACTGCAGCTGTTTTACAGCCTGTTTGGACAGACCTGTGAGCAGGCCATTGCAGTAGTCTAACCTACTGGAGACAAATGCATGGATAAGAATCTCCAGGTCTGCTTTAGACACTATGTTTTTGATCCTGGCAATGTTTTTTAGATGGTAAAAAGCTGCTTATGTTACTGATTTGATGTGGCTATTAAAATTTAAGTCTGAGTCCAGTATTACCCCTAGATTTCTGACCTTGTTTGAAGGTTTTAGGGAGAGAGACTGTAGGTGACAGATGACGCTCTCTCTTTGTTTCTGGGGACCAAAGACAATCATTTCAGTTTTGTCTGCGTTTAGCTGAAGGAAGTTGTTTTGCATCCACTCACTGATCTGTTGGATACAGTGAAGGAGTGAGTCCACTGGTCCATGTTCTCCTGCAGTCAGTGAGACATAGATCTGAGTGTCGTCTGCATAGTTATGATAGGAAACTTCGTTTCTGCGTATTAACTGACCTAACGGCAGCATGTAGAGATTGAACAGAAGAGGTCCCAGGATCGACCCCTGTGGGACTCCACAGGTCAGGGCCATATGATCTGAGACACAGTTTCCAATCTCCACAAAGTACTTCCTGTCTTCAAGGTAAGATCTAAACCAACTTAGGGCGGTGCCAGTGACGCCAACCCAGTCCTCTAGTCTCTGTAAGAGGATCTCATGGTCAACAGTGTCAAAAGCAGCACTTAGATCTAACAAGATTAAGATTGAGACTTTGCCTGCGTCAGTGTTCAGCCGGATATCGTTTGTAACCTTAACGAGAGCATCGACCTGGCTTGGTTTTTTTAGGTCCATCCAAGCTAAAACCAGGAACTGTAGGATAAAAACAATAAATAAAATCCATAGACTAAGACATCAGATCAACAGAATAATAACATCTTACACAAGACCCAACAGGAGGCCAGTCCCTGCGCTCCTCAGAGTTCCCCAATTGGTTCATATGGCTCTAACATGTCACAGATGTACTTTGGTATGTGGCCATGGAGAGACAGAGCTGCTTTAAAGTCTATTCATTCATGTTTAAAGGACAAAATCAACACAAATAATCCATCAAAGTATGTTTCTATACTTCTGTCTCTACAACCAAAGTTAAAAAGTATTTACAAACAGTACATTTTGTCAGCTCTTGCTCTGACTTACTGTCCTGTATGTACGCTAAAACATTGCAACATTTGCCCACTAATAAAGGACAAATGAAAGTTCTCTTATCTTTATCAGTCTCATTGTCTCATCAGGACACTGGTCTGGCCATGCTGCATGTCTTTAACCCAATCTTTGGAAAGAAGAGCCACATCAGCCCCCCCCTGCTGCCTCAGCCCATCCTCCAGTCTCTGCTGCTGCCGCTGATGGACCAGGACTACGCCAAAGTCCTGCTCCTCGTGGACGACCAGTACAAAGTGAGTTCATTCTGTTTGAGGCAGAGAAAACGTTACCACTAGGGTTGGGCGATATGGGCCTCAGCATGTATCACAATTTTTGTTGGTATGTATCACGATATGACGATATGATAATTTTAACAAAGCCTCATATAAAAGCTATAAAAACTTAGCACTGATAATTTTAAACACACTTGCCTCAAAGTGCATTTACCGATTTATTGGCAGCAAAATGTGCAATACAGCTATTGTATATAAAACGTATTAACAAAACTGAATTGTAGAGAATTCTGTTTTGTACATACTGAAAATTGCAGGCAACATGTAATAAAGGTGAACATTTGTAAAATATATAAAAGTTTGTCCTTTGTAATATAAAAAGTGTAGCATTATCAAATAATTATTTGATCACTTTGGCTTATGTTTCCTAATCCCAATATAGTCAAAATGATCAAATACTGTATATATTTTTTGTATCCTTTTGCGTTTCTATAATTATGTAATTATAACTTAGTTGTAATTATATTGCAATGTAGACAAACACATGCATTGAAGTAAAATGAATGACAGTAAACAGTAAATAAAGCTTACCAATGGCAGAGAGAGAGAGCGAGTGTCCGAAGCAAGCCACTCGAGTCCAGTTGTTTAGGGCAGCTGCTTTCACAACATTAGATCCACTGTCGATAGTTACACTCAATTGCTTCTTTTTATCTAGTTCCCAAACTACTCCCATATGTTTGAGGTAGCTCCGCGTTTTGGCACAATGTCTTCTACAATCTGCATGTCTTCACCATGGTCTTCACCGCCGCCCTCAGCCATGTTTGCTCTCTGCTCTGTTGTTGTTGTCCCTGCACGCCGCTCTGCTACACGTGTCGCGCAGATGCGTCATCAAAGTGCGCCGCACACAAACGTGTCTTCCGCTCGCTGTTTTCAGTGTTAAATGATCGTTTTCACCGGTATAAGGCATTTTCTTATCATTTAATTTACTTATACCGGTACAAAAAAAATATCGCCCAACCCTAGTTACCACCAGAGAAAATGTTGTATAGTGGTCCCTCGTGATAGTTGAAATCTAGCTTTTATTACACAAAACAACAATCATTTCAGGATTTTAGGTCAAACTGAGCTTTGACTTCATAGCAAAACGGCTAGAGTCGATATTCAAGACCTGAATAGGTTGGTTTCACTTCTTGCAAAATGTGTGTTTTATGGTAGGTTTCTAGTTTCTTGTGGACAGAGCCAATCACACAAAGGCAGCAGTGTGTGAAGAGTAGAGGAAGAGACAAACATTATTTGCAATGGCATGGATTCTAATAGACCAAATATTTCTCTAAAGGGTATTCAACAAGTCTTTCCTTTAACTCAAACCTGGAGCTGCCCTGTCAATAGTAAATCTGTAGGTCTATGTATTCAAAACTTATTTTATTCAATTGACCGTAAGGAAATTATTTATCTACAGTTCTATTTCTGTTTTTGTTTTCAAATCTTTATTTTCAAATGTTAACCCTTTAAGCGCCAAAGTCGCAATATTGCGACAAGCAACATTGCTCACTTAAACAGGCTGTATGTAAAAATGTGGTGCAGAATCTTGTTAATACTTTTCACCAGGGGTTAGTGGACATGTGTGCCTGTAATATGAGCAACATTTGTGGGTGTGGTTATATTGAAAGTTTTTGAGTAAATTGAGTTCGTAAAACACCTGCGGCGCGGAGGCGAAGCAGCAGCGGTAGAGCTGAGAGGAGCGAGAACAGAGCAGAGGGAGAGTGTTTTTTATTTTACTCACAAGGTCTTCAGTACCAGAGAATTACTTGGTCTGGTACTGGCTCACTCAGATTCAGAGCAGGAAGACACGCAGGTGTCTAGTGAAGCAGACACGGACGTTATTGGTGACGGGGAGACCGCGCCATATAGTCCACAATCAGCCCCTGTACAGCGGCTGCTTGTCCTCCGTGTGGCCGCGGTAGAAGCATTCTGTGAGCGCCAAGCAGGGGCCGTGGACGAGGGGACAGGGGCATCATAACACCGGGCATGTGGAAGAACGTAGCGGGGGTAGACATCCACGGGGAACACGGGAGACGCGGGAGAAGAAAAAATCGCTAATCACATTCACTGCCTTTACCAACAGTGATGATGAGGATGAAGGCAGTTCTTGAGAGAAAATAATCCACAAAAGTGGATTAGAAGTGTTGAAGAGCCTTTTGTTTCTTGTTGAGACGATCTGACATGTTCTGAGCCCATTCATTTAATCTCTCTGTTTCTAAACGATAAATCCTGGAGCCTCATTTCCACTGAGAAAAATAGTAAGCCCACCAGGTCTTTGAAAGGGAAATATTGAAACCAATCTCCAGATTTCATGACTGTAAACTATAAAAAGTATTGTCTTGATCACTGAAGGTCTTATAATAATAATACAATTCCATATGGCCGCGAACCAGTGCTAAAACATTATCTATAATCTTGATCAGGGAATTTATTTCGATCCCAAAATCATTTTATACTAAGGATATTTCACATTGACTGTTTATAGTATTCCCTGATCTAAAAAAAACTCCCAAGCTACAGCTTTTTGAAATCTTTATACAATAATTAACATTTTCCAAAATGGCCGCCACCTTGATTACGTCACAATATGCAAATTAGATGATGAATCAACTTCCATCCCAAAGTTTGGTTCAAACTGAAGCTCTTTCTAATTTACAGTATGCCTTTATCTCAAACCATTTTAAAGTTATAGCCTTTTGAAATCTTGAAATCAAAATTTTATATTTTCTTGAAAAAACTCTGGCGCCTAAAGGGTTAAGACAAAATATACTTGTGACAGATGTATTCAGTTTCATCCATTCTTTTTTTTTTTTGAACAAAATATACAGTTCTATTTTTAAGTGAGAGAAAGCTGCTTCTCCTATTAGTTGAAGAATCTATTGTTGTCTTTCCAGGTGTCTGCTTTCCCATCTTCAAAGAACGTCCTCCAGCAACTTCAGGAAATGGCCTCTTCCATCTTCTTTTACCTCGTCGATGCTGAACAGGGGAGGCTCAGCGGCTACAGGCTGCGAACAGTATGTTGTCTTTTGGGTTTTAGGTTGAAGTAAAGACTTTTCCTGCATTAACCCTTTTGCAACTGTGGCAATACGTTCAAACATAACACATAATACAGATTGTTGTAAACCAACAATGGAAACATGTAGCACAAAACTTAAACAATCAAAATGAGGTTATGCACGAGAAAATTCAAGATCGGTAGGATGGGGCCATACCATTAATGACTTTGTATGTTAGAAAAAGGATTTTAAATATGAGTCTATACTCCTCAAGAAGCCAGTGAAGGGATTTTAACACTGGAGTGATAAGTTCCCTCCTTTTGGTGCCTGTTAATATCCTTGCTGCTATATTTGAACAGAGTGGAAGCTTTTTATAGAGGATTTGGGTCACACTGCCAGCAATGTTAGCTGGCGTTGCGCTGGTGGAAATATGCTGTTTTAGTTGCTTCGTTTATATCTGTTCTTGGCCGAAAACAACTCCAAGATTCCTTACTGTGTTGCAAGGGAGTCACTTAGACTTTTGAGGCCGAAAGATTACCTCTGCTGAATAAGGAATAGAGAAACATGTGGGAGAGTGTATAAGGAAGCTCAATCCCACCTGGAAAATGTGAGTCTCTGTACTATCTAAGGCTGATAAGGATGTTAGCCTTAGGTTGGACGGGAAAATACTAAACAGACTGACATTTTACTATATGTGTACCCTTTATTATTAAGATGAAGAGATCCTTAATTTGTCCCACAGTGCGGAAATGTCAGTGTTGCATTACCAGTGACAGAATAGTAGGAATAATGAGCACACAGCACAAGATAAATTAGTTATGAACATTATTATTTATAAATCTCCAGCTTTATAAATAAGCAAGTATTTCTGACTTTTAATCCCTAGCATAATAGATAAGTAAGTATACAATTCTGTGTATTCTAGTGCTGTAAATATGTAGTTGTATGTTTATATCTGCACATTCTGACATTAGTTCAAATTATTGCACTGATGCACAAATTCTAAATACTAAGTGTTATAATTTGTACTTGTCCATGTTCCAGTTATTGACTAAATGAGTTCATGTATTTTTGAGTTGAATTTTGTTGATCGTTGTGTGTTTATTTATTTTAAAGTTTAGAGTTGTGTGTTTGTCAGGACTTGTCCACGGAGCTGATCTGGGAGGTGGTGCTTCCCACAGAGGTGCAGAAGATCGTCTCTGTGAAGGAGAAGAAGGCAAATGAGCACGTCCACTCTCAGGGCCGAGTGATGGGAGATCGCTCCGTCCTCTACAAGGTCAGAATTGCAGATCAGCATCACAATACTAGATAGTGCTGCACTTAAATCATCATCACAATACAGCAGGGGTGTCAAACTCATTTTGGTCAGGGGCCGCAACAAAAACTATGAATTAACTCATGTGGAATTATGTACGTAAAAAAAAAAAACTGAAACTACTGAACTGAACAACTGAAAATATGTCTTACATTCTATAGCACCTTTTTCTCCGATTACTGCTTTGCACACTCTTGGCGTTCTCTTGATGAGCTTCAAGAGGTAGTGACCTGAAATGGTCTTCCAAAAGTCTTTAAAGAGGTCCCAGAGATGCTTAGCACTTGTTGGCCCTTTCGCCTTTACTCTGTGGTCCAGCTCACCCCAAAACCATCTGGATTGGGTTCAAGTCCGTTGACTGTGGAGACCAGGTCATCTGGCCCAGCACCCACCACTCTCCTTATTGGTCAAATAGCCCTTACTCAGCCTGGGTGTGAATCTAGAGTCAATGGTCATGAAAAGAAAGGAAAGTCATTGGATGAGAAAGTGTGTCCAGACCTTTGGTCTGTGCTGTAGATCTATGACATGAAATAAGAAAATAAAATGGGAAATTCATAATAAATGAAAAATGAATAATTATAACAACAATAATACATACATAAAAATACAAAAAAACTATAGTAATATTGATATAGGATTACCTTCCACACATACAAGGAATTTTAATGGTTACATAATAAATGCTGGAGAATTTAAGGACTTATAAATGAAAGTGCTGAGATGAATCAGAACATGACACTGTGCGGTTCAGGTGGTAATAAAGGAAAGGGAAAGTTCTCGCACCCACAAGCTTCTGCTCAGGCTCGTTAGCCGCACCCTGGTTCCCACACACGGCTCCGGGCCCCAGCTGAATCAGTGCTTTGGATCTGATCTGTCACTTTCAGACCCTCCCTCCATAAAGACTGCCTGAATAATCACAAGTCTCTGGTTTCTTCATATTGTCTGACTCTCCCCGGTTTATAATTCTCCCTCTGAATCACTTCCCCTCAGCCTCTGTCAGGATAATAGCAGGTTGTCTTTCGTTTTGTGTAAATTACGACCTATTTTTAGCTCCGCATGAATCATTGGTACATGTTTGAAGACGCCACAAGGTGAATAACTGGGTTTAAAACTGCGGTGCGTGTCTCCCTCCAAGCCTTTGGCACGACATTGATGTTCACACAAAAGGCAGCTCCAGGCTTTTAAAACATTAGATAAAAGTACATGGTAATACAGTTTAATGTCAGGATCTGGAGCTCACTGAAAGCTCGTGCTGGAGGAAAACATTTACTCATTATCGCAATATTTTACTCTCACAATTAAATCTATACAAGGCGTGATATGTCTATTGCTTGTCTGTTTTCAGTATTGATTCAATTCAATGCAATGTATTCTTGTATAGCCCTAAATCACAACAGTAGTTATCCTGGAGGACTTTACAAAACCGTTGATTCGCCAACACAGATCAGAAAATCAAACGGTTCAAACGCAGGAAATGCAATTATAGAAAACACATAGAGCAGAGACCAATGTCCTTAAATGTTGAATGTCGAGTGTCTTGGATTATCACTACTGTCCTTAGACCCTCCTGCATCGGCAAGAGTTGATCTCTGTTCTCTGCTTTAGTACCTGAACCCGAACCTTCTGGCCCTGGTGACGGAGAGTACAGACCAGCACCAGGAGCGCAGCTTTGTGGGGATCTTTCTCATCGACGGCATCACAGGACGCATCATCCACGAGGCCGTCCAGAGGAAAGCTCGTGGTCCCGTCCACATCGTGCACTCGGAAAACTGGGTGGTGGTGAGTAGGAGGCGCTCAGACTAAATAACCACCATTACTAACAGCATTCAAGAGTAAACAGAGGGGTTTAGTTTATAAAGCCAGAGACGGAAGGAGGGCTGGAGTGTTGGGCAGACACCAGGACATTTGTGGTTTAATCCCGCTATTGTCAGGATTGATGAGCTGAAAGAAGGGGTTATGATTGGGAAGTCTGGGCGTCTCTGCTTAAACTGCTACTCCCGGCAATCCAGCAACGGTTAAAGCAGAAGAAAATGTATAGGACACTGGACAGAGCTGCTTTAAAAAACATCTGGATTACATTAGATTTCTCCAGTAGAATGTTCTTCAATTGCAGGCCTTCAATTGCATTGGCCCATGTTAGATTGGTATTATATAAACAAAATATTGAGTTTTTTTCTTCAACTACACAGGTTCTTCTCTATTCCAGGTCTTTACTTCCGCCAAATGGTCATGTGATTGCCAGGTTTTGTCTGTTTCTTAGTTTGAAGTCTTGGAAAAATGGGACAAGGAACAACTTAATTAACATACAAACACACACGCACATATACACTCACTTGCACACACTGGCTCAGAGCAGAAACTAAATTGTGAGAACTTGTTTTATTAGCATTTCATGTGTTTTTTTTCTATTGTAAGAATCGCAGCAATTTAGTTTTGCTTGTGAATAGTCCAGCTGTATCACTTTTTGTCCTATATACTATTTAGATACAATTTTTTCTTTCAAAACCCCATAAAGTCATAACATGTAAACATAAAACCACAGAATGATGCTTTAGAATGTGAAGTAACATGTTTTTTTTATAATATTCTGCCGTCTTTGTGGTCTGTAGTATGAATACTGGAGCACAAAGTCACGTCGTGTGGAGTTCTCGGTGATAGAGCTGTATGAGGGCATGGAGCTCTACAACAGCTCGGTCTTCAGCTCTCTGGACCGGCCTCTGGCTCCGCAGGTCCTGCACCAGTCCTACATCTTCCCCTCCGCCGTCTCTGCCATGGAGGCCACGATGACGGAGAAGGGCATCACCAGCAGACACCTCCTCAGTGAGTCACCCGCAACTTGTGATGCAACACTGACATTTCCCCACTTTGGGACGAATAAATCTGAAGCATATGAAAATGTTACAGAATGAATTAACATGAACTACCCAAATTGTGGACAAGCCATATTAGACCCTCCTTCATCTTCTGGACTCATGGCCACACAAAAAAAACAATGGAACAATGGTGAAAAGCAATGAACAGGCTACAGCTGGAGTCATTATAATGTCAGTATGAAAGAGGAAAATAATAAAATATATCAGGTAATAATTTGAGTTAATTCTGACTTTGTGAAAACCTGATTTGCCAATGGGACAAAGCCATTTAGTCTCATTTCAAGAACTTTGTCTTTATTTTTTCCTTCCAATGGAAATATTGCTTGTATCCTTTTAGAACAATGTGCCAAAATTAAGATACATTTGCCAAATTGGAGCAAATTTGACTTATTTTTGACTTTTATTTTTTTACCATACTTCTCCCAGTGAGTTAGTCGTATTTCTGTGGTATTTCTGAATAAAAGAGGAAGTCTGTCCTTGAAAGTAGAGACTGTCCTGCTCTTTGACAATGTCAGTAATAGGACAATGAAAGACTCACACTTATACTACATCTGTTTCTTTCAGTCGGTTTGCCCTCAGGAGGCATCTTGTCTCTGCCTAAAATGTTCCTGGACCCTCGGCGGCCGGAGATCCTGTCGGAACAAAGCCGGTGAGTGCTCTATCACAGTGTTCCTCAACCTTTTTGAGCCATGGCACACCTTTCACATGGGACACCTGCAGCTGAAAGTGGTCCAAAATTGAAGCTCTACAGCCTTTATTAACAAAGAAAAGACATGCTCATCAAAGTCCAGTATAAAGCAAATCAAATAAGCACAAAAACTCTTTATAATCGGCTCACATTGTTTTTTTGCTTCACATGCTTCTTACCAATGAGGTGATATTGGATCATTTCCATGGCACACGTGTTGAAAAAAAAAAAAAACCCTGCGGTTGTCTCTTCATTCAGCTATGGTTTGTTGTATGAGTCGACTTCTTACTGAGGCTTGGTTGTGCAGCGAGGAGAACCTGATCCCGTACGCTCCGGAGCTGCCCATCCGAACAGAGTGGTTCATCAACTACAACCAGTCGGTGTCACGAGTCCGAGGAATCCACACGGCCCCCTCTGGGCTGGAGTCCACCTGTTTGGTAAGATCACCCTGTGTTTCTAAACAAATTTTTTTAATTTTCACATTTTTGCAACATAGATTTTGAAAAAAAGATTCCTATTTTCAATGTATTTTTGTTTAGCCCTAACAGCAGTTATCTCAGAGGACTTTACAAAACCTTTTGAATTTGCCAACACAGATCAGGAAGAATTGAATTTAAACAAGAAAAATCGTCTATTTATGAAATTGGAGATTGCTAAAGTTTGAGAATTTTTGCTACCTTCTTATTATGCTAAAGTATGCCTCAGATTGTATAGCTTAATGACTGGCTTCCTTATTATGCTAAAGTGTGGTTCATTTATCTTGTGCTGTGTGCTCATTCCTACTGTTCTGTAACTGGTGATGCAACACTGAAATTTCCCCAGTGAGGGATGAATACAGGATCTTTTCATCTCAAACTTTGTAAAGTCCTCCAAGACGACAGCTGCTGTAATTTAGGGCGATACAAAAATACATTGAATTGAATCGACCAAATCATCAGAACCACCTCTATTCTCTTGATAACTTGTTTATCTTTTCTTCCTCTGTCTTCTCTCTCCCTCCACACGGACCTCTCTCTGCAGGTTGTAGCTTACGGTCTGGACATCTACCAAACCCGCGTCTATCCCTCGAAGCAGTTTGACGTTCTGAAGGACGACTACGACTACATGCTCATCTCCAGCGTCTTACTTGCCCTCTTCTTTGCCACCATGATCAGCAAACGCCTCGCCGAAGTCAAACTGCTGAACCGGGCGTGGCGGTAACAGACTCAGAAACGCTGCAGGAATCTCTGAAGCTGCACTGACGAAGAGCCCAGTCTTAAAAAGGACACGCGTTATGCATTATCTGTCTTCATTTTTGATCATTTTGGTGTGATATTGAGAAAGCTATTTTACGTGTTTAAAATGTGAAACTGTACAGATAAGCATGTATGAAGAATAAGAGATGGATCTGGATTAGCGAATGAGCTCCATCTAATGGCAGAAGTGGAATGTTATTATGATGTCATGCTTGAGTTCAGGAGTGTCAAACTGGTCAGAATGGTGGGCTCCTGCTTGGTCCTGCTATCCTGAAGATTAGCCAATGGGGCAAGAAAAGATCTTATATTTAAAGCACCGTTGCATTCCCCCCCCCATTCCTGGTGAGAATGTGCGTTTGACACAATTTGTCCCTTGAGCAAATTGTGTTTTCAATGGTAAAAGCTTGATTCAGGCATCTATATTTAATTTTTCTATAATTTTTTTGGGAGGAATTCCCAAAACTACAGGCTATAATAATAAATCACTGGTTTTGTGTAGTGCTTTTTTTAATCACAGACAGTATATACATAGCTGGTGCTGGTAAAATACTGCTGTAGCCACAGCTGACCTGGGGCAGATCCAGCTGTCCAGCAGGAGCAGATACAGAAGGGGTGGAGGGAGAATTTGTGGTGGAAGTTCCTATTATTAACATGGACTGGGCTAAAAACAACTCAAGGTATGTTCTGATTTAGGGATTGATGTCAAACTAAGACAGTTTTGCATAATCTGTGTCCTCAGATACAAGTGGACTGCACTGTTGGGGGTGGGATTAAAATGTGTTTTTAACTTATTTTGAGATACATTTAATAAATGAGAATTAATGTTGGAACAAATGTGCATCTGTTCCAACATCAATGAATTTGATATTTGTTCTAACTTCCCCTCTGTGTGTGTCATCTCCTGTTTGTCCTCAGTGCGTCCAATTTCTAAATGAGCTTTGCAAAGGGAAAAAGATGTTTTACTGAATATGTATCAGTCTTTATCTGGATGCGGCGTCTCACTGTTCATTTAGCTTCAATGTGCGATGGTCTCCATTATGCACAAACTTCTTTTTAGCATTGAGTTTATGCTCACGTTTTGAGTTTAAAGTCACAATATTCTGACTTTATTCTCATAGCAACTGGCAAATGTGGTTCTTACTTTGGAGAACTAAAAACATGTTATTTGTTTTGGGCCTCAGCAGTAAAAGACTGTTAAATACTAGAAATAACCAAATTGTAACATCCATAATGGCTAGAATTTTAAATTGCAGTTAACTAATCTGAAACCTAATCCTAGATCTATTGCAGACCTTTTTTCTAGAGGTTTTACAGAACTTCATACATAACATGAATGAGGTGTTTGAAAGATGGAACTAAAATAGAAAATGCTGTGTGAATGATGTTTGAACCTTTTAAAACGGATTTATGAATGCTGGTCGTTTTGTTTCATTATCTTTCATCTGGCTGCTCACAGAACGATTTGCTTATTGTCAATGTCATGTTTTAAATGAAAAGATTTCTCAAAACTACTTTTTATGTGTATTTTTGCTGCTAAATTCACAATCTCCCACACCTTGGAGGAAAGATTTATTAACCTATGTGCTATTCTTGGGCCAAATTGACCCGCCACAGGAATTATAAATACCCTAAATAGATAATAATTTAGATTAATTTTTATGTTTTTCCCTAACTTCACCTGCCCTGGGTACCTTTAACCATTGTGGGTGGTCATTTTGATCAGAGGGCAGCACAAGGGTTAGGGCTGGGGAACCTAGTCTTCAAACCACAACAAATTTAACAAATGTAAGTCCATGTTCATAGTTCATTGGACCAATAGTTTGCTTTGACTAGTTTTCACATGAATACTAATGAACTTATGAATGGAGAGATCTAGTTAGCTAGAAGTCAAAATCCTCAGCTATTAAATCCCTATATCCCCCTATCCTTCATAAACAATAGTCAGAATACATTATACATAGGTCAACTGAGAAATGTTCAAACAATAAGATATGTAAACAAGAGAAAGACATTTAACAGTAACTGTACCTTTTAGACGATGAGATCACATAAAAGCAGCGTAAAGTCAATGAATGATGAATCGTTAGTTCAATGAATAAGTTACTTTAATTCTATAAATAGATCAAACAAATGTTACATATTCTCAGAAACCTTTCAGACAAAAGTTACCAATAAACACTCTCCTAAGAAGAAACACTGAAGTAACATCTACAACATTAGGGATGGACTTTCACATGAGTGTAGTTACATGTATGATTTTAATGCTTTGTGTTGCTTTGTGTGTTATACAAATGAACTTGTCTTACGTTTTCACATGAACAGACTTCAACTTGTCGCACTAATGTTAATGTCTAAAATGGTTTCAAAATGTGCATGTGTAAAATCTGCCTTTAAAACGTGAGCTACTTTATCTATTGGTGATGATTCTTATATCCACGTGAAATACTTCAATACATTCAAATAAAGCTGGGGTACGTAACTTTGAACCCACACCCACCACAGTACATGTAATCCAATGTAGTAGTTCCTTGCTCTCAATACATTTTGTTCAAGTATGTCACAAATAGTAACTCACAGGGTTCTTTCTTACAGATAACATGTTCGAATACAAAGAAGCTACAATGTTACGGTCTTACTTTTACAGGACTGAGCAAAAAGTGAGGTACCCCAGCTTTAAGTGGCTAAAAAGCTACAATATGTTAATTTAAAATACATTTGATAACATGTAATTAAGTCTATAAATACATTTAATTACAGTAAAAATCAAAGCAGCAAAATAAGACTTTTGTACAAGCCCAGCTCGTACACCATCAAGAGACACAGTTCAGTCCTAGTCCGGCACATGGTTCAAAATGGCCTCTTGTGAAGCTGAGGGCCTGTAGTTTTGGCCCCTCAATTACTGGGATTAAAATGGCAACAATCAGCACAGAGAATGACCAAACTCCAAAGTTGCCTACATGGTGTTAGGTGAATATATAAGAAGAGTTGGGGGTTGAATAGGTTGCATTCAGAGTCCAGAGAAAGAAACCAGATTGAGACTATGGTTGGATTGACCCAGGAATCAGAGAAATAGCTGTAAACTAAGACTAGAAATCTGACTTTTGACTGTCATCATAGTTTTTCAGCTGCCCTACACCACAATATTTAGCTTTAGACTCTGAAAGCAGAATAATAGATGCCTTGAATGTGACAAGAACCAGAACAGGGTGTACCTAAGAGTGCCCAGCTAAACCATAGTAGTTTTAGGGGGTACATCTCTCTAGCGTTGATTAAAACACTGGAATGTTAGTTTTTACAATCGAATACAGGCGAGTAACGTTACATCCTACTGGGACCATATGGAGACAATCAACAAGAGGATGGCATGATCTGTTTGAAGCTTATTCCCAGATTTGAATGGTTATTTTGTCTATTGTAAAATACAGTGTGACATACAATATAGCAGTCACACAACAGTTACAGCCACTGGAGAGAGAATAATAGTGATATAAATCCGCCAACTAACGTCTAATATAAGTTACTTCAGAAACTGCATTTTTTAGGCAGTGGTCATAATGCTGGACCTGGCCAGAGCATTATACATCTCCAAAGTAGCAGACAATCCCTCCATTTCCCTAAAGAAGACAGCTTATGCGTTTAGTCACATGGACGCCGTCTTGTTCTTTCTCCAATGGAATGCAGAGCCATGTTTTATAGATTAAGAAGCAATCTGCAGCATGCACTGGGCAGCATGCACTAAGAACCTGCAGCATGCACTGGGGCGGTTTGCAGCCGAGTGTGAAGCGGCTGGGATGAGAATCAGCACCTCCAAATCCGAGGCCATGGTGCTCGACCGGAAAAAGGTGCCTTGCCCTCTGCAGGTGGGTGGAGAGGTCCTTCCTCAAGTGGAGGAGTTCAAGTATCTCGGGGTCTTGTTCACGAGTGAGGGAAGAATGGAGCGTGAGATTGACAGGCGGATCGGTGCAGCGTGCGCAGTGATGCGGTCGCTGTATCGGACCGTTGTGGTAAAGAGGGAGCTGAGCCGAAAGGCAAAGCTCTCGATTTACCGGTCAATCTTCGTTTCCTCCCTCACCTATGGTCATGAGCTTTGGGTAGTGACCGAAAGAACGAGATCGCGGATACAAGCGGTCGAAATGAGCTTCCTCCGCAGAGTGGCTGGGCGCTCCCTTAGAGATAGGGTGAGGAGCTCAGTCACACGGGAGGAGCTCGGAGTAGAACCGCTGCTTCTCCACGTCGAGAGGAACCAGTTGAGGTGGCTCGGGCATCTGTTCCGGATGCCTGCTGGACGCCTCCCTGGGGAGGTGTTCCGGGCACGTCCCACCGGGAGGAGGCCCCGGGGAAGACCCAGGACACGCTGGAGGGACTATGTCTCTCAGCTGGCCTGGGAACGCCTTGGGGTCCCCCCGGACGAGCTGGAGGAAGTGTGTGTGGATAGGGAAGTCTGGGCGTCTCTGCTTAGACTGCTGCCCCCGCGACCCGGCAACGGATAAAGCGGAAGAAAATGGATGGATGGATGGAAGAAGCAAGTATAGAGAGAAATATTGGCATTTTTAGGGAAATGTCAGGTTGACTCATAAGAATTGACTTCCCCCATCGTGTTAGCCTCAATGTAAAAGAGGCCCTATAGAGCTAACTGGATTTATGCTAATTTCGTGGGTAGCAACAGCCAAGTTATCAAGAGTCAATCAGAGAGTAGCCAGCCACTCAACAGAGGGGACTCTTGAATCTGCAATTTTGCATTTTGTGTCGTTATCAAAAGAAAAAAATTATCAGGATTTGTACAAGCACTTTAAAACTAGTAACTGACTTTTTGCATAATACGTCCTCTAGAACCAGCCGTCTCTTGTAATAACTCTTGATCTCATTCACACTTCCTTCATTAAACATCCCTTTTTAAAGTCCATTTTATATTAAACTTCATCGTCTTTTCCAGAAGCCTCCGTTGGACTTCCTGGTCGGCTCGCTCTGCAGTCTGTCCCTCCGGCTGGCGCTCGCCGGTTGCCCTGGAGGTAGTAGAATGTAGTGTGTGGTGCTCGCTTGGCGCCCATCTTTCAGAATGGGCACAATGCACGGCGATGACGCGGTGGTATCCGGCGTCCTCTCGCTGTGCTGCCGCTGGGAGGCCTTGCTGACGTAGTTGGGGTTTGCCGCAAAACTCTGCGTCGGTGGCATCACTCCATTGATGTAAATGGGAAGACTTTTCGGGCTTGGAGTCCTGGGAGGGCAAGGCGGGACTAAGGGAACTCGCGGAGGGATTTTTGGCGGTTTAGTGTCATTGGAAAGAGTCAAATTTTTGGGTTTGATTGGAATGCGTGGTGGTACTTCCGGTTTTTCATCTGGAATAGGAGGGACTGACAAAGAAAAGCGATTTCTTGGGGTTAAATTGTCCGGTTTGCTCCAGAATGAGTCTCTGCTTTCCCAGCTATGTACTCCGAAACCATCTCCTTTCGATGGTAGTCTGTCATTGCATCCAGGCCATGAAAATGCCAAGTTCCCAGCGTCCCTATCAACGAACGCCACTTCTTGATAAGCAAAGTTCACCTGCCCGTTGTGTCTACTGCTGCCTTTGCACGGCACTTTGGGAAAGGACTTGGGGAGAAGGCTGCATCTGTCGCTGGTGAAGAACTCCACCTCTTGGTCCGCGGCTTCGTCCGACATGAGCTCCTCCGGGTCTGGAAGAGGGGGCAGCGGTTTGGTCTCTCGTTGTCCCAGGACGCTGCACCCTCGCTGGGACGAGGGTACCACCTGGTCTCCTTCTTGTGGAGGCCGCAGAGGGGAGTTCGAGTCGAGGTAAGGGTCAGAGAAGAAAGGCGAGGCTGCAAAGAGAGAGAGAGAAGAGGGTTAGTTTAAAGCTGTATAGTCCTGTCACCATAATTACTATATCAACTTACAAACTGATTCCTGACATTGTTTTATCCATCAGAGATACTATTTTTAATTCTTGCTTCTTTAGCATAATAGAGAAGCAAGTATAAAATCTCCAACTTCAGCATAATAAAGCTAAATATCATATACTTGGTTCTTTTTTAGGGTAAAGCCTTGTAGTGGATTCGTTAAACAGGGAGATTTCAGCCCTTTATAAAGACATAGCCACAGCAAACAGTCATAGAGGAAAAGTACAACTAGTGAGTGAACTTTTACAAGGGCTGGAAAGAGGATAGCTTGACATAGTGAGCAAAAACTTGAGTCAGAGGTGTGCCAGGGCGAAGCAATCTCAATTCAGATTGAGAATAATAATACTCTGTTACACTGCAAAAAGCTCAAATCAAGCACATTCTGACTGTTAAAACAAGATTTGCGAATGTGTGATACATTTAGCCAAATGTGTGCCATTTTTAACATAATTTTCAACACTTTTTGCAGTGTAAAAGTAGATTTTGCCATGCTACTGAACTATTTTTACATCTATATTGAGACTTGTACTAAACAAACACAATGAACCACAACCATAGATTGTCACTTTTAAACAGTCTGAAAACAGTCATGTCTTAGGAGATATGTAGATAAGGGTTGACCAGCAATTCTGCACGTTAATAACAGACCCATGAGATTTCAGACACTGGAGCAGAAACTACTCCCTTATGTGTCTGTAGGAGGGCACATACCAGCGGCTGTGGGCGGCTCTCTCTCTCTCTACAGACTTGTTTTTGTTTCTGACGGAAGCTCGGCTCAAAACAGAGCGAAAACCCAGGCTTAACCTATCGGCCTCTTGGTGAAACATCAGCCACAACACGGCCGATTACCGGGATATCTGCAGCTCTGCCTCCACGGCCTTCTCACAACATCCGACCAGCTGGGCCCAGGACGGGAGCAGCGAGAAGGTTTTAAAGCAAGGCAGGTTTGTTTATATAGCACAGTTCATACACAAGGAAACTCAGGAGAAACCTCAAAATCAGAATAAAATAACAGTAAAGAGTGAAGATACAATCCTTCAGTTGTTTGCGCCACTAAACACAACCGTTTTTGACATTGCCAGAGTAGAAGCCTGCCTCATATTTTCAGGAAGATGATCCAGATTTTAGCTGCATGAATCTGAAATGCTGTCTCAACATGTTTTGACCCGACTCTGGGACCAGGAGGCCAGTCCCTGTGCTCCTCAGAGTCAGAGTTGGTTCAAGCCCAGAGACTGGCCTCCTGCTGGTGCCCAGAGTCAGGCTTCTACTCGGACAATGTTCAAATCTAGCTCTATTTAGCGGTGCCAACAACTGGACTGCACCTTCACTCTTGTGTACTGTGAATACGTATTGCCTCTTTTCTTTTTTTGAATGAGTGTCCAGATTCCTGTTGGACACACTATGTCAGCAATCTACTCTGTCTATGGTTTCCCTGGACAGTCTGATTCCCAAATAAAAAGAATAACACATAATTCCACATTTAGTAAACATAATAATGAGCCATGGGTGCCATAGTTCACCATCATACTAGACAGCAGCACGGTACGTCTTCTTTAAAGATTCAGAAGTTTATGTGCCATTTGCAGTAAAACCACATTGGAATACATGTGCAAAAGTCCCCAGTGTGCACCAGATGAATATATGAAAAAACAAGGTAAAAAGTACAAGAAACAAATGCAGTTGAGAAGTGCAAGATCATTAAGGTGCTTTCTTCAGACTGATAACAGCTTGTAGAAAGAAGCTGTTAGCATATGCAATTCTCAGCTAACAATATATTTTTATCCAGAGGGAAGAAGCTGGAACAGAGTCTGGATTCATAAAGATCTCTCTCTCTCTCTCGCTTTCTCATCACAGTCACAGAACCAACAAGCAAACTTTTTGATCTACAGCTTGATCTAAGAGGAAATGCACTCACCAAAGTCCCGGTGGAGGCCCCTGAGGCTGTGGTCCATGTCCAGGTCAAAGCAGTGTCTGAAAAACAGGCCGAGATCACTATGGGTTGAGTAGGTCAGATCAATCATTGGTCAGGGGAGCTCCGTGGTGACCCATTACATGTCCCAAAACACACTCTACATATGCTGCTCCAGCCCCAAGCATGTCCCTGTCCGCTTATATAACCACTATTCATTTACAAGGACTGGGAATACTAATATGAGCCCGCAAACACGATCACGCCAGCTGCTGTTTCCACTACAAATGTAAAAACTGGAGTACACTGCAAAAAGTGATGGAAAGGAAGTGTCAAATGTATCTTAATTTGAGCATATTATGACTGCCTTAATCCAAGAAACAATGATTGTGTTTCAAAAAAGATACAAGAAATGTCTCCTTTGGAATGAGAAAATAAAGCAACAGTTCTTAAAATAAGACTAAATGGCTGTGTCCCATTGGAAAAACTTGTTTACAGTCAGAATGTGCTCAGATTAGGATAAAAACCACTCGATTCAAGCAATTATTACCTCATATTTTAACATTTTTTGCAGTGTATTCTTTGGTTTCATAATCACATGTTGTTTATCCAGAAGTTTAAATGACATTTTGTGTGAACAAATCAGATCACAAGATGCTGCCTTGACCTTTATTAGAAATAATTTGATCTTTTACACCAAACTTTGTAGTAAGAGGGTCACGTTTTTTCTCCAGAGATGTCTCCAAGGCTGACAATGCAAATTGTAAAATACTTAGCTGGAGTTGGCTGAATGACAAATAGCCGGCGACAAATGTTTACGTTCTCGCTGGCTATATTACAATACCAACACTTCAAAACAATGAATAATGCCTCGGTTTGACAAATCACTTTTTTGGACACTGATGCTCCACATGTCATTATGCATGGAGCAATAAACTACTACTGTAGCCACAGCTGCCCTGGGGCACACTGACAGAAGCGAGGCAACCAGTGTGTGCCGACCTCTCCGACCACCACCAGCCGTTAACACACACACTAGACTCATTCTACTGTGGGTGAAGTGTCTTGCTTGGACACGACGACAGTTTGGCACTTTACAGCCGCAGCCGCCTCCCACTGGCGTGTGTGGGCGGCACGGTGGCTGAGTGGATAGCACTCTCGCCTCTCAGCAAGAAGGTCCTTGGTTCGAATCCCGGTTGGACCAGGGCCTTTCTGAGTGGAGTTTGCATGTTCTCCCTGTGTCTGCGTAGGTTTCCTCCGGGTGCTCCGGTTTCCCCTACCACTAAAAATATGTACAATAGGTCTGGCATGTGCCTCCTATACTGGTGACCCCACTCCCAAAAATAACAATTGTAAACCGCTTTGAGACTCCGATGTGCAGTGAAAAGGTGGTATATAAATAAAGATTACTACTACTACTGTGGCACCTGGTGTTCCCAGAGGTCTCCCATCACAGTACTAACAAACAAACATCACTATAATGGTATATAGTAAGATTTCTATAATTTTTTAATATATTTTTGGTGGTTTGAAAGTTAGCAACCCCAGCTTTAACACACTCCAGCCACTCACCTGCTTAAACCGTGCTGTCCCCATAGGTTACTTTCATTCCCAGCCATTTTCACACCGATAAATACGTTTAAAAAGCGTCAAAAGTTTTCTGGAATTGGTGCAAGACTTGAGCCATCCTCGCTTCAGGCCACACACCGACAAACTGGAAGAAAGACAGAAAAGTACATTATGAGTGACCCCGCTCGATCCAAAACAGACTAGCCTTTACATCACTGAAAGCTCGGTGCGTTATTCTGCTACTCTGGAAATCTGCAAGTATTCGTTCAGTTTCCCAAAGGTTTTGTGATGCGTTGGGATGTTTTAAATCAAGATTAAGATTGATAGATCCTTTATTTGATCTACAAGGGGGACATTTCAGTGTTGCATCACGAGTTACAGAGTGCACAACAAAAGATAAGTGAATAAGAACTCAATACTAAAATAAAATAAAATTACAATCTCTAGTTTTAGCACAAAAAGGAAGCAATCAAAATCTTTCAGCAAAATGAATAAGTGTAAAATCTATAATCTCTAAATTGTAAAAAAAAAAAAAAATACATAGCAACCAATCTAGCCTCCTCTCTCTTTACTTTTTAAAATTTCTTTATTATCATTATTAATTTACACACAATTTAATTACTTACTATTTCAACTCGAGTATAAATGATTTCAATTGTTAATTTATTGATACTAAACGTTTTTTTTCCCTTTATTCATTTACTTTCCTGAGAATGTTTACTTATGTGTATATATATAAGTATAAATGCATAATTTTGCGTATAATGTATGTTACTTGTGCAGGGGTTTTGAGAGAAAATACACAATCTGAAAAGGCAAAAATTTGACTCTTCAATAAACAAAAAAGTACATTAAACATACGTTGACAAGTTAGACTGTAAAATAAACGTAAGTCCTGTGCATGTGGTTATAATCAGGTTTTATGGGAGAGAAAGGAGACGTGTAAACAGCTCACATCTGGGACTGAATGTACGACGCAGCTGCAGGGGTCAAAGGCCACGGCACGGAGCACAACAAACACCAACACACTCATTCACAAAACTGAGGAGGAGAAAGAATGAATGATCCTGACTAAAACATTGAATATTGTAGAGGAGTGCAAGTTCCCGGGTTTAACTCTGTCCAATGACCTGAAATGGAACAGAAATACTGATCAGGTTTTTAAGAAAGCTCCTCAGTGTCTACGGAATCTTAAAAAAACTACTCCAAACTCTAAGATTCAGCTGGACTTGTATCACTGCACCATTGAAAGTTTGCTTGTCAGGTCTGCAACAGTGGCTTGGTGACATCACAGCCAAAGAAAGGAAAACATTTTTGGTCACAGTGACTGAACACACCTCAGCAAAAAGACTCAGGAGCTGGGTTCAATATCGAGTTAGTCTTTCCTATACACAAATCCAACGTGTGGAGAGTACTTCTTACACTCATTCACAAAACTGAGGAGGAGAATCAGTGGAGAATGCAAATGTGACCAAAACAAGCCTATATTTACTCTATTTGGGGAAATTTTTTGAATGTCATAAAACAAGGACAATCAAAATTACTTAAAGGAACAAAATATTGATCCTCCACAGCAACTATGCAGACGACACTCAGATCTATGTCTCACTGACTGCAGGAGAACATGGACCAGTGGACTCACTCCTTCACTGTATTCAACAGATCAGTGAGTGGATGCAAAACAACTTCCTTCAGCTAAACGCAGACAAAACTGAAATGATTGTCTTTGGTCCCCAGAAACAAAGAGAGAGCGTCATCTGTCACCTCCAGTCTCTCTCCCTAAAACCTTCAAACAAGGTCAGACATCTAGGGGTAATACTGGACTCAGACTTAAATTTTAATAGCCACATCAAATCAGTAACATCAGCAGCTTTTTACAATCTAAAAACATTGCCAGGAAATATAGTGTCTAAAGCAGACTTGGAGAAAACCAGTAGGTTAGATTACAGAAACAGCATGCTCAGTAGTCTCTCCAAGAAAGCTGTAAAACTCAAAATACTTCAGCTCGAGTCCTGACCAGAACCAAGAGGTACGATCACATTAGTCTAGTCCAGTCATGTCTCTGGACTGGCTTCTTGTGGCTCAGAGAATAGACTTTAAAACAGCTCTGCTTGTGTACAAGTCTCTCCATGGCTTCGCACCAAAGTACATCTGTGACATGTCAGTGCCATATGAACCGACTCTGACTCTGAGGAGCACAGGGACTGGCCTCCTCCTCTTCACTCTTTTTATTAGTATTTAGTATTTATGGTTTTAATGCCTTGTGTAATTCTAACGTTTGTTACTAGATACTTTGAGTTGCCTTGTGTATTAACTGTGCTATACAAATAAACTTCCATTGCCATGTTACCACGCCTGTCACAATAACTACATACAGGAGGTGTAACCATAAGTAATAGATGGCTCAATATAAGAGAGACATGCCAGCCTGTGTTGCTAGGCGTGAAAGAAAAAAGATTTTGGGTTGAAATTCCTGTCTTTTCGCAGTTGGAATGACTCAAACCTGATGATTCACCCAAATAACCACTTGTACATAACCAGGGAAAACCAATATTATAATTATCAAGTCCTGCGGAGATGTAATTTTCTCATGTGTGAATGCGTAAAACAAAGGCAATATTGATGACGAAGCTGCAGTCATAACTTTTGGCTTCCGTCTAGTAAAACAATTAGACATTTTGCCGAGGGCCGAGTGATTAAAATAAGTGATTATATATATTTTAAATCCTGAAGATCAGTGATACAATTTTCAAGAACTGATGCTTTATTTTCTCATTTCAAGGGAGACATTTCTTGTATCTTTTTAAAACAATATAATTTTGCCTTGTCCCACTGGTAAATCTCTTTTTAAGGCAGTCAGAATGTGCTCAAATTAAGATAAAATTGCTCAAATTTGTCAAAATCTTAACTTATTGGAGTCAAGTAAGAATCTGCACTACACTTTTGCAAACTGTATATCTGTATATTTGGTGTCCTGTTTGTTTATGATTATACACAAGTTTGAAAAAAATATATACTTGAAAAAATTACTTACAAAGGTAAAGTGAATGATAAAGTTCTAGTGACAACCTTTGGCTTCCTTCTCATAAAACGGCACGGTGGCTGAGTGGATAGCGCTCTCGCCTCTCAGCAAGAAGGTCCTGGGTTCGAATCCCGGTCGGACCAGGGCCTTTCTGAGTGGAGTTTGCATGTTCTCCCCGTGTCTGCGTAGGTTTCCTCCGGGTACTCCGGTTTCCCCTACCACTAAAAATATGTCCAATAGTTCTGGCATGCGCCTCCTGTACTGGCCCCTCCCATCTCTGTGTGGAGTGAGAGACAAATGCCCAAAAATTGACAATTGTAAACCGCTTTGAGACTCAGATCTGCAGTGAAAAGGCGGTATATAAATACAAACTTACTTACTTACTTACTTACTAAAACAATTTTCAACGACAAACTGCTGAATAAACGACGTCCAAGCCACATTACATAACAATACTGCTCTCTGTCAATCTGCCACATGCATAATTCATCACAAATCCACTCAAGGGGGCTTTCATTTGAATATTTATGCCTCTAAAACAAGCCAACGTGGCGTCATATCCGTCAGCAGGGTACGGAGATGGAAGAGGCAGAACAATTACAGATTCTAACCCACAATTACATCCCTGAATGAGGCCACTCTGAGCCCTGAATGGGTCCTTTGTGTGGGCCTGCTGCTGCCTGTTCTATCCCAGGAGCTCAGGACACAGAGACTGGCCATGGTGACAGCGATCCGGGCCCGAAGCATGGAGCTCGGAGCGAAGACCTGAAAGAAAACTGTTTGCTTATGTGAGGCAGAACGCATTGGGGAGATTCAGGGAGCTTTCATGAACAGGGCTGACTAATGGTGATGGCACAAACCAAGGTCAAACGGAAAATAAACTGCTAATTTGTCACTATTGAGTCAGAGAGGTTGGGAATAGGCCTGTCACAATAAAGCTGCGTGACCAGAGCACTGGAATATTGGAATAACATAAGAGTTACTCATGGTTTTCAGTTGAATTGGCATAAATGGGACGATTCAATAGTATCTGAATTGATCCAAATGGTGATTTTCTAATCATTATAACACTCAAATTAAATCTAAGGGATATCTTGCCAAGCTCTGATATCGCCGAAAATGTAACAGGATTATCCAGTTGATCCTGGACTGATAATTTGAAAGGCAAAGGCTAGGGTTATGAGCCAAGATGGTGATCAAAGATGGCGGCCTATCCAAATCAACCCGTAGTGTCACTCCCGTATTCGTCCCGGAAACCGGATTCGTCCGGAAGTTCAGTTTGATCCAATGAGCATACGCAGCAGTAGATTATGTCACGGAATCTGGACGGAAGCGGAAGTAAATATAAAAAACTACCTATTCATGCCTAAACTTAACCAGCCATTCCCATAAAATAACCCCAACCCAGCCTAAACCCTAAACTTAACCATCTTAATCAGACGCCTAAACTTAACCAGTCTCCACTTAAGGACATATTAAACTTTTTGACATGCGCAAACTGAACTTCCGGACGAATCCGGTTTCCGGGACGAATACGGGAGTGACACGTAGTATGAATGAGATGATTGAGGGAATGGATTGTGATGTTTCGGGATGTTGATGCTCCAGCTCTGTAGCATCTCGCTTCTGTCATCACCCTGTGTGGAGTGAACGGAACATTCTAAATTGTGAAGTTGTGTGTGAGAACTTAGTAATGCTCTATTTAGATAAAAAGTTCTTCCTTACTTGCTAAAACTAACCCTAAATCAAACCGTAGTCCTTACCCTTGACCTTGGCCCCAAACCTTAACCTAAAGCTTGTTAACCTTGTTACTTGGTGATATCAGATCCTCAGAGATCTCGTCTCTCTGGAGGCAGAGAAGTGGACCTTGGTTGAAACATCTCACATTCCCTTCCACAGTGAATATGCCACAAACCAAAAGACAAAGCCCTGGAATTTAACCCCAACATACTGTATTTTCATGTTCTTTGCACATGAACTAAAGCAAACACCTTGGAGGATAGAAAAAATGTTATCCTTGAACATTCA